AGTGAAAGAGGCTGCCCGGCTGAAACGTTACGTTGTGTTGTTTTTGTTCACATTTCTCTGCTTCCCCATTTTGTTGAGCTTTTTAGTCAAATTTCTCTGGAATTTCTTGTATAACCTTGACTGCAGTCATCCCCATATTTAAGCCTTTGCAACAGATTAAGCTTTTATGGCACACAACAGCCATGCTGGACTCTACCCTGAGTCGTTGCTTCTTACAACTTGCTATTCAGAGTGCCGAAATCCAAATGTGCGCACCTTGCCTTTCCTTGATCTTCCTTGTTATTTTGGCGATTTTCATTTTAATGAGGTCTATGGGCTGTTATTTGTCTCTTTACAATATGCCAAAGGCACACGTGTGAAGTCCTACTCCGAATAGCTCAAAATAAAGCAATACTTTTCACACAACTACACACTTTTTGTTTGCCACTTCAGATAGAAGTGTGATATACTCAAAACAAGAATTTAGTTACTCTGACACAGTGCTGTCTATACATTGTGTTGTGTCCATTTAGTCTGTTTAGCTCCTGTCCAGCTGTGAGGTTATTGTGTCCAACATTGGCGGGTATTTCTTTAAGGATCCCCCACCCCTCAGTAACCCACAGGTGTCCGCAAGGCTCTTCTTTACTTCCTCTTTTACCATTTCAGGTGTCCAAAGACACCATCAGTTCCTGCTTCGTGCTTTTCTGGTTACTTCGACCAAAGACACATTGTGATGCTGTGGAGTTTCTCTGATGTTTTCTTCCCATAATATTCTTAGTCTACCTCTTGCTCTACGTCCCTCTCCTCTGTTGGTATATGCCTTGTATGGTATAGCATCAAAAGGCATTCTCTCCAAATGGGCAAATCATTTTTTTGAATTGCTGTCTTTCTATGTCATTTTGAATTGGTTTTGTGCCGACTTTATCTTGTATGACCTTATTCCTGATTTTATCTCTTCTGGTCACTCCTACAGTCTTTCTCAGACACCTCCATTTACATGGTTACCAATTTTCTATTATGTTTTGTTGTGAGTGACCATGTCTGGCACTGGTGGCATATGGTGGGAATGAATATGCTTTGTAGGAGGTGCCTCTGTGTGCTGACTGGGATTGCCTTATGCTGTAAGAGGGGAGCTAGCTGTCCCAATACTTAGCCAGCTTTACTGCATCGGATGTCAATTTCTTCGTCCAATTTACCATCTTTAGTGAATGTTGTTCCAAGATCTTTAAACTCAGATGCCTGTTTGATATATGTATGCTCTAATGCTATGTTTAAACCTTGCTTCTTTCTTCCTATTAACATTATTTCTGTCTCTTTGATGTTGATTCTCATATTATCTGATTACATTCTTCATTCATGGATGTAAAACACTGTTGCAAATTCATGGCTGTATCACCAGTCAAGCCTGGTTATCAGCAAAGAGTAATTAGTTGATGTTACTATTATTTTCGTTCCTGGGCCTGGCATCCTTGCTTATCTGTCAATGTAGGTGATAAACAGGAGTGGTGATAAGACACACCTCTACTTTACTCCGCGGCAAGGCTCACTGGGTAATTTCTGTTGCCAGAGGATTATCATTGTGATCAGAATATATCTTTAGATAATGGGGAGGTGGGGGGGGGGGGGGGGTTTAAAATGTTAACCCAGCCTTAAACATTACATCTGAGTGCCACTGCAGTGTATTATTATCAGCATCTGCTGTGTAACACATAAACTAAGCACATATTTATATTCATACAATTTTTTTTATACGAAACAAAAACAAAAATTAAACACAAAAAAAGGAAAATCAGGACAGCTAGGGATTTGCTGTCCGTTTCACATAAAAATCTTCAGCAAAAACATAGCCACATAATAAAAAAAAATTACTTAAGATCGCCAAAATTGTATATACCCTGCATAAAGTATAAGCAAAACCAGAGAATAAAATATCTATGGACAGTTTGGATTTCTTTTGCAGTCATCACAACATAATCATCATCACCATCATCAAGAAGTGCCTTGCCAGCTGGTGAAGGCGTTCATACATCTTCACGGATCTTGGCCTTTGGTATTCTAGATCAATTCCACCGATGATATTCCATGCCACTGTCTTAAGCCATCCACCATCGTTTCTCTTGATCTGCCTCTGCCTCTCCTTTGATATTTCCAGTCATCACAATATTTTCCAGTATTCCTTTTTTTCATCACATGATCAAAGAACTTTGTTTGTCTTCTTCCCACTCATTGTTGTACATAATGTTCTACTTTCATTAGACATTTCCAAGCAATCATTGTTAGTTATTCTGGCAGTCCATGGTAAAACATAATCAGCATTTGTAGACAGTGACTGTAAATAAAGACCCTTTTCACGGCCGCAGAATATGATGCCAGACTTATAGTCTAAAAGACCAATCAGCTTTTGATGAGGGTGATGTAGTTGCAATCATGCCAGTTGCCTTTACTTCCCAGGAATTTAGAAATTAGGAGCTGTCAAAAATTCAGTACTGTCAAGTCATTTGCCTCGCCCACTGAAGGACGTGGGTTTGTTTCACCGCCATTCAGTTCACTAGTGCAATTTTTAAGATCCCTGGGGATTATCGCTGGAGCCAAGGAGTTTGTGCTTTGTGCGATGCTCTCGGCAGGCAGCTAGCCGCTCTGCGGAGAGGGACCGAGCTATATGGGATAAACCCCGGTGCAATGAAGTGGATCCTCTTGTCTTTAACCTGTATATAACCTATACAAATCAGCAGTGTACCCAGACATATGTGATTATTTTCCCTTAAATGAACTCTGTAAACATTCAAAGTGATTGAGAAAGTGAGGATCTCTGCTGGAAACCCTACAAGAAGGTTAATGAGAGATTAGATGTGCTGGACTGGTTTTCATAAATATATCAAAAGAAACGTATAGGTTATAATGAAATGGAGCCCTGAGTGACCAATCACAGCAGGATGAATATTAAAACTATAGTGTATATGCATACATTTGGTCCAAAATATGAAATATTTCATCTCCTCTCTCTGCAACATGAGACTGGAATTCATAAAAATTTATGGAATTCTATGAAGGACTTTGGAATACCACAGAAGTTAATCACCATGAGCAAACTATGTATGGAAGACAATTATAATTTTGTAACATATAAAGGAAGAAGTCAGACCCGTTTTAAATAACATCTGGTTTAAAGCAAGATGATGCTCTGTTCACATTTCTTTTCAACTTGGCCCTGGAGACAATTATAAGGACATTGAAAAAAGAGTGTACTATAGGAGAAACTGCAAGAATACTTGGATATGCTGATGACATTGATATTGCTGGAGAAAATTAACTACAGGCTGTGAGAACACTGACTCAAAAGAAGCAACTCACAAAATTGGACTTGTTATCAATCAAGATAAGACAATACATGATAATAACAAGACAGGCAAAGGACATGAGAGAAGAACTACAATCAGGAAATAAAGTATACTATGCCCTTCAACACCTGCTAAAGTCAAAGTCTCCATCGCACAACACCAAGATTAAACTATATAAAACATTGATAAGACCAGTCGTTTTATATGGGTCTTCGAGCACAACTAGAAGAGATGAAGCCTTATTGAAAATTTTTAAAAACCGAGTCTTGCAATGAATCTTGTAACCCATCAAAGATGCAAACAGCGGAGATTGGAGAGTGAGAAGCAACAATGATAATCTATTTCAATCACTAATGATCATTGGCATCATGAGGGCTAATAGACTTAAATGGCTGGGGCATACTGAAACAATGTCAGATGACAGAGAGGTAAAAACTGTATACAGAAGGGAGCTGCCATGAGGCAGACCAAGAAGATGACGGAGAGATAATAATAAATATCCAGATAGACCTACAAAAACTTGGTTTCACCAACTGGAAAGAGAAAGCCAGCCAGAGAGATGAATGGAGGTGGGTAATATCTGCAGCAATAAACTTCAAAGGCTTGGAATGCTGAAGAAGAAGAATATACTTGTGTAAAGATCACACTGGTAGATAACACAAGTTGGTCCTGAATGTAAACTATATTATTCAGACAATCATAAAATACCCTGGACTTGACAAATGTGCAACCACTTTTCATGTTTGTATGTCTCTTTTATAAGCAGTCACAAGGTAAGCTGATATAACGACACATTTCACCAGTTAAAAACAAAAGGTCTCTCGCTTGCCAAAATAATTATCAGTACACAATTTTAAAGACAGAAAACATCATTATTGCACTTATAGGGTAAAGGATTTTTTCAAAGAATTGTGGATGGTATTGTCAATATTTTTAACAATAAGAATACTGTCAAAACTGTCTGCATTTACTTTTTTTAGCATGACCCTGAGGATTTAGGGTTGTACAGCTAGTGCTGTTGCCACAAACTGTACAGGACAGGATCTTTAATTCTGTTTTTCAGTTTTGCTTCTGATCTGCCCATGATATCCCAAGTGAGTGTACATTTGCTTTTCCTATTTCTATTGCCCTCGTACAGGTTTCTTTTGGTCGACAACATCTTCTTTATCTATCAGCTGTCCACCCAACTGCTGTCACTGCCAAAGTGTCACAAGACATTTTGCAACTATGTCCAAGCCACAGGGTAGGAAAGACAGAAGGGAAAAGAACATATCAACTTTCAAAATTGTGTAGTTACCACTTGGTGTGGCCAAAAATACATCTGCAAAAAATCTAAGAATTAATTCTTTGAAATGTTACCACATAATATATTAAAATACTTGAAGTGAATATGACATGTCATTTTAATAGGACAGGAGATGTCAAACCAACAAGAACAAAGTGATATTTTCTTTCTAGTTCCCGCATGGTTTTTTTTTTTTTTTAACTGACCAATCTCCATCCTTGATCTTAGCCTAAAGGTTGATTATTTATGTGCACAGGTACAGTACAATCTAGCTTTTCATCAACATAATAAATGAGACATAATTTGTCTTTATAGCACAGAAAAAAGCTGACACATTGAGATACAAGTTCACACCAACTTGTAGACAATCACTTGCACAAGACTACTGCAGCATTACACTAAACTTTGACTCCAAGCTCTTTCAGCAACTCTATGGCCTCTTTCCTAGCCTGCAATCAGACAAATACAAAATGTAAAGATAAGGCAAGGGAAGTCACACAGCAGAAAGTGTCATTACAGTATGAAGTGTTGAGCATTCACACACACACTAGGTCATGACAGATGAGACAGGGTAGTCAGTTCACTTCCTCGTCACCCTATCTTCCCAGGCCATTTACATAATATACTAGAACTATTCTGGTACCAACAATGATAAAACTGCATTTTCCTCATGGTTATATAACTTGGCAGAAAAAAAATTCTACTACAACTTTTGTGGACCACACTCAAACTATTGTCTCAGCTACTACACTAGCCTAACCGCTATGCCACCACAGTTCCCCACATACAACAATATACATCCAAAAACCAAACTTTATGTGTAAGTATTACTAGAACAACACTGAATACAATGTGTAAGTATTACTAGAACAACACTGAATACAATGTGTAAGTATTACTAGAACAACACTGAATACAATGTGTAAGTATTACTAGAACAACACTGAATACAATGTGTAAGTATTACTAGAACAACACTGAATACAATGTGTAAGTATTACTAGAACAACACTGAATACAATGTGTAAGTATTACTAGAACAACACTGAATACAATGTGTAAGTATTACTAGAACAACACTGAATACAATGTGTAAGTATTACTAGAACAACACTGAATACAATGTGTAAGTATTACTAGAACAACACTGAATACAATGTGTAAGCATTACTAGAACAACACTGAATACAATGTGTAAGTATTACTAGAACAACACTGAATACAATGTGTAAGCATTACTAGAACAACACTGAATACAATGTGTAAGTATTACTAGAACAACACTGAATACAATGTGTAAGTATTACTAGAACAACACTGAATACAATGTGTAAGTATTACTAGAACAACACTGAATACAATGTGTAAGTATTACTAGAACAACACTGAATACAATGTGTAAGCATTACTAGAACAACACTGAATACAATGTGTAAGTATTACTAGAACAACACTGAATACAATGTGTAAGTATTACTAGAACAACACTGAATACAATGTGTAAGTATTACTAGAACAACACTGAATACAATGTGTAAGTATTACTAGAACAACACTGAATACAATGTGTAAGTATTACTAGAACAACACTGAATACAATGTGTAAGCATTACTAGAACAACACTGAATACAATGTGTAAGTATTACTAAAACAACACTGAATACAATGTGTAAGTATTACTAGAACAACACTGAATACAATGTGTAAGTATTACTAGAACAACACTGAATACAATGAAGAAAAAAAGACTACCTTAACCTTTGGCCCCAGGAATACAAAAAAACCAACAATTCCCATTGGGTTAAATTCCCCCCAAATGTCACTTTTCCAACCTGTCTTGACCTGTTTATTGACACATAGTTAATTGTACTGGCTGATTTTGCACCAGTGTATATGTATGGGAGGTCAAGATATGAATACATTAACTAACAATACCATTTAAGAAGGTTTCCTTTGAGTTAAATGGCTTTTTAAAAGCCAAATTGATGTCAGATTTTCTCATATATTAATCTCAGAAGTGAAGAGGGGTGGGTAACTTAGTGCTTCGTATATCTCTCCTCAGACAAAAACAAAAATACAACACATGAATAACCACTATATCATCCTCTTAGGATTTATTAACACTGCTAATAAGCAGTGCGGAACCCACACAGAGAAATAATAAATTGAAATGTGCTGACAGAAATTAACACATAAAGAACTCTAAATACCAGCATCAGAATATGACAATATATAATATTAGGGTGTAGTGAGAAGAAAACTTAGAGTATGTAGTAACAGCGAGAAAATTATTAAAGAGAAAAAGATGCAGAGAGAGACCAAAAGACAGTTTGGCATGGAAGAATATCTATAGATGCCTGAGAGTACAATGGGGAAATTTAAGAGGAAAAGAGGCAGAGGAAGACAGTTTGGCATGGAAGAATATCTAGAGATGCATGAGAGTGCAATGGGAAAATTAAAGAGGAAAAGAGGCAGAGGGAGACAATTTTGTGTATGGAAGAATATCTAGAAATGCCTGAGAGTAAAACGGGGAAATTTAAGAGGAAAAAAGGCAGAGGGAGACCAAAATACATAGGGAGATCAAAAGGCAGAGGGAGATCAAAAGGCAGAGGGAGGCCAAAATACATAGGGAGATCAAAAGGCAGAGGGAGATCAAAAGGCCGGGAGACCAAAATACATAGGGAGATCAAATGGCAGAGGGAGATCAAAAGGCGGAGGGAGATCAAATGGCAGAGGAAGATCAAAAGGCAGAGGGAGACCAAAAGGCGGAGGAAGACAGTTTGGCAGGTAAAAATCTCTAGAGATGCCTGAGAGTAAAATGGGGAAATTTAAGAGACAAAAAAGCAGAGGGAGACCAAAAGGCAGAGGGAGACCAAAAGGCAGAGGGAGACCAAAAGGCAGAGGGAGACCAAAAGGCAGAGGGAGATCAAAAGGCAGAGGGAGATCAAAAGGCAGAGGGAGACCAAAAGGTAGAGGGAGACCAAAAGGCAGAGGGAGACCAAAAGGCAGAGGGAGATCAAAAGGTAGAGGGAGATCAAAAGGCAGAGGGAGACCAAAAGGCAGAGGGAGACCAAAAGGCAGAGGGAAACAGTCTGGCATAGAAGGCTTTCTAGAATTAACTGAGAGTACACAAGATAAAGGGTCGAGTACAGACATGACTAATTACGCTGCACGACATAGAATGTAACAAGAAGAAGAATGACATTTACTGCAGCAGAATTTTTTTTTTTCAAATCCAAGTTTACCTTAGCATCATCTGTTGTTTTATCCTCATGCTCTAGTGCTTTCAGCAAGTGCTTCTTGGCCGAATCTTTGTCTTTCAGGCGTAGATAAGTCTTTCCCAACATTACAAGGTTTTGGTTGTAAAAGCCAGGTGATGCTAAAAAAGGAGACAAATGCTTTTGTTATAAAACATAAGAGGTAAAAAATAATGTAGAAAGAGTTAAGATAAGTGGAAGAACTGACATTAAAGCACCCAGGACATTCACAGAAGCGCAGAGTTCCAGTTCTGATGGTAACAAAACAGTCTGAACTTTTCTAGTTCTGACAGTAACAAAAGTACATACTGTATATACCAATTTAAATGCACCTGTAACGCTGCATATGTGGGCAGAACTGATCGACGACTGGAACAACGGGTTGCTGAACATATTCCACTATGGTTGGTAAAAGCAATGCAGAACACTAACACCTCAACAACAACGAATCAGGTAACTTGTCGAAATAATCCATCATCAGCAATTGCGTGCCATATTCTAAATTCCGGGCACATCATTAACAGGGATGATGCATTCCGAATTATTTACAGTTCGGCTAACCGTAGATTACTTCGATACGCGGAAGCTTCAGCGATTGGCAGATTGAAACCGGAACTTTGTAGGCAAAAGGAAATGGTCGTTGCCCTACGTTTACCTTGGTGAAACAGTTTGAAATCTACTCGAATTTGTGTTTCAGTTTCTAGGATTCAGCTATTTGCTTCATTTTAATTAATTGTTACTGAAGTATGCACCTGATGAGATACAGCGAAATATGCCAGGCAATAAATTGTGCAGTCTATTGTTTGTGTCTTCTTTGTTCAAAAGTAACAAAAGTGTCTGAAATTTTCTAGTTCTGATGGTAGCAAAAGTCCAAAACCTTTCTAGTTCAGATGGTAACAAAACAGTCTGAACTTTTCTAGTTCAGATGGTAACAAAACAGTCTGAACTTTTCTAGTTCAGATGGTAACAAAACAGTCTGAACTTTTCTAGTTCTGATGGTAACAAAACAGTCTGAACTTTTCTAGTTCTGATGGTAACAAAACAGTCTGAAATTTTCTAGTTCAGATGGTAACAAAACAGTCTGAACTTTTCTAGTTCAGATGGTAACAAAACAGTCTGAACTTTTCTAGTTCAGATGGTAACAAAACAGTCTGAACTTTTCTAGTTCAGATGGTAACAAAACAGTCTGAAATTTTCTAGTTCAGATGGTAACAAGACAGTCTGAACTTTTCTAGTTCAGATGGTAACAAAACAGTCTGAAATTTTAGCCAGTGTTGAGCATCTATCAGTTTGTAGACTTGACGCAACAGCTGATTCACTTAGGCTCTTCAGTAGAACAATCTGTACTGCAGTGGATTCCAGGTCACTGTGGCTTGGAAGGCAATGAAATAGCGGACAGATTGGCCAGAAGCGACAGTGACATGGTACAACCAAATAGTGACTCAACCCACCAAGAGTCGAAAACATTAATTTTAAAAATGGTATCCAAAAAAGGTGGCTGGATACACACACCAGATTCTCTCCCCAATACTCACTTTATGGCCTCTCTAGAGAGGGACAGTGTATTATATTCAGATTAAGGACTGGGGCAGCGTGGCACGCGAAATGCTGAGCATGTGCTCCAACACTGTCAACTGTATGCTGACAACAGAGACGCAATCTGGCCTGTTCCAGCCACAATGAAGACAAAGCTGTATTGTACACCAGAAGATATGGACTGCAGGATAGCTTTTATAAAGGCTACAGGCCTCCTGATGTAAGTTTTCTGACAGAAGGATCGAAGAAGAAGAAGAATCAGATCCTCTGGTCCCTCCTCACGACATCCTTTTCTTCAGACTGAGATGATCTATTTGTGCCTCCTCACAGTTCACTCACTCTTAAACGACTCTCACCAACATCTATCTTTTAATCCATCAATGAACTACCAAGCAGTGCAGAGCCAGATAATGTAGAAATAACTAAACAAATTTTAGTGTACATAGGTCAGGTACAGATGCTGGCACTGAATAGGAAGACACTGAGAAAATCTGACAACTAGAAGGTCTTTGCAATGGAACCCATAAGACCAAAGGTGTAAAAAGCAAGCAGATGGAAAGGGATAGAACAACTTGGTGTGAGTTGCTTGAGAACCTATACTCCACTGTGATAAAAAGGGCAAAGAAAAAGAATATAAGGTAAAGAATAATATAAGGTAAAGAATAATATAAGGTAAAGAATAATATAAGGTAAAGAATAATATAAGGTAAAGAATAATATAAGGTAAAGAATTATATAAGGTAAAGAATAATATATGGTAAAGAATAATATAAGGTAAAGAATAATATAAGGTAAAGAATAATATAAGGTAAAGAATAATATAAGGTAAAGAATAAAATAAGGTAAAGAATAATATAAGGTAAAGAATAATATAAGGTAAAGAAAAATATAAGGTATAGAATAATATAAGGTATAGAATAATATAAGGTAAAGAATAATATAAGGTAAAGAATAATATAAGGTAAAGAATAATATAAGGTAAAGAATAATATAAGGTAAAGAATAATATAAGGTAAAGAATAATATAAGGTAAAGAATAATATAAGGTAAAGAATAATATAAGGCAAAGAATAATATAAGGTAAAGAATAATATAAGGTAAAGAATAATATAAGGTAAAGAATAATATAAGGTAAAGAATAATATAAGGTAAAGAATAATATAAGGTAAAAATTTCAGTTACTTACAACTCCCCATGTGGGTTTCGGGGCCCTATTATACGGAAAGCAAGAATAGACCCACTGCCTACCCAAAAGCCTGTTGTTTGAGTCGACTAATTGGAAGCTTCCTTTGAAGTCGGAGTGTATCTGCATGAGAGGCAAGGAACCAGCAGTCTGCATAAAAATGAGTCAGATCTGTAAAACTGATCCACACGCAAGACTCAGGTTCTGGAGCAGGACTGCAGTCCAGAAATGAATGAACAACCAGAACTTCCACCAGAGTTTACAGCTGGAGAACGTGAAGAAGAAGAAGAAGATGAAGTTACTTACAACAAAAAATGTCCACAGACAAAACTGCATGGCACCCAAAATTAACAATAAAAAAAAAAATTTGAAAATGTCACAAATTTTGAATATCTTGGCTTCAGAATAAACAGAAATGGAGACTGCTTACAGAGGTCAAAAAGAGGATAGCAATAAAAAAAATTTTACAGCATTTAAAGTCAATGTTTAAGCACCAGCAAGGAAATCAAAATCCAAATGTCCAGATCATGCATCTTCCCTGTAGCAACTTACGGATGTGAGTCATGGACTATTTTGCAGTCCTTAAGGAAGAAAATAGGGGCTTTTGAGCTGAAATGCTAGAGAAAGATTTTCAGAATACCACAGACAAAGAAGAGAAGAAATACTGACATTCTAAAAGTTTCGAACATAAAGGAAGATAATAATAAACAGCAAATTATTTAAGAAGCTGAAATATTTTAGCCATATTAAGTGCTGCAGTGGACCGGGAAAAAATAATAGCAAAAGGCATGGTGCCAGGAAGGAGTGGCAACAACTCAGAAGATGAGAATAGGATATAAGTGACTCCTTAGTGTGAAAGCACACCAGGTGAGAGAGCTGGTTGGGTTGAAGACAAACTAAACCATTGCTGACACCTAAAACTAAAATTAGAGAAAGACGTGACAAAGAATGAGTGAGCTGCATGCAATGCCAAATAACAGGCGCTGCCTGAGAGCCTATGCTCCATTGGGGATAAAGGTTCAGAAGAAGAAAAAAAAGAGGGTCAAACCACAAACCCTTGCACTGAACGCTGGTGCTCTAACTCTTTTGAGTCCCAGAGGGTTTAGCATCACAGGCCCAAGGGGTAGTCAGGAAAGACTTAAAATCGGCACATCTTGTGTTCATTGGGCTTCTAGGTAGGAATCTATGAACGTATGATGCGTTCCTTGGGACTCAAAGAGTTAACCAATGCTAACATGCTTCTATATACACTGACATGTTTCTGTACCATACTGTACCTTCTTCTGCACTCTTGAAGTACTCCAGTGCCTGTGAAGACAAAAGACGTATATAAACTAAAAAATTATGTATACTTAAACAGGAATATGTCATGAACTTATTGTGACCGGCAGTAATAAACTGTAGGAAATTTATGATGTTTTTATGTGTATCTTCATCTTCTGTGTTCTTCCGAAGACATAAATGCATTGTGTCCATTTACAACATGGCTGTGATATATGTGTCTTTTGGCTGACACTTTCAATGTCTGTAGGCATTTTTTGCCTGGGTTAGTTTCATGGGACGCTTCAGTCTCATTGTTTTGTGGTCATCTTTGTTTCCCAATTCACAGGTGGTGCCCATCCGGCTAGTCCAGAGCAGCCATGTGATGCTGGTCAGTCCTCAAGAGATCCAGGTGCAGAACATGAACATTACCTGCCATTCAAGGAGGTTTTCATAACTGCAGACTCAATACACGGTGCTCTAGTACTGGGCTCACCTAAAGAAATCATCATGTCCTGTTGATGACTGCATATTCAGCCTCTCATTCATCATGGGCTACGACTTTAGAAGCCCGCAAGCAAAAGAGGATTTTGATTATCAACACAAAAAAAGAACTTTGCTTCTTATGCATGTTAGCCTTTTATTGCAGTGGACTTCCATGTCCACAGTTTATCTTCATTTGACATTTTCCATATACATGTCCAGAGGCATTCAGTGTGGCATTTTCCATATACATGTCCAGAGACATTCAGTGTGGCATTTTCCAGATACACGTCCAGAGGCATTCAGTGTGGCCTTATATGGACAGATATAAGTGTTTCATTTTTGTTTAAAGAAGCATGTCCTCTCCCCCCTCCCCCACCTCCATCCTTCTCTCTCCCTTTCTCTCTCTATCCAGTTACTCAGATGAGTATAGTTTTTGAGTGTAAAGGACCTTTTTCCACACCATTATGCGTATTGGGAATATAGGGCTAGACCTATATTTTTATAGACCAATCGGCACTTGGTAAGTGATGTTGTCAGCATCACACTGAGTCTTTTACTGGCAGACGTGCAATTTTGTTGTTGTTGTTGATTTAGTGGGATTTACTGGAAATGAATTTGCCACTTAGGATTCTTTCTTGAATACTGTATTGGAATCTTGATTTATTGGCCAACATGAGAGAGAGAGAAAGAGAGAGAGGGGGGGAGAGAGGAGAGACAGAGAGAGGGGAGAGAGAATGGTGAAAAGAGAGGCGGGAAGAGAGCGAGAGAGAAAGAGAGGGGAGAGAGAAAGAGGGGGAGAGAGGAGAGAGAGGGGAAGAGAGAGAGAGAGGGAAGAGAGAGAGAGAATGTTTGTGCTCCTAATGGAGCCTGATTTTAATCAAAAAATAGCTCAAAGGTCGACCTAGCCTTAAATGTATACCAGGTAAAATCTTGGAAAGTAAAAGCGGCCAGCGCGATACTGACCACTGATTGCCAACTGGTCCACAAAACATAGGTCTAGCCATATATGCTCAAAATGCCTGATGGCATGGAAAAGGGCCCTTCACTCTACTTTAACTATGTTAATAAAAACCAAGCTTATAGCACACCTCTTCATAGGTGGATGTTGGCGGGGTCGAAAACACAACTGCCGCCATTTTCCTCTGTATCCAGGGCAAGTCTGCACATGTAAAGCACCTGGAGACAAATTGGTGTAGGCAGTTTACATCAATCAACCTGATAATAATGTAAACTAGATTGTCTTTACTCTGTCTTTGTGCATTTGACATTATCTTCTCATAGAGCTAACAGTATGGGCATTCTCTCTCTCTATCTCTCTCTCTCTATGTCTCTCTCTCTCTCTCACTCTCTCTCTCATGTCTTAATGTCTAAAACAGTGTTATTTAAAATTCTGACTTACATTCCTTGCCATAAGCCTAATCTCACCTATCTTTGGCAGTTAACATCAATAAACCTGATAATGATCTCAACTAGATTTTCTTCATACTATCTTTAAGTCTTTGTGCATCTGACATTATCTCCTAATCTCATAACAGTACGGGCATTCATGTCTTTAAGTCTTTGTGCATCTGACATTATCTCCTAATCATAACAGTACGGGCATTCTCTTTCTCTCACTGAGGTCTAAATGTCTAAAACAGTGTTATTTAAAATTCTTGACTTACATCCCTTGCCGTAAGCCTCATCTCACCTACATATGTAACTTCCTGTCTAGTATCTTATTCATGTGACAATATACATTGTGTAAAGCCTCTACTGTTTAAATGTGATGAATAATTTGTGACTTGCCTCATCATTAAGCTAAGTAATTTTATGTATTCTTGCTTTTTTTATTTTTTTATTCTACCCCAGATGATGTCACAGGACAGTCCCACATTGTAGAGGGTAGTAAGACTGGGTTTCCCGGCTTTCTGATGCTTCAAACGACCCCAAAACATCTAGAACTGGCCCTAACCCCAACCCACCTACATCTCACGAGAGAATGCAGCCTAGGTCCCATGACTGCAAGCAGCCTATCTACCACCCCTTGAAATATTAGACTGTCCAGTGACCTGTGGATTTCCCCTGTCTGGGGTAGAATATTAATAAAGCACCTTTTTTTTCTTTCTAATCAATTGTTCTTGATTGTCGCACTGACCAGTTCTACTTCTCATCTAAATTGACTTTTCTCATTGAAGTATACATAACACATTTCATTGCCATGCACTTGAAACAAAACAAAAAACATTTTCTTTTTGTTTTAATATCTTCTAAATGTGACCAAAAAAAGTGTCATAAAGAAGTCCACATTAAATAGCAAAGATTTCCTTCAAAGTCAGAGTAAAATGGATGGCCCATAAAATTCATGTTCTGGAACAAGACGAGCAAAAAAGACAGAAGAGAGCAAAAACCATAATTTCCGCCGAACTGGCAAGCGAACCCTGCAGAATCAGATGTACAACAAATAAAAATGGTAAAGTTGGGAGATGTGAACCAGCGTCACTGCACACGGTTATAAATCACAAGTGCTCTGTCATCAGTACGGACACCTGATAACAAACTGTCCACCTGTGTCGCCATCGCACGCAACTTCGTAGCTACAGTGACGTTCCTCCATTTAACCCAGAGTCTTAACTCTGGTACCCATTACCTAGAGGCTGGGTGGACCCGCAAACCGTCCAGTTTTCAACACCGGCCGTGGGCTGCAGCTGGATTTGAAAGCAAGTCGCTAACGCGGCCCTGTTCGACAAATGATTCATGACAAAGCTAGCCTAGGTGAAGCGATTATCTATATAGATGGCTCTATGTTGAGAGGTAAACGAAGTTTATGGGGGTTCTAAGCAAAAGCCTCCCCCTCCCCCTTCCCCAAAAGCATTTTAATAAAAGTCAACTAATCAGGAGTGTTTCCTTCGAAGTTGCAGTTTACCTGTATGAAAGGCAAGGAACCAACTGTCTGCATCCAAATAAGCCAAGATCAATCAAATGGATGTGCAGGGACAACTCAAGTTCTGGAAAAAGACCAAAGTCCTGGAGCGGACAAACAACCAGAACTTTCCGCCAGAGTTTACATCGGTGAATACCAAAAAGAAGGAGAAAGATATTACTGACTGTCTACCAGAAAGAAGAAAAAAACTGACAAGCTCCCTTACCAAACTCCCATGCAGTGCTTGCTTGTTGCATCTTTAGGATTCAACTCAATAGCTTTCTGTCAAAAACAAAATAATGACATTTAAGGGGAGGGACAAAGACAAAAATCGTCAATTTTGACCATTTTAAGTTTCCTTACATAATTCACAATTTTTCATTGTAGAAAACAGCTGTGCACAAGGCGTTTTAAAATGAATGTGTCGTAAAGCTCTCTTTCTGTGTTTGCTGAAGCATGTATAACATATTTATCTAAGTTTCAAAGCTCAATACATATGCTAAAACATTCAAAAATTAATTTAAGTATTTAATAATTAAAATACATTAGTCTTGTTCTAGAATGTGAGTGTTGCATGCACATCTAGTTCCCAGATCTGGTTTATATGTATGCAGACTCTTGGTTCCTTGCTACTCAGGCAGATCTACTCCGACTCTGAAGGATGCCCTCAATCAGTCAGCTTCTACAACATGCTTGTTGGGGAGGCAGTGGGTCTAATCTTGTTTTCCCCCACAGTGGGGCCCCAGAACACACACAAGGAGAAAGGTATTCACAGTCTGTGACACTTTTAATTTCTTCATTGCTAAGTGTAATGATGGTTTTAAAATTTTGTATTGACATTAATGTTTTGTCAGTAGATATTTTTGTGTGTGTGGGTAGGTCTTGTCTTGTCTTGTCTTGTCCACAATTGCCTCACAGCGTAGTGGGGAGTCGCAGTTTTCTATCCTAGGCCAGGTGTGTTGCACGTGTTGTTGTTAGTCCGTGTTGCCTCAGGATCTCTGATATATTGTCTATCCATCGTACTCTCGGTCTGCCTCTTGCTCTAGGGCAGTAGTGCTGTTCATTGTATGCTCGTAGAGGCAGTTGGTCGGTTTGCATTCGCATCGTGGCCAAACCACTCTATTTGTTGCTTCTTTATGTATTGCAGTCTTGGTGTGGTTCCTACAATTGATCTAATGTTCTCGTTTCGAACTCTGTCTCTCCTTGTGACATTGGCAGCCTTACGTAAGCATCTCATTTCGCACGTCGTGATCTTTTTGTGGGTAGGTTTAGAAACAAATTGTGATTTTCAGCGTACTCTGTGAATCTTACAACCATGATCAGACTGCAAGAAGCCTGCAATGATGCATTAAGCCGAAGAAGAAGAAGAAATCAACACACCAGCCACTCCATATGGGTTTTACTGAGAAGTAGATCTAACCACTTATGGAGTGACTGGTTCAATTTGCAATGAGGACGATCTGTCAAATAACTAACTAGCTAACCCCATTACACTATTTCAGAGGAGGGCTGTGTCAGCTGTATGTGTGTTCTGGTGTTGGGTTTCTTCCAATTACAAATGGATTACAAAACACACAGGTCTCAAAAATCCTTTATTATTTATTATACTTTCTGCTAGGGCTGTACCAAATATTCGCTTCGTATTCGCTTCAGGGCCGAATAGTGGACCAAATGACTATTCGGTATTCGGCCGAATAGTTGCGGTCGGGCCGAATACGAATAGTGGTTACCCTACATTCATTTCTGCATACACTGCGATGGACTGAAATAATTCTCTCATTAACACAATAGTTTATGTTGCCTAAGTTTGTAGTAGCGGGAAAACTGCGACCCGGTTGCGTCTTGCCTGCTGACTCGACCGAGGCATTACAGCAAAGATTTTCTAACTGGGTGCATATGCCAGGGGTGCCGGGGCTAAAATCAAGAAAAGTCGGCTATAAATTGTAACATTATTAAAGAAGACATAAAGATACTTGAGATACTTTCCTCACTACTGTCGAAAAGAGCACAGGCGACAGGCAATACCTGCATTTTATCAAACGAAGAACATCTTATGCAATACATCTTTGCCATTTAAGGTTAGAAAAATAATTCTTGCTTGCTACAATTTTTTCCTATTTTTCCAGTTTTAACATGTGGTTGTAAGTCCTGGACAATCCGTAGGCAGGCCAAACAATTTCTCTAGGCTTCAGAGATGTAGTTTTACAGAACAATGCTTAAAATACCTTGAACAGCCAAAAAAAAAAGCAACCAATAGGTTTTGAAAGAGGCGGGAGCCCGAAGACAACTAATCACAGACATCAGAAGGAGACAGTCATAATTTTTCGGCCATGTTATGAGAAGAGGGAAAATGAAACATGTGGTGACCACTAGAAAGATCTGTGGAAGGAGGGATAGAGGAAGACAATGAGAGAACATTCTTGACAGTTTTGTTGCATGGCATGGAGGTGTGTCAGCACACGAACTAATACATGCTGCAGCAGATCGCAGATTGTGGCGAGGCATAATCGCCCACGGCGGTCGGCAAGGCACCTGATGATGATGATACACTATTCGTATTCGTATTCGGCCGAATAGTTGGTCCCACTATTCGTATTCGGCCGAATAGTGAAAATCACTATTCGGTACAGCCCTACTTTCTGCAAAGGCACTGAATAGGTTTGAAGGCAGAATAAACTGTGTCACTGTACTGTATAACCCAAACCAGTCTGATGTTTCACTGGCTATTTATATAGCTGTCTGTTGTTCAATTGTTTCAATAACCTTTTTTTTTATCCCTGTGAGGGTTCCGAGGTCCCACTGCGGGAAAACAAGAATAGACCCAATACCTTCCCTATAAGCATGTCGTAGGAGTGGACTAAATAGGGACTTCCTTTGAAGTCAGAGTGCATCATCTGCCTGAGCGGCAAGGAACAACCAACTGCACACAAATAAGCCAGTAAAACGGATGTACACGCAAAGCTGAAGCCCTAGCACAAAGCCAAAATTCAAATTGATGAACAACCAGGACTTTCTATTGCATCTTACATGCAATAAACAAAGAAGAATTACCCTTTTCGCCCTGAGAAGCAAAAAAAAAAAAAACACTGATACTTTGGGCCGGTACCATTTCCACAAAAAAGCTGTTTTCCTGCCTCACTATAGAAACATCTTTACTACAAATCTAGCGAACAGACTTTATGTCATCTGTGTCTGGGCACATGTTCAGTGTGTCAGGGGATGACTACATTTACAAAATATAAAATTTTAAAAATTGCATTCCGGGGTGGGGGTGTTTCTTTTTTTAAATTTGTTTTAAATGGCTTTTTTAATATAAATCTTGTAAGTCATATTTTCCCCACTGGCTACAGTCGTCACTGGGCAACTGGGTCACAGGGCTGATTAAGTGTCATGTTATAAATATTTTACAGGTGCCCAGGAAATGTAAGCTGGTTGATTTTATGCTGCATCTGTTTTTACTGCTACACCCCTTACTGTGTACAGTTTCTGTTTGTGTTTTCGGTTATAAATCGTATTTGATGATTTTTGTTTTCACATGTGTAAAATGGATGTTCTCCTAGAGATTTTTCAGAAATTTCCACACACAAAAGGGAGGAGCAGGGAGTATGGAAGCCTCGCTTTTTTTTTCTAAGTCACCAGGGTAAAATGGTTAAGTGAATGAAATATGCTAGAAACCCCATGATGTCTTACAAGTTCTGATGTTAAAAACTGTTAGAGAACTGTGCTAATATTTTAATTTACACACAAAACATAAACAGACCTACCTGAAAATGATCTCTGACTGTGAATGCATTAGCAATCTTCTGCTTGGTTCCTTCATACTCTCCAGTGTAGTCAAGCAATATGCCATACCACTAGAGGGGGGAAGAAAGACGTTACCTGATAAAAATGCATTGTAAGTCACCACACACGTATAATGTTTCTAAGCAAAGAAAGAAGCTGAAGCAGTTGTGTAGAGTTTCAATGTTCTACACATATGCTCTTGGACATTGCCAAATTCTAACCCACGTAGAATTAACACTTGTGAAAAGTGATGCCTGAGAAAAGCCATAAACTTAACCATCCATGACAAAGTTAAAAATGATATTATCAGACAGACGGGAGGAACAATACCATGCAGCAAATTCATTGAGACACAGAAGATCAAATGGTTTGGTCATTTAAAAAGAATGCAGCCAGAACAACTACCAACGCAGGCGCTACACATGAAAAGATCTGAAGTGAAAGCAAGAGGCCGTCCTAGGAGAAGATGGATTGATAACATTAAAGAGGTCATACATCGACACGGCAGCTATTGCTGCCCATCAAGCAATAAATCGCAAACTGTTCCTTCCCACTATGCTTAGCCGCAGAAGTGGAAATTGATGATGATGATGATGACACACATACTGACTATGATGCTGCAGCAATAGCAGCCTTCATAACTCTTTCTGTACAATGCAACTCAGACTGCAACAATTTGTCACAAATGTTTGTCTAGTCAAAATGTTGCCTTTGATCTCTTGCATGTACAAGCACAGAAACATGTGCACGTACACACGAACGCACACACACACACACACATATGTAAAAACAGTTTGCCAAAATATGTATACAGTTTAACATCTGTCAACTTAGACTGTGTGGCAAGTCTCACTGTCATAGACAATCTTTAGAGCAAAGTGGACAAGCCATTTGCCTCACATTCTAAAGATTGTTGGTTTGTTTCACAGTGCAGTTTTAATGGAAATCCCTGGGATCAAGGCTGGAGCTATGGAGGTCATCCTTTGAGTCATGCTCTCTGCAAGCGGCTAGACAGTCTGAGGGTAGAGACCAAACTTTATGGGATACAAATTCAGTGCAGTGAACTTGATTTTCTTCACTTTAAACTTTTCAAAATTAGTTCAAATTTTGATAGCAATGGGTAGTATGTTACTCCATCAAAAGATATCTATTGACATTAAGATTGACACATCACCAGACAGAAGGTCAAATTGTTTACATATACATCACAGAAGTCTACCACACTGTGCAAGGGTTTGTGAGGAAGTAGTTAAGCCATTTCCCTCTCACTCTGAGTTAAAATATGTAAGACACTTTCCCTCTCACTCTGAGTTAAAATATGTAAGACACTTTCCCTCTCTCTGAAGTTAAAGTAGGTAAGACATTTTCCCTCTCACTCTGAGGGTTAAAGTAGGTAAGACATTTTCCCTCTCACTCTGAAGTTAAAGTAGGTAAGATATTTTCCTTCTCACTCTGAAGTTAAAGTGGGTATGACATTTTCTTCTCACTCTGAGGGTTAAAGTAGGTAAGACATTTTTCCTCTCACTATGAAGTTAAAGTAGGTAAGACACTTTCCTTCCCTCTGAAGTTAAAGTAGGTAAGACACTTTCCCTATCACTCAGAAGTTAAAGAAGGTAAGACACTTTCCCTCTCACTCTGAGGGTTAAAGTAGGCAAGACACTTTCCCTCTCACTCTGAAGTTAAAGTGGGTAAGACATTTTCTTCTGACTCTGAGGGTTTAAACTAGGTAAGACATTTTCCCTCTCACTCTGAAGTTAAAGTAGGTAAGACATTTTCCCTCTCTCTGAAGCTGAAGTAGGTAAGATATTTTCCTTTCTCTCTAAAGGTTAAAATAGTTAAGCCATTTTCCTCTCATTCTGAGGGTTAAAGTATCATTTTCCATTCACTCTGAAGGTTATGGGTTTGTTTACATACATCATTTCATGAGTTCAATTTTCATTAAAAATATGTTTAACAATTCCACGATCTTTGACTACAAATTCTTTTTCCAGTACTAGTTTAATTTCTGTGTTGGGCAGTTTTTTAAAAGACACTCTCGTAGTTTTTGGACAGTGCTGTAGGAACCAATTTGGGGCCTCACTACACAATATCCCCCAAAACAGCAGGGGTTACATTTTAAAACAAGGCTACTCAACTGGCGGTCCGTGGGCCCATCTGGCCTGCAGAAAGTGGCCTGTGGATAACATCCTAGCTGTATTGTAGGTACTTTCTTATTAGCCCACCACCATCCAAATCTTCAACATTTTAGAACTTAAGAGTGAACTTAGTTGAATGGCCCTGCTGTATGGCCCTTAACTCTTTGAGTCCCAAGAAACGCATCATACATTTCATAGAACCTAGAAACCCAATAAATGCAAGATGTGCCAATTTTATGTCTCTCTTGACTACCCCTTGGGCCTGTGAGCTAAACCCCTGGGACTCAAAGAGTTAACTGTGGAGATATCGCAGTCACAGGGAGACCAGACTGTGTGGGATACAGTCTGGTGCCACTGAGCTGATTCCCCTTATTTTTCAACTGTTTTAAATATAATGTGCATGCCAGTCCCTTGATCAAAGTACAATCAGTCAATCAGTTTGTCCCCTCTGGGCTGTTACCTAAAGGTTTACCATACTATCCAGAGGTTAAAGAACCTGAATGGGGGCTGTCTGGTCTCAAAGCATGGTGTCCGTCTAGAGTGCTAGAGGTTTCAGGTTCAATCCCCAGTAACGGCTGGGATTTTTTCACATAGACTTGGACTTCTAGTAATTCACCCTGGTCTCCGTGTAGTGAGATGGGATACTGGTGTGCATTGTTGCGAATGTAGAAAAAAACTTTGGCAGTTGGAAATCGAAAAGAGTAGCCTAACGGCACTGCCTGGGCAAAATTTGGAGTTAAAAATCTATCAAACTCTCGAAACAGTTGAACTGATGCAAAAAGTTTATGGGGATAATTGTTTATCCCGTGCACACATTTTCAGGTGGTATTCACGATTTAAAAGTGGTGTGGAAATAATTACTAATGCACCTAAACCTGGAGGCCAAATTTCTGTTCTTAATGATGAACTCATTCCAAGAGTCATAGAACAGATACAAAGAAGATCATTGCTTTACTGTGAGGATGATGGCAGATGAATCTGGTTTTAATAGAGAGACCATTCATAACATTTTAGTGCAAGATTTTAGCAAGATAAAAAGTTGCTTGCCGGTTTGTACCACATTTGTTGTCTGATTACCAAAAACATCAGCGGGTTGAATACCCAAGAGACATCATCAAAACAAGAATTTTTGGCCTTAAAACAAGTGTGTGTTCTCAGCCTTCCACCCTATTTCCCAGATTTGTCTCCCAGTGATTTTCTATTTCCAAAATTAAAGTAACGATTGAAAGGACGCTTTTTTAACTCTTTGAGTCCCAAGGAACATTTCATATGTTCATAGCTTCCTACCTAGAGGCCCAATGAAAGCATGATGCGCCGATTTAACATCTCTCTTGACTACCCCTTGGGCCTCTGATGATAAACCCCCTGGGACTCAAAGAGTAAATGATACTGATGACATTCAAAGGGCCGTAATATCGACTTTAAGGGCCATAACAACCGAAGAACTACAGAGGTACTTCCAGTGTCTGTTAGATCGTGCCACTTGCTGCATCAATGCACTTTGAATAAAATACAGGTTATATCTTCAACTGTTCATTATTTTAATTTTTTTAGAAATAGTCTCATTACTTAATTGTCGGACCTTGTACACATGGAAACCGCTGTGGCATATAGGCTAAGATACCCGACTGTGGGCAGAAGGTCTTGGGTCAAATCTAAAGGAAGTCAGATCTTTCTTTTGAATTAATATTTTGTTTAAACTGACCTTGGTCCCATTTTGACCCAGCTTAACATGGGTAACATGCCATGTCCTGAGAAGTAAAGGTGCGCAGTATAACCACATCACCCAGAGAGTGCCGATTAGTCTATCAAAATATGATCCGAGCATCGAATGCTTGTTATGCCACTGGTGTAATAAGAGTCCTTTACAATACACCTAGAAGGGCTTTAAACTGAAACCCACAAGGGCACACAAATTCAACACAGACCAAAAACACACGCAGAAGGGAACTGGAGAGTAAAGTTGAAAATATGGGGTGGGCTGGATAAGATAGCGAAAAACAGAAGAATGACTTGGCGTGAGTTGGTTGAGTGACTATACTTCATCATTAAGGGGAGGGGGGTGTTGCTACGGTTTAGTGGCTGAATGCTTGACTACAGATAAGAAGACTGTGGATTCAGCACCACAGTGTAGTGACTAGACACTAGCCTGCAGGTTGGAAGATTGTGGGTTCAGGTCATGAGCCAGACTTTTTTTTTTCAAATGATTATGACTTCCAGGTCTACCCAGTCTCAAATTAGTGCCAGGTATTACAGTCCTTGGAAGAAAAGGTGGCCAGCACATCACCCCCCCCCCCCCCCCACCCCGAGTGCCAATTGATCTATAAAATATAGGTCTAGCCCTATATGCCCAATAGTGTGGGAAAGGGTCCTTTACTTTACTTACTATACTTCAATGAGGGATAAAGTGTAGAAGAAGAAGACTGTACTTAAAACATACTCACAATGAACAACATAGAAATGTGACATGCTCAGTTAAGGACTCACCTTGTGACATGAAGAATTGTTATCATCTAATTCCAGTGCTTTTTTGATGTACTCAAAAGCTTCATAAATGAGTTTCTTCTTCACATCTCCATCAAACATCTTGCCCTTGTCTGCAGCAGCTCTGGCCAACCTCCACAGGATGTTTGCATCTTTACTGTCCTTGTGAGGTATCAGGAGATCATAGGTGGCTAGGAAGTCCTTCTTGTCAAACAATGCGTCGGCTTCATCCAAGAGTTTTTGGGTTTCTGTTGAGGCATATGTATTTTTACTGATATTTATCAACACCCGAATACACCTGGGCTGGAGGGGAAGAGGGGGGGGGGGGGGGGGGCAAATTGGCTCATAGGTTAATCTGTTTGTCCCCTCCAGCTTCTACTAAAAGGTTAACTTTACCATCCAGATATTAACAAATCTCCATGTGGATGCCAGACTAATAAAGAAAATCCCTGATAGCTTCTTCTTCTTCTTTGCGTTCGCCGGCTTTAAAGTCAGGCAGAAAGTTTGTCCACTTCTGGGCTTTAGTCCTGTTCCAGAACCTGAGTGTTGCATCCACATTTATTTTACAGATCTGACTCATGCGTATGCAGAATGTTGGTTCCTTTCTCTCACGCAAATGCCCTCCGACTTTGAAGGAAGCTACCAATTAACTCTTATGACATGCTTTTGGGTAGGCAGGGCTCTATTCTTGTTTTCTCTATATTGGGGCCCTGGAACCCACACATATCCTGTTCAACCCACTAGCAGCTACACTAGCCAGGCGTAACCTGTACAGGTAAGTCCTTTGTAGGTGAGGACTGCTCACAGACAGTTTTGTTTCATGAAAACTAACAAGCTTCCATCATGTTACAATGCCCTAATGATTTGGAGAGAACAGTAATGAAGGGTACGATTCCTAGAAGTAGGGGTCGATCAGTGTGATGGTGGCCCCAGGATATCAGAGCACCCTCAACAAGACAGTTCATGAGCTTGGACAGTTGGCTAAAGCCCACATAGCTTAAATATCAGAGTCACACTGAAGAGCCATAAACGTCCTCTCTGCTCTAGACCAGGCACTTAAGAGAGAGAGAACGGCCAACGAATGTACAGAAAAAGAGAGACGCAGAGAGGAAGAGAGACAGTTAGACAGAGCGGGAAGGAGAGGCAGACACTGTGAGACAGAGTGAGTGAGAGGGTAACAGAGATGGGGAGGCAAAACAAGAGAGATGGTGGGGGAGAGATGAACAGATTAAGACAATAGAGGAAAGGAGAGAAAGAAACAGACGCAGAGAGAGGCAAAACAGACAGACACAGAGATAAAGAAGAAAAAGACAGACTCAGAGAGAGGGAAGAAACAGATAGAGAAGGAGAGGCAGGCAGAGAGAGTAACAATTAGAATGCAGAGAAAGGGAGTGAAGGGTAAAGTTCTTAGAAGACAAGGCAGGGGTCGGTCAGCATGACGGCGGAAACAGAATATCAGACACCCTGGGCCTAAAAGAGGAGCCGCCGTGGTCTAGTGACTAGACGCTAGTAGGTCGTGGGTTCAGGTCCTGATGGGGGCTGAATTTTTTTTTCCTTAAAAAATGACCTTGGCTCCCAGGTGGGTACCAGGTACAGTCCTGGAAAGTAAAGGCGGCTAGCGGGATGCTGACCACATCACGCACCGAGTGCCGTTTGGTCTAAAAAAATATAGATCCAGCCATATATAGTATATACTGTCTGAAGGCATGGAAATGGGGTCCTTGACTTTTTACTGGGCATAAAAGTTCTTCTTTGAGTTTACCTACATCAGAGGGTTAGGCTAGAAAATGAAGAAGGGTGCTTTATAGTGGAACAGTTCCTTGTGTGGGTTCCAGGGCCCTATTACAGGGAAAACAAGAACAGACCCACTGCCAACCCAAAAGCGTGTAGTAAGACTCAACTAACTGGGAGCTTCCTTCGAAGTCAGAGTGCATCTGCCTGAGAGGCAAGGAACCAGCAGCCTGCATACAAATGAGTCAGATCTGTGAAACGGATGCATACGCAACACTCAGGTTCTGGAACAGGACAGCAGACCAGGAGTGGATGAACAACCAGAACTTTCCACCAGAGTTTACAGCTGGTGAAGGTGAAGAAGAAGAAGAGTGGAACAGTACAATGGATATTTTGTTCCTCTCTTTACTAAGACTCGTATTAGAATCAATTAGTCTTGTCATTAGCGACTTGGCACAGTGGGTAGAACTCCTGCCTTTTAAGGCAGTGGTCTCCATGCACGCATGCACCCAGACATAAGTAAGCACACATGTGTTTGCACAAAATCATGTCAGAGAACTTACTGTGGGTGTTGCACAAGTTTTAAGAGGCAACTAATTAAGGGTGTTTCCTTTTAGTCAGAGTGCATTTGCCTGAGAGGCAAGGAACCAATAGCCTGCACATAAATAAGTTATAAAGTTCTGTGCCATCTCCACAATGAAGGGTGGCTACAGTGTACCACAGTACACTCTGGCGTAAGGTTGTGGTTGTCTGCCCACGTCAGAGCTTCGCTCTTGTTCCAGAACTTGAGTTTCGCATGCACATCTGTTGTAGAGATCTGGCTTATTTGTATACAGGCTGTTGGCTCCTTGTCTTTCAGGCAGATGCAGTCCGACTTGAAATGATATACCCCTAATTAGTCAAATGTTACTATATTTTTGTTGGGGGGGGGGGGGGGGGAGGCATTGGGTCTATGCTTTTATCCCCTAAACTGTGGCCCCAGGACCGACATGGGGAGATTGAAAAAACGTTCAACTAGACTACTCCAAATCCTGATTGCCATTATAAAGAAAGAGGGTGAAAAACTTTCAAAAGTTTAGCTGAAGTGAGTGAAATTAAGAGCCAACATGATAGTCCTTGGGGCATTCCCATAAACACCCTGTCCCCATCTTTAGAAGCCAGCAGTGAGTTCCAATTTCAATGGTATCAGCAGCAGTCTGATTATACATCCATCTGGCTCTTCCCCTGAGTTTTCAGTGTCCGCCAGATTGCCCGGTTAACACAGTGCCGGAGTTTCAGAGTGAGTGTTTGTGCTCGGTACCATCTTCAGATAGCAACGGAGAGAGGGTGAAGAGGAAAGACAAGGAAATCAACAGAGAAGAAGACATTCTCAAATAGTGCTAAGGGGTAAATATGAAAATAGGGAGCCACTATGGTGTAGCGGCTAGACGTTCGCCTGCGGATTAGAAGTTTGTGGGTTCAGGTCCTAATAAGTCCGGACTTTTTAAAAAATGACCCTAGTTGACCCAGCCTTAACTCTTTGAGTCCCAGGGGGTTTGGCATCAGAGGCCCAAGGGGTAGTAAAAAGAGGTGGAAATCTGTGCATCTTGTGTTCACTGGGCTTCTAGGTAGGAACCTATGAAAGTATGGTGTGTTCCTTGTGACTCAAAGAGTTAAATGGTACCAGGTACAGTTCAGGGAAGTAAAGGTGGCTGGCTTGATGTTGATCACATCACCCACCAAGTGCTGATTAATCTATAAATATATGGGTCTAGCCCTATCTGTCTGATACGAATGAAGGCATGTAAAAGGGTCCTTTACTTTACTAAGTATGAAAATTTACTAATCAGAGAAACATTATAAGACTGTTACATTTAGATGACCACTTCAGTGATATCTGATCTACGAAGATTTACCACGTGTAACATTATCATAAGTGACTAGACAGTGTCACAGATAAGACTGTAAGGGAAAGGTGTAAACAGGTGAAATATTTGCACAAGAAATAGACTAGATAAATTTCACTGACAGCTTTAGATTAGATAAGATTCACATAGAAACTGGGTGCACAGCTTTAGATTAGATAGGATTCACACAGAAACGTGGTGCATGTTCAAAAACATCACATCACAAACTTCTGTAAGTAACATTTGTAAAATCAAGGACCCTTTCCAGGCCAGCGGGGCATCTGGTATATGGTGCCAACCCCTTATTTTTATGAGCCAATCACCACTCGACGAGTGATATTGTTAAATCATGCCAGATGCCTTTATTTACCCACTGGGTCGACCTGGGAGAAAAGACTTGTTATATTTAAAAAAATATGAATCAATGTGTATTTGAACCCAAGACTTTCCTGCTAGCAGGTAAGCATCTGACAAATTCCTGCTGATGTCTACAAATGATGACAGCTGAGGTTATAGAGTATATTAATAATCAATTATACACAGACACTTGATCCCACAATGAGCAATGCTCAGAAGAAAATCACAACTGAAAAAATAATCAGATGGAGTGAAAAATATGAGCTTGATTAGAAAGTGTTATTAACAAGATACTTTTAATGATACAGTAATTAATAGGATAGACAGATGACATAATGGATGAGCCAAAGAACATAAAATGGTGGCCAAACAGTATAAAATGATATGAACAAATCCCAGACAGGGAACAACATGATGAATAAATGATAGGAGATGATGTAGCAGATAAGCATTGTGAGATGACATGATAGATAAATCATAGAGGAGATGATGTGTTAGATAAACAATATTAGATGACATGATGGATAAATCATGGGAGATGATGTGGTAGATAAACCTTGTGAGATGACATGATGAATAAATCAAGGAAGATGATGTGGTAGATAAACCTTGTGAGACGACATGATGGATAAATCAAGGGAAATGATGTCTTAGATAAACCTTGTGAGACAACATGATGGATAAATCATGGGAGATGATGTGGTAGATAAACCATATGAGATGATATGATGAATACATAGAGAGAGAGATGATGTGGTAGACAAACCATATTAGAGGGCATGATGGATACATCATGGGAGATAATGTATGGACAAACCATATGAGATGACATGATGGATACATCGAGAGAGATAATGTGGTGGACTAACCATATTAGATGACATGATGGATACATCATGGGAGATGATGTGGTGGACAAACCATTTGAGATGATATGATGGATAAATCATGGGAGATGATGTGGTGGACAAACCATATGAGATGATGGATAAATCATGGGAGATGATGTGGTGGATAAACCATATGAGATGACATGATGGATAAATCATGGGAGATGATGTGGTGGACAAACCATATGAGATGACATGATGGATAAATCATGGGAGATGATGTGGTGGATAAACCATATGAGATGACATGATGGATACATCATGGGGGATAACAGCTGGGCAAAATTAACTTTAAAATATACCAGTAAGACATAATCTATACTGGGCACCTGAGAGAGACACATAGAGAGAGAGAGAGAGAGAGAGAGAGAGAGAGAGAGAGAGAGAGAGAGAGAGAGAGAGAGAGAGAGAGAGAGACAGCCAACCAACAGAGAGAAAGAGATTTATAGAAAATGCAATCATAAGAATATGGGTCTAGAACCATATGCCCTATACTCTCTAATGCTGTGAAAAAGAGTCCTTTATTTTTTTTTTTCAACTTACCTGGACTAGAAGCAGCCATGGCAGGGATTATAAGAGATAAGGGAACTTTCCAGAAATTATGTCTAAGGATCGGCTTCTGAAAGAAATTAAACACATCAATACTCACACAAACAATATTGTATGAATAAATTCAAGATAGTCTGGTTAATTGACTTTCATGAAGTACAATGGGGAGATTAGCACCCAGGTCTTTCCAGCCTACAATGAGTACCAGGTAATGTCCTGGGAAGTAAAGGTGGCTTGCATGATGTTGACCACATTACCAATCCAGTGTCAACGGGTCTAAAAGTATATCTTATGCCAGGTACACCACTGGCATAAAAGGGCCCTTAATTGACAATGTGGAGAGGATCTTCTTCTTTCCTCTTCTCCTGGATACCACAACATCCAGCTTAAGAATGGAGGTGGAGGCGGTCACTGCAGCTTTTCGCTGGTTAGAGAACATCACAGACACACCATGATTGTAACTGACTCAGAAAGCATGCTGAGGAAGATCAGGACAGGCATGCTTCGTGGAGAGTGGCATGCTTCACTGTGGAGGACACGGGTGAGGAGTACTGTCTGGATTTTTTCACCGGGACACACCAGTGTGTTGGAAAATTAATAGGCAATTCCTGTGTGTTGGGAAATGAACAGGCAGTCATACTGGCTGGCTCTGCACAACTTGGTGGAATACTGATGCATGATAAGGCAGATGTGGTTAGTGCCTTGTGGAAGCAGTGGGTACAGTTCGGAGGAGCAGATGGATCACCACAGTCTGGTGAGACTGATGCAGGGGGGGAGTGACGAGAGGTTCTGGCTCAGAGAAAAGGCAAGACGCACGTTTAGTCATAATGCTACTGGCACCATTAGTATAGGAACTCTTCGCTGGCTGCTGAAGATGGGGACGGAGTGCTTATGGGAATGCCCGGAGTGCTGTGATATCGGTTCTTGAATCAACTCAACTCCTCTACTCTTGGAATGCCTCGCAGCATCAGGGTAGGAAAAGATCTCTGGAATTAGCCCTTCTGTTCGCTTCATATATAGTATAGTTAAATTAAACCCCCAGCAGTAGAGCAGAAACTCTGTCTCTACCAGCAGGTGACATCTGCACTAACTTCAGAGCTGAGGCAACTGCCCTCCTTTCTGCAGTCCAACATCTCATTACTCAAGAACACAGAGGGCACAAAATTGTTATACTTAGTGATTCATTGTCTGTTCTCCAAGCACTATCAAGCAAAAAACAAGACAAACTAATTGCAGATCTAAGGACCAACATTGGCTTGCTCTCCAAGGAAGCAGAACTGGTCTTGCAGTGGATACCAGCCCACTGTGGTATTCAAGGAAATGAGAGAGCAGATGAGTTGGCAAAAGCTGGGAGTAATCTTCCACAACCTCATCCACCACACAGCTACAAGGAAACCAAAACAGTGCTAAAGCAGTCTTTCAAGCGGGAGTGGAGAAGGCAGAATTAAGATTACAGACCAGAGAGTGACAGCATAAACAAACTCAACAGGAAAGAACAAACAACAATTTTTAGACTTCGGACTGGACACTGTGGTCTTCGAGCACACCTGTACAGGACAGGCATAAAAGAATCTGCTGCCTGTGATTGTGGAGCAGAAAGACAGACCCCTGGGCACATACTACAGTACTGCCCTTACCTCTCCCAGCAAAGACTGGATCTGGCCCAAGGGAGCCACATTGAAAGAGAAGCTATGGGGAACCGGTGGCGACCTTAAACGCACAATCCTATTTGTGACCCAGACGGGACTCAATGTTTAGCATGACTGATGTCAAACGCAAAAGAAGAAGAAGAAGAAGAATATATAGTATTTTTCAGTGTCTCAGATATTTCTGCGGTCCATTTTCCACATGGTCGACCTTTGGATCTGTTACCACTGTATCTGTATAACATTGCTCTTTGTGGTTTCCTGTCTGATGCCAATCTTGTTACTTGGCCAAACCACTTAATCTGTTGTCTACAGATAATGTTCAATACTGGTTGCATGCAGACCCTCCTCCTGATATCATGGTTCCTAAGTCGTTCCTAAGTCAATCTTTCCTTGTTACACCTAGCATAGTATGTAAACTTTTTCGGTCGTGAATATTTTCCTTCTGTCTTCTGAAGACCTTGTCCATGTTTGAAGACAAGAAAAACAGTCTCAAAAAAAATTTAATGGAAAGGATATCCTAATGAAATTTCAAGTCCTAGTTAACCAATCACTCTTTTCTTTCAAATTCTTTTTGTGTAGTTCCTTTTAATCTGTTGCTCAGGACTTCGTTATTAATTATCTCTCCTACTTTGGTCATCTCCATCTCTAGAATGAGTTAGCAATCTAGACTCTTCTGGCTTTCTTCAACTGTTATCATTATGTTTCTTATCATTCAGTTCATGGGGGTAGTTTCTAAAAAGATCCTTGGAGATCATCACTGAAGCTATGGTGTTTGTGCTGTGTAGTGCTCTCAGCAGGCAGCTAGACATTTTGTGGAGAGACTGAGCTGTATTGGATAAAACTCAGTGCAATGAAGTGAATCCTCTAGACCTGACCTTCAACCTTAACTTTTACCTTAAGTAATGTTTAGGTTGTTTTCTAAAAATTCATTGTCATGATTCTGTGGCTAAACTTTCTAGGAAATAAAGGGCACATTTTCTAAGAAATTACAAACACTTTCGTATGCCGGAACTTCCTCATCACTTCGCACACCTGTCAGGTTACAAAACAGTTAATTATATCACTGCTTCTATTTCAGATCCTGGTGATTAATTCAGTTACTAAATATAGACATTGGAAATCCCAGTGGGGTAAGCAGACTTGCATTAATAAATGTATAACTCATGCAGAATATTATAAACTAGGTGTTGTGAAGTGAGTGCATTTGAGACTTTTTACAGTAGAACATCTGGGTAAAAGGTGAGAGGAAGACCAAGAAAGTGATGGATAAATGGTGTAGCTGAAACCCTGTAAAATGATAAACAAATCCCTCACTCAAGCCACTCAAGAAGTGCAAGACTACAGAAAACTATGGCTCTGGGCAACAAAATGGCATCAGTGAGACGACAAAAGAAGAAGAAGAAAAAAGTTGTGAAGTAATAAATTATATTTCTAAACTTAATCTCCCAATAGAGCATAGGCTTTCAACCACCTATGCATATCCAAGATACCCTGTTCAATCTCCAAAGATGTTAAAAATTAGGGCACCCATAATAGCTAAACCTGCTAGGTGTCACCTGCAGTCTTATGCATGCAATTGTAACTTTCTTCACGTGCTTTTCACTCTCAATAATCATTTACTATAAAATAGAAAATCCATGTTCCTGTCTGTCTTTCTCTTTACGTTTGCACTGGTGCATTACCTGCCAGCTGGTCAGCTCTTTTATTACCTTTCACTCTTGCAAACCCAGGTGTGTAGATCCAGACGATGAGGGTACCTGTGACTTCCAAATGCTTTCCAACAATTCAGAGCGCAAATTATCTGTTGCATTTTCTGAGGCAAGTTCACTGAGTCTGAAATAATTACCACTCATCTGGCTGCTGGTTCTGCTACCCATGTGAGTGATGTGAATACAATGATTATCTCCATGGCTATGCTTGACATAGTTGCCTGGCAATTTCTAGGTCAATTGTGATATTTTCTTAAAGTTTTTTACCTCTTGGTGCAAAATAATGCCTAATCAATAACAATTAACATTTAATTGAGTTATTTTCCTTTAATATCTACATTTTTTTAACGCCGCTTGAAGACAAAGTGTGCAAATACTATATTAGGCTGTTATCTCCCTTCAAACTTGAAGTCTGGACAGTAAATGCTGTTTTCTTTTAGCAGTGGGGGTCACGATAAGGTAGTGTTTCCCAAAGTGGACACTACAGCCAACTTAGTGGCGCTGGGGTAGCTTTGTGAGTCAGTTTGGGGCGGGGGAGGAGGGGGGGGGGGGGAATTCGGGGTTGAAATAAACAGGCCTGGATTTGACATGGATCCTTCAACAGTGTTCATCATCACGGATGATCACCAAAAGACTAAATATACTGTTTATAGCTATGACATGATGACTATAATGATCTTCTATACTACATAATAGAAAATACCTGTGTTTCTCTGTCGTGGTATACTGGTATTATTTTATTTGTCTGTCTATTAATGATTCGAAACTGTACAGCAAAAAGTATGTGCTGGTAACTTTGTGTCTCCATATTGACTGTCTTTTCTCATTTATAAGTAGCTTTCCATCATGAGTCATAACTGACTCATTTTATGTTATAGAATTATAGAAGATGGTATTACATATACCAGTGTTCTTCAACATTTTGACACTCGTGGATCAGAAAAACAATGGAAATTCTTTCAAGGACCACCTGACAACTAAAAAATGTAGATAGCCGTTTATTTGTTTAATCAGATGTCATCAAATTACATTTTTTTAGCTCATGAGACATCTGCTAGTGGTTAAAAGTTAGAAAATCTATGTAGTAATGTTGTGCAGAAACCAGGTAGCCGCTACAAGATTAGGTAGAATTTTTTTTTGGGGTGGACCACTAGGACATTTCTGCTGACCACTGGTGGTAGGCGAACCAGCAGGTGAAGAACACTGATATTCATATATAAATACAACACAATCTCACAGTATGTCACACTATTGAATTTTAAATCGAGACAGAAAAGCATCTTGGGGTAAGTTTAGTTGTGTTGGTCAGTAGTTCGTGCTCAGATGTTCAGCTGTTGCTCAGTCAACATTCCAACATCACTGCAAACAAGTTGCATAATAACTTTCCTATTCCTGTCCACAGTGAAAATCACACAAACTCGCAACAGAAAACTGGTGAAAAGCTTGTCAGTCCCAGCAAAATTTTGAAACTTGCATATGAAAAGTAAAACTGCATATGCCAGCTAAATGTGCTATTACTAACGGTCTCATACAAGAACTGCAGCTCAGTGCTGGCGCAAACGGTCACTCACAAGCCAGCGTTACAGCTGCAAAAGTACAAACCATTCTGAACTTAATCAGTTACTTTCAATTTTAGTGCAGTAAACAATAGGCACAATAGTAAAGAGATTCCACATGAAATCCCACATAGCTCACAGTGTCACACCAAGGACTCAAATCTGGGCGGCTGAATCTTTGGACTACAGGTTCAGAAATGGGGGAATCTGCATCAGTTAAACCTGGCTAGAAACAAATAACTTTTACAAGCGTCAGTGGTCAGCCGGCAATTGGCCAGAAGTATCAGATGTCCACGTGCCCATCTTCAGATCATGGGCCAAAGGACGAAAGATTCTGGAAAGCTTCAATCACATCCACTTGTTGCTTGAACTCTTTCAATTTTAAACAGTTGCTTCTTTAACTCTTTCAGTCATAGGGGTTTTAGCATCAGAGGCCAACGGGTAGTAAAAAGAGAGGTAAAATTTGGCGTTCATTGAGCTTCGAGGTAGGAACCTATAAACGTATAATGTGTTCCTTGGGACTGAAAGAGTTAATGTTCTAAATAATTTTATATGAGGGAGTTATAATAATATTACATAACAGGACAGAAGGGATGGTGACTGTAACAACCAGAAAGATGTAGCAGTGGTCATAGATACTTTTATGCACAAATATACCTCATTATTTACCAAGGCATATTAATAATAACAAAGGATTTTTTTATATATAAAAAAAGGTGCCAGTCCTCACCACAAAGTGTCTATTACAGCAGACCTAGAAAAAAAAACTGATGCTAAAAAAAAGGTGCTACTACTGTGCACCGTTGTGTACTGCCAGGGGGGAAAACCCTGACTGTAATGCAAAATGTATCATAAGAGGTGATTAAAAAAGAATAGCATCAGATTAGCTATCTCTTCCCACTTATAATGTTCACTGGGGGGAAGTCAATAAAATAATAAATGTCTATTTAAACAATGTGTGTGTAAGTCATATGTCTCACTGTGAGAAGAAGAAACAGAAGAGGTAGGAGAAAAAGAAAAAAAGAGGTAGGAGAAGAAAAAGAAAAAAAAGAGGTAGTAGAAGAAGTAGAAAGAGAAATAAACAATTACTGAAGTCAAAAATTTAAGAAGTTAAAAATTCAAGAAGCAGTAGGAGTAGGTACAAGAAGTAGCAGTAGTAGTAGGTACAAGAAGTAGCAGTAGTAGTAGGTACAAGAAGTAGCAGTAGAATTAATACAACTCAACACAATATCTAGTCTTTGTCAAAACATTTCCTCTCTAGTTACAGTTAAATAAATTAAATAAATAAGTTAATCATTACAGCACAGGTGTTGAGCCCTACTTAAGGAAGGCCGTTCAGGTAAAATTCGATTCCCGGCACAGTAACTCTATACTATTATTTACGTTGTGACAACAGTTGTCCAGCATGCCCTCTTATCTCTTACTTCTTTCTACAAGTGCTCATCAATATATGTCAGATTATGCATTAATTTAGTCAGTAAGTAGGTCTAGTTTAATGAACGTCTTACCTTCTTGAAGTTGGCGGCGAATCTGACGAAGACCGACAGTTGAAGTTTTGTCGTCTGCGAGAATGGCCTGCTGACCCTGAAGCAGAAGATAAACATCCGTACTAAAGTTTTTGTGGTTAAAACCATAGGTATGGCTTTCGTAGAAATAAGTTTTTACCGGGGAAATAAGTCACTGCAACAGGATTTACCCAGAAACAATAAATAACATTTGGTTTAGTGGGTGGGGGCGGGAAGGCTGTTTTGTTTGTTTCAAGTTTATTTTAGCAGTCTGTTGCATTTGCTAGTTATCGCCACCACACAATTCAATTGAAAGTAGCCTTTTTGGACTTTGGCTCTTTCGTGGCGGATGTTATGTTGTTTTCACAGTTCACTTCACATTTATCATTTCAGTGCATACTTAGTCTACCATGCAGCTTTTCCCCACTAACGATAGAAACCGTAATCAAAAACAATAAAGTGAAGTGTCTCCATAACAAACCTGTTATTTATTGCTCTTATCATAAGCATCGAAACCTCAGACATCTTTCGCCCATCGCCCTCAATAATTTGTTTTTCGAGATAGGGATCTCAGACCTCCCCTCCTCATCTATAAAATTTACAGGAGTTTTTGCCAAACCCCCCCCCCCCCTTTTTTTTTCGCACCCCCTCCCCCAACCCCAATATCTACAGATGTTCTCTTGTTAAGTGTTTATACATTTCATATATATATATATATATATATATATATATATATATATATATATATATATATATATATATATATTATATATATATATATATATGGCATTCAGCAAGCATAATAATTATTATTGCACACATAAACAAGGCTAAAGCCCACCCACCACCGCCACCCCAAAAATTATTTGCGGTGGTGCCTCTACTCTTAGTATAACCCTTGCAGTTTTTCTTAAGTGCACCAGTGAAACATTGTCAATATATATCAGCTGCAACCAGGATCTTTCTTACTGACATTAGCGAAGCACCTAACAAATAAATTTGCAGCCATTCTCACCTGCCATATGTATTTTCCTGATTAATTATTAATTTTTTTGTTTTGTTCTGGAGTACTTCATTATTTATGGACTGTATTTGCTTGCTTCTAGGATGTTTGGGACCATAAGACAAGATGTTAGAGGGTTTAGCCTCATGGCATGAAAGAACATGTTTCAAAAATGACTGACAGTAATCTGGCCTGTTCCAACCACGATAAAGACAAAGCTGTACATAAGAGGGTATGGATTGCACGGTAGCTTTGAATGTTCAATTAAGAATCAACATCAAAGCACTCGGGACACTCCCATAAGCACTCCCTCCCTATCTTCAGCAGCAAATGAAGAGTTCCAATTCCGATGGCACCAGTAACTGTCTGATTGAATAGCCATCTCGCCTTTCCCTGAGTGTTGAGCATCAGCCAGATCCCTGGCAACTCCTCGCAGCGCCATTCTCCTCAGACTGTAATGATCTATTTGCACTTCCGCACTGTTGACTTCCTCCCAGAGGGCCCTCACAACATCTTGCTTGACATACCAAATGGTGCAGAACCAGCCAGTGCTCATTTCCCAACACACCAGAAAGACCTGGAGAAAATATTTAAAGGATGCTAACTATCCGGGACCTCTGAAGTGATGCTTGCCACTCTGCACGATGCATGCCTGTCTCCACCTTTCTCAACATGCTCTGTGAGTCAGTTACAGTCACGGCATGTATGTACAGCTGATTCTCAAACCAGCGGAATATAGCAGTGACTGCCTCCACCTCCATTCTCAAAATAGATGTTGTGATGTCATATGCCAGGCTTTGTTGCACTAAGCGACATCCTTCACTTTCCCTATAAACCTCCATGCACTTTGTCTGCCCCTCAACACAGAGCCATCTGTATAGATAATCACCTCACTTGGAATTGTCATGAATCATTTGTTGAACTTCTGATTCTGCAGCACCAGCTGGCCAGTCCCTGCACTCACGACCCAAAGTGATAAAAACCCTACACAAGTCTGAAACTTGGAACCACTCCTCTCCTTTCTTTTGTTGATATCTGCTTATGCCGCTAGGCGTCACAGTTCATCAGACGATCGGCAGCCGAGCCAGGGCGCGCTCAGTTGCTTGATATGCTGTGATGTTATGCAGTCTCAAGGTGTCAATGACTCCTTCAATCCATCTTCTTGGTTTTCCCCTGCCTCTTGATGTTTCAATTTTCAGGTTGTATGCTCTTGCTGCTGGCATCAATGGTTTCATTCTCATTAGATGGCCAAACCAATTCATTCTTTGTTTCTCATTAAATTTGACGATGGGTGTTGTTCCAACAGTTCTTGTGATCATGTCGTTTCTCACTTAATCTCTTCTGGTTTTATTCACAGCCATTCTCAAACATCTCATCTCACAGGTGGTTAGTTTTCTTCTTCTTCTTTGTGTTCACCAGCTGTACACTCTGGCGTAAAGTTCTGGTTGTTCGTCCACTTCTGGACTGCAGTCATGCTCCAGAACCTGAGTGTTGCATGTGCATCAGTTTTACAGATCTGATTCAATTGAATGCAGACTGCTGGTTCCTTGCCTCTCAGGCAGATGCACTCCGACTTCAAAGGAAGCTCCCCAGTTAGTCGACTCTTACGACATGCTTTTGGGGAGGCAGTGGGTCTATTCTTGTTTTCCCCACAATAGGGCCCCGGAACCCACACGGAGGGGTTAGTTTTCTTTCGTGTTCTTTTGTCAATATCCAAGTCTGACATTGGTAACCTAAAGTTGATATAGCAGTCCTTGAGAAAACAGCCATGCCCAGCATCCACATTCTACTGATGCAGTATCAGATTCGTTGGGCTGGTTATGTGGCACGCATGCCAGATCACAGGCTTCAAAAAAAAAAACTCTTCAATGGTGAACTGCAAAATGGGAAACGTTCCCAAGGCGGACAAAAGAAATGCTTTAAGGACACCTTGAAGTCTTCACTCACAGCATTTGGAATGAATGACACTAATTGAGAGGCTGCCTCTCAAGACCGAAATGCATGGCGTACAACTCTACACAAGGGTGCGGCTGCATGTGAAGCAAACAGAACAGCAAGACTTATTAACAAAGGGATGGGCAAAAAGGCAACTGCAGGAGATCCCCTCCCTAGCACCTTATCCACAGCCTTGGCGTTCTTAGTCCAAGAGGTATCAATATCCAAGATACCTTCATCTAAATAGTTCTAATCTTATTACATTTTAAATATTAATTATTTTATTTTATTTCATATTATTACCATATTCTATTTCTTATCAATATCATTTATGTATCATTAACACTTGCATTTCTTTTATTCCTAGTATTGTGACTATATTTTTTAGCCATCGTTTATTTTATTTTATTTCATTTATTCCGCATCACATTTTTTAAACGTCGCTCACGTCACCCCTTAGAGATCTACATACTCTCCATTCCTCTTTTGTGTAGTCCACTTGTGTTTGAAAAAGGCTGCCTGGCCGAAACGTTACGTTGTGTTGTTTTGTGCACGTTTTCCTTTTTCCCATTTTGTTGAGCTTTTTAGTCAAATTTCTCTGGAATTCATTGTATTAGCTTGACTGCAGTCACCCCCATAGTTTCACCATTAGTGGCTCTCAACCTTGCTAATGTCGTGACCTTTTAATACAGTTCCTCATGTTGTGGCGACCTCCAAAGAATTATTTTCCTCCATAACTTCAATGAATATTTGTTTTCTGGTGGTCTTATGCAACCCCTGTGAAAGGGTAGATTGACCCTAAAATGGGTCACGACTGGCAGGTTGAGGGATTATGTCTGCCTCAAACTGTTACCATTCAGTGTGGACATATGGGGATTTTGACAAACTAAGGAAAGGAAGGTTCGCTTCTCTTGATCAAGGGTAACTGAACATTAATGTCTGGCTTCTCCTATAAGCATAGCAAACTAGAAACTTTTATTTGTTTCTTCCTTCCTTTTCTCCCTTAATGCTGCTGCATGAATATTTGACACCCTGCAACTATAAAAATATACAATTCTGGATGGCAGGATAAAAGGATGATTCTCTGATACCCATTCTTCTTCATAGTTTGTCCAAGTGACATAAATGCACTGTGCCTGTTTACAGCATAGCTGCAATATTTGCACCGGCCAACACATCCGACTTCTTTCGGCATTCATTATCCAAGCTGTGTGGTGACTTTGCCATCCCCTGCTGCCTAATTGCCTGCAGCTGAACTGAACCTAGTATGCTGAATTATGAAACACATATAAAGCCTTCTTCTTCTTAGCCATGTTCATCAGCTCTTAACTTTGGTGGAAAGGTCTGATTGTTCGTCTACTCCTGAATTTTGGTCTTAATCCAGCACATACGTTTAATGTATATCCATTTTAGTGATCAGGTTTATTTTTGTATGCAGACTGTTGGTTCCTTGCCTCAGGCAGATGCACTCGAACTTTGAAGGAAACACTCCTAAGCAGATACCTCCTACGACATGCTTATTATAGGGACAGTGGGTCTATTCTTTGTTCTCCAAAATGGAACCACAGAACCTACAGGAGAAAACCTATGAGGTACTTGCTTGCTTGTTGTACCCAACCAAGACATCAGACAAGTAATAAACACCCAGTGACACAAAGTGCCACCATGAGGATGAGGATTACCCGTGGAGAGGTCCCAGAGACCCCTTTCAACCATCATGGCCACATTTGTGGTCCAGCTATATTCAGGGGCCCCGGCAAAAGCCAGGGTGGGGCTTCAAATTAAAAAAAATTGCATCCCACAAGGGGGCGGCTTGGATTACACCTATAAAGTAAAGTCAGGAACCTTTTTTAACTGCTTGAAATTTATTGGGTTTATTTGTATCAACAAATTAGCATACAATGGTTGATGTAAACAATCTCACACCAGCCACATTGGTGTCCCAGAATGCTTCTTTGCCCCCATTTCAATGTCTGCACTGGCTAGTGGGGGAAGAAGTATGGACAGGGCAGATATACTGAATGTGCTGCATTTGAGACATGAACAGTGAATCTCCAGTTAGAAATGGGTATTAAATTATGACAAGCATACAGGAACTGGTTGCAGGGCAAATAAGAAAATATGTCATTAACTCCTGCTGGATACATTGAGCATGGATACATAAAGATGGCTGCTGCATCGGAGAACAGAGCACGAGTGGTCAGAAGATTGGGTTAAGATGTCATTATGGATAACAAGTGTCCCATTTCAGAAGGGTCTACCTGGTATCACAGATCATTTTTTTTTTAAAATCCCTGCTCCGACAAGAATTCAAACTTGTGACCAGTAGGCCGGCAGGTAAGTATGCTGGCCAATGCATTATGGGTGATAATTCTTTGACAACGCACATCTTCTTCTTTTCTTCCTTCAGTAACCTCATCAGAATTTTGGGGGGAGATCTGAGGAGGTTCTGTGTGCTTTTTCTAATCCGTTGCATAAGTGATCTTCATTATGCTCTTTCTAATGGGTTGCTTAAGTTGATCTTCATTTTCTAAATATTTTGGAGATGTAAGGGTCTTATTTATGCTCTTTCTAATGCGTTGCGGCGTCCGTGGCTAAGGCGTTGCGAGTCCAACTCGTGAGCCAGCATACCTCGATCGAAACCCACTGCAGGCTGCGTGGATTTTTGTCGTGGTGTGGGACGTCGCAGGTCGACCCAGCCTAAAATGGGAATCAGGATGGGCTGTCCTCGGAAAGTAAAGACAGCCGGCGTAATGCTGACCACATTACCTACAGAGTGCTGATGGTCTGTAAAAATATGGGACGCTGTGCTCATATGCCCGATGCGCCGAAAGGCGTGAAAAGGGATCTTTACTTTTTACTTTTACTAATGCGTTGCATAAGTTTATCTTCATTTCTTTAATAATTTGGAGATGTAAGATCTTGTTAATGCTCTTTCTAATTTGTTGCGTAAGTTCATCTTCATTTCTTTAATATTCTGGGGATGTAAGGATCTTATTTATGCTCTTTTTAATGCGTTGCATAATCTGATTTTCATTTAAGTTTTGTGGAAGATTTAAGCACCTTCTGTGTGCTCTTTCCAATGTGTTACTTCTTCTTCTTTTGTTTGCTTCCTGATTTACACCAACAGATGAGTACTTGTGATAAACTTGACTGTTTTAGAAGTTTCCTTTTAATTTCAATTTTTGAGTGTAATCATATGGGGGGAGGGTGACCACACAACTGTGGTTTTTAATCCGCCTTCTGATCCAGTATTTTTGACTTAAGTATCTCTTTAAAGGGAGAATGGGCTCATCCCTTCACCTTTACCTCGTCTGTTGTCCCATCCAGTTGAGACCCCAGTCTTCCATTGGATTACTGGGAAAAACAGGGTCCACCACATGAAGGTGAGGGAGGCCTGAGCAAGAGAGGCTATTAGATATTAAGAGTCTCGTATTTTGCATCATTGTTTCGTTAGGACCCCCAGTGTGTTACATAAGTTTATCTTCATTTCTTTCAGACTGTTCTTGATGCTGTCATTCCATTTTTTGCTTTATCTTCCCCTTGCTGTGTTAATTATATTTCTCCAGTGTGACTCTGTGGCAGTTTGTTCTAGGTCATTATCATCAAATGACCAAACCATCTCATCCGTTGCTAATTAATGAATTGTATAACTGATTTCAGATCTAGTCTTATTCCAGTTTCTTTATTTCTTTTTGAATATTTACATCTTGTTACTCTGACAGCTATTCTAAGAATCTTATTAGCTATAGTAAGGATCCCTGTTTGACACTGGTGACACAGAGTTGGCCAAAAACAAATAATTCTTGTTAGATATGCCTTGGTAGACAGTGTTTCCTTCTGTGTGTCAAAACTAGTGTTAATTGTAGACAATACGCATGCAAACACACACAAAAGCCAATACACTGGGGTTATCACTTGTTTATTGTGATGAGATGGCTGAATAATCCCTTGAAGAACACTTTTTTCTGAACAGTTCAGTATAAACAGACACACACTTACATTTATAGCACCTCAAATGTAATTTTATGATTAAAAAAAAAAGCAGTATGTGACTAAATCTTAGTACAGGTAAAATAAATGTACTGGTAAAAGTACATTATAAACAAATCTTTGTGTAATACGCCTTTCAAGTCCTTAAAGATATATCAAAAATAGATATGGCATTAAGCGAGAGCTGATCATTGATTTTTGAGACAGAATTTTTTTACTTTTATTTTGGATAAACTTATTGCTTAATGGATTTTATCTCCTTCAAAGTAGTGTTGTTCTATATGTATAAACTTAATCTGGCATTCTGGAATTACTTCCCACATACATTTTCTGTAGTAGCTCTCAACTGTTTCTTCAAGTTGGCTTAAATATCTGCTTTGTCATTAAATCAGCAACTTTTTTTTTCAGTACACATGTAAGTTCTCATGTGAAATCCATGTTGAATGGGTCTTTGACATTTAGTGCTGGCTCAATGCAAGTACTGCTCCTTACACACATAGGACAGAAGGTTAAGTGAGACTGGTGTAGCTAGCAGGGTGCTCCAATTTCTTTGGAGATTGAATTAGATATCTGGGATTCGTCCTGTTGGTCTACCACCCAGATTCAGTTTTGTTACTAGAGGTCTGTGGCTTAGGAGTTGTGAACAAGCTTTGTAATGACGGGGTACTGAGTTTGATCCCAGCTGTGGGCCTTGCACAGGTTTTGACAGTGGTCTCAGGGAGCCGACCATACAGAAAACAATGGCAAACTACTGGATCTAAAATTTGCCTAGAAAAACCATAACAGCAAAAAAAAAAATGTTGGGGTTGGTTCTGCAATATCCTGTAAAGGATATGTAATTAACTAGAGGACAGAGTGCAAACAAACAAACTACAATGTCTCCAATGTGCTGTGTGCAGACTTTTCCATGAGTTTCCAGCAACTAGAAACAAAAGTTTACAGGTATCTCATCACAAATATGTTTTTGGTTGAGTTGAATCAAGAATTTACATCATAGCACTCAGGGCATTCCCATGTGTACTCTGTCCTCATCTTCAGCAGCAAGGGCAGAGTTCCAGTACTGATGGTTCCGGTCACAATCTAATTAAATGTCTGTCTTGCCTTTCCTCTGAGTGTAGTGAGCCGGCCAGACCCTCTGGTTACATCCAGGTGCCTTATTCTCTTCAGACCATAATAATCTTGTATCTCTACTGATTGGGTTGTTTGTTCCCAAAGGGCCTTGACCACTCTGCCTTGTCATGTATAAATATAAAGTTTAAATAATTTTTTGGTGAAACAACACTGCAAAGCTTGTACACTTCCAGACTCACCAGATCTGTCTTTGGTGATTTCTTGATCCCACAACTTAAAACAGTAATAAAATTTCACAGCTTTGATGGCGCTAAAAAGATCAAGTCGGTGCAACAAAGTCAAAAGAATAAAAGTAGATAGCATGGTACTAGGAAAGAGGGCTGTGGCTGAACAGCATGGAGATGGGCAGAGGATATGAGCAACACATTGGGTAGGAAAGTGAGCAAGGAAGGACAGCTGGCAAGAGACCACATTTTTTCTTTTTAATTTCAGGCAGACCACGATGAAAGTGATGTTCTGCAAAGGACCTGCTACATTATAACGCTGACAAAGCAAGTGACGGCTTTTAGAAGAAAGTATCTATCAAAAGTGATTCCATCATTGACAGTAACAGTGGAATAAGCGTACACAGTAAGATTAGCACTTTTTTGACAAAGATAAAACCCACTAACTGAAAAATTAACAAACTTACTAAAAAACAATTCAGTCTCTGAACTTAATGATTCATCCTGTTAATAGCTGTCCAAATGCTAAAACGTTAAAAAGAAACCAAGTACACAAAAAGGATCACACTATAAGATAACAGCATCACATACCCTTCCCCCCAACCTCAGTCGCTTCTCTGTAATTCAACAGTGATCATCTAAATATGGGTAAGCATCAGTCCTCATTACACTGACAACCAAGAGCTAACAATGAAAGACTGCTGAAATAATTCTGAATGAAATGCGTACTTCAGGGAACTGTTGGCTTGACTGATTCCTTCACTCATTCCGATACAGCACTGACTGACAGAACTGTAAGAGCTTCCTTGTTAATACCAAGTTTTCGACCATTCACTACTAAACATCGTGGAGAATCAACCTGGATACTTGAAAAACTGATTTCCTGTAAATGTAAAAGTTGGGAACAATTTATAAAACAATCTTGGAAGACTATTTTTACAACAAACAGCATATCAATCATATGGTGCTAAGTGGAAAGTGTGGTCAGAATGCAGAATAATGTTAGACACGTAGGTCCACTATAGGTCAACTTAATGAGGGCTGCGTGGTCTCGGGGCATGACATCCGCCTCGAGTCCTGGAGGTACCGTGTTCAGGCCCCGGTGAAGGCTGAGATTTTTTCACATGGACTTCTAGTAATTTCCCATGGTCTCTGGGTAGTGAGAGCGGACGCCCGTGTGTAATGCTTTGCACTTAAAAAATTCCTTAGCAGTTGGATTTCGAAAAGCGTAGCCTAATGGCGCTTCTTTTTCTCTTCCACCTTGTACCTCATCGAAGTGTCGGGAGAAGATGTAATGTTCGTTGATGAGCTCTGTCAAGAGCACTATTAAGACTGATGTTCATTTCTGTAAGGCTGTTCTTAATGCCATCACTCCATATTTTTCTAGGGCTTCCACTCGCTCTATACCTGTTGTAACATTTTAGTGGTGCTGCCCCGGCAAAATGTATAGTTTAAAAAAATCTACCCAAAGTATTTCAGGATCCTGGTTGGTGCGACGGAGTTCGTATACTGCGCTGAGATTCTTTAGACTCAGGGTTGAGTCAGAAGTAGAGCGGAGCACTTCTTCGCTACCCCTTGTGCCATAATGTTGACCCATAGTCTAAACCTGATGTGCTGAAAAGGCAACCTGCAAATTTTGTTGAAATCAATGAAGACCTGCGTCTGCGGACTGAACATGATTTCTATCTGTTCACCAGCCCGGCTCTCTAGCGTAGTTGGCTAAACCGAATTGTGCGGTGACCGGGTAACAACTCCTTGTGGTCCAGGTTCACTCCCGGGGGTAGGCAGAAAAGCCACATTTCTCCCAGATTTACGGTATTTACAATGGAATCCAGGCCGAAAGGTTGCGATATCCATAATAACGAGCCTAAAGGTTAACAACTCATGGCTTCTGGATACTAAAACATAACAAACAAAAATCTGTTCACCAACTGATAATCTATTTGCTGTTGTGTTCCAGGTACACCCTAGTCACCATAACTAAAGTTATGTCGATCAACCTCGAACAGCCTGCCCAAAAAGTCAGTACCACAAGATACATATAGATACTCAAGAGTGGATACTCAGGGACAGATTATGAACAAGCATTTTTATGCTTACCATAGTACAGGGGTGCCGATACACTGAAAACAAGGGGCATGAGTGTGGCTAACGTGTGCAACAATAATAATTATTATGTGATGAATGACAGATCTACTGGACAGGGTCAGTCCACCAATGTAAATTATTGGGGAGGCTTAGTTCCCCCTCTTCCCCAAGGTTTCGGTGCCTATGCCACTGTGCTCATTCAGATGGTGCAAACAAAATGCAGAGTATATTTTGCAGTTCTGTCCCCTGTAAAGTCTGTTAAAGCAATACTGGCCTAGTGAGTCAAGTCTCAAAGTTGTAAAGAACTGGAACTCAAATGGAGAGGAACTGGAACTCAAATGGAGAGGAACTGCAACAAAAAAACGTTCCACCTTTATAAAGAACTCGGCTCTCTGTGTAAACATCAATGATGTGATCATAACAAGATTAAGTAATAAACTGAAGAAGTGAAAGGAGATTCACCCAAAATTACATGAATGTTTAGTACACAAGTCAATACTCACTGTTCCCTTATGTGAAACTTTAACTTTTTTCATGACAGGTTCCGGAATAGCAACTGAATCTCCTATTTTCATTCCAGCACCTTGGGCCAGATTGTACACAGTCACGGCCACACACATTTTGTCAGCGTCAATTAAGCAGAATGCACTGTTGACACAAATGTATGCATGTATGTACGTACATCCATACATTCATACATATGTATCTATATATACATATGTATATGTACATATGCATGTATGTACATCCATACATGCATAAATATCTTTATACATATGTATATATGAGTGTTCGTGTGCATATATATTTGCCTTAATCAAATGTGAACAATGGGAAAACATAAAGGGTGAGGGTTGCTTTAAAAAATTAAAATAAATAAACAACAGGAATGCTCCAGTGACAAGTCTTCATCTGCTTACAAGAAACAAATTACAACAAACATAAAACAGAGATAAAAATGATAATACCAAGCAAGTTAAGATACTTCCTGGGAAGTAAAGGCAGCTGATGCAATGCTTATAAAGACAACTAATACTTACACAAATATTTGGGTATAATCTTCAACTTCTCCAACAGACGAGGAGAAGAAATGCAATCTAGAGAATAATTTGAAGTTAAGTTTTATTATGCCCTACCAAATATGCTAGAATCAAATGCTGTATCCCATAACACCTTGATCACAATATTTAAAATGTTGATAAGTCCAGCTGTCTTATATGGCTCTGAAACCCAGAGCTTAACCAAAATAGATAACGCTTTATTACACATTTTTTTAAACTGAGTCTTATGATGAATCTTTGGACCCATCAAAGATGCAAACAGGGAAAATGGAGAGAAAAGCAACAATAAAAAAATTTGTTATATGTTTAAATCACCACTTATATGAGGGCTAATAGACTGAAATTGCTGCTGAAGCATATAGAGAAAATGGTAGATGACAGAGAAGCAAAATCTGTGTACACAAGAAAGTTAAGTGGCCACAGACCATCAAAACGGGGGAGAGACATAATCCAGACAGACCCGGTGGCTGACACGTGAAGTCACCCAATAGAAAAAAAGATCAGAATGGAGGTGGGTTCCAGGGCCGCATTGTGGGGAAAACAGAAATAGACCCAATGCCTCCCCAAAAAGCATGTCATAAGAGTTGACTAAATTGGGGCTTCCTTAGAAGTCAGAGTGCTTCTGCCTGAGAGGCAAGGAAGAACCAACAACCTGCAGACACTTAAGTCAGATCTGTTAAACGGATGTTCATGCAACACTCAGGTTCTGGGACAAGACTAAAGTCCAGAGGTGGACAAACAACCAGAACCTTCCAGCGGACTTTACAGCCAGTGAATGAGGAAAAGAAGAACTAAAACTTACAATGGAACAAGGTCTGTAGAGTTTATTGAGCAAACGACCTTGCCCACAACAACTTTCCCATAGTTCACTTTCGGTTGTAGCTCAGCAAGTTTACACTGGGAAAGACTGACAACATTTCCTGTTTTGTTAGTATACTGGCCGCCTGCATGTGGTCCCAGGTCCCGGTCACTCAAACTGCTCAACAGAGATTCAATTTTCCTTGGCTTCATTTTACCCTGCAAATTAAACACAGAAGCGAGTTTTATTATTACTGGCATGGCTATGCCAGTTCTACAAGCAATTGTCAACCCAACAGACACTCAGTTTGTAGACTTCAGGCAACAGCTGATTTACCTAGGTTCTTCAGTAGAGCAATCTGTAGTGCAGAGGGATTCCAGGTCACTGTAGCTCGGAAGGCAATGAAATAAGGGACAGATTGGCTACAAGCGGCAGTAACATGGTACAACCAAATAGTGACATAACCTACCAAGAGACTAAGACATTAATACCATCTAGTATCCATGAAAGGTGGCTGGATACACACACCCAATTCTCTTCTCAAGACTCGCTTCATCGCCTCTCTAGAGATGCACAGTGTATAATATTCAGATTAAGGACAGGGCACAACAGACTTCGTCAACATGTGCAAACTAGTTGGTGTAGAAAACACGGAGACGTGCCCCTGCAACTTGGTACCCGAAAATGCTAAGCACATGCTCCAACACTGTCAACTGTATCCTGGCTGTTCCAATCACAACGAAGACAAAACAATATGGTACACGAGAAGATATGGACTGCACTGCGATGGCTTTCATACTACCGGCCTCCTGATATAAGTTTTCTGACAGAAGGATCGAAGAAGCAGAAAAAGAAGATGATGGCTTATAGACTGCAAATGCTGGGCATACAGACAGAATGGCAGAGAACAGAGACAAAAAATGGTGTGTATAAAGGACCAAATGAAAGACCAGAAGACTGTGGAGAGATAATATCCAGGCAGACCTGCAGACACTTGGAGCCACCAACTGGAAAGAGAAGCCAATCCGAGAGATGAATGAGGTGTGTGATGTGTGCAGAAATGTACCCCATGGGCTTGGAATTCTGTAGAAGAACTTGAGTTTTACTGTCAATTAGTTGCATCTTCTTCTTCTTTTTTATGTAAACTCCAGTGGAATGTTTTTGTTGTTCGTCCACTTCTGGACTGCAGTCCTGTTCCAAAAACTGAGTGTTGCATGTGCATCTGTTTGGCAGATCTGACTGCTTTGTATGCAGACTGTTGGTTCCTTGCCTCTCAGGCAGATGCACTCCGACTTAAAAGAAAGCTCCTAATTAGTTGACTCTTACGACATGCTTTTTGGGTAGGCATTGGGTCTATTCTTATTTTCCCTATAATAGGGCTCCGGAATCCACACGTGGAAATTAGCTGCATCAATACACAGATCAACAAATGCCTTGAAAAGCAGGATATGAAGACTGAAGGAAGGAAATAATCAGCTCTGCTGTAAACAGGCATGGTGCAGTTAGACCTGACTTAATTAATACTGGACCGACAAATTAAGAATACTTTCAGCCGCTCTAGACGGTGTAAGCTCTTCATTGTGGTGCAGAAACCAGCAAGGCAGTTGAGATTACACTGGCAAAGCAACAGAGACCAGCTGAAAAGCTCAGTGTGGCAAACCAGCCTTCTCTGCTCTGTTTACAATCTGCTGTCCACTGCTCAAGGAACTTGTTCGGCATGTACCAACCTTATCTTCTTCTTTCTTCTTTGCATTCATGGGCTGTAAACTCTGGTGGAAAGTTGTGGTTGTTCTTTCACTTTTTAATTTTAGTCCTGTTTCAGAATTTGGGCTTTGCAGGCACATCTATTTTACAGATCTAGCTTTTCTGTAAGGCAGATGCACTCCGACTTCGAAGGAAAAAACCCTAATGTAACATGCTTATGGGACTTCCGTTTTCAAAATGGCAGATAGCAGCTGTGTTTATTTTCACTGGCTGTCAATTCTCTCTGATTATTCTGTTTTGTAATCATGAACTGCTACTTTATGCGCATTTCCAACGAAGGATACTATGTGTTTTTCTTGGGAGCAGCGTGTATTGTGGTTGTGCTATGTCGGGGCGGGATAATGACTGATAGTTTTGGCATCCTCGACAACGCTGCCTTCGCAATGTTTTGATCGCGGCGGTCCACTCCGGAAGACAGAATCTCGTCAGCAGGGGACTGCAACTGTCTAGAGAGCAAACTCGATAAAAGCTGTCCCCAGAAACGGAATGTGTAAACCATATATTTGGTGGGGAGGAATCGACACATACGGTTAACTCAATGGCCTGGCCGTAACATGCTTATAAGTGTAGAGGGTCTGTTCTCCCCCCCCCCCCCCCACCCCCACCCCAGGCCTAGGCCGCAGACACCGACAAGAGACTTACAGACAGATGATTAATATGGTGAGGACACTGAGTGAGCTTCATCATCATTATCATGTGCCGTTGCAGGCTGCAATGTTTTGCCATCTCATACAATCGGAGATCCGGTCAGTATTCTTGTCTCACCCCCATCCATTTGGCTAAGCCATCCATGTATTTATCTCTCTGCCTTCTTTTATGGCATGCTTATTAGGGTGTAGTTGGTCTACTCTCTCCCCCCAGCCCCCAACCCAGCATGGTGACCCTTGAACTCACACAGGGAAGAAACAAAAGTGAGAACCTTACCTTTAATTCAATCATCTTTTGTATGTCCAGCAAGTAGTTGAGGAGTTCTGTTTCTTTGACCTTCGCTTCCATCCAGCTGGGGTCGAGCTGTGATGCAATACTGAAGCCGTCCAGAGCTTTCTGATAGTCCTCTTGGTATTTGTATGTCTGATGGTATAATCAAGAACATCTTACCATACTTTTTTATGTTATTTCATATTCTTTATATAATGCATAAATTTACATTTGTCTTTACAAATAAAGACAGACTTACACAATATAAGCAGAAATAAGCACATAAAAACAGAAATAAGCATGCGAAGAGACATGCACATAAAAACAGAAATAAGCACATCAAGTCAGACTATACAAATAAAAACAGAAATAAGCACATCAAGTCAGACTATACACACACAAAAATAGAAACAAGCACATCAAGTCAGACTATACACACACAAAAATAGAAACAAGCACATCAAGACAGACTATACAAATAAAAACAGAAACAAGCACATCAAGACAGACAATACAAATAAAAACAGAAACAAGCACATCAAGACAAAATATACAAATAAAAATAGAAATAAACACATCAAGACAGACTATATAAATAAAAACAGAAATAAGCACACCAAGACAGACTATGCAAAAAAAACAAATAAACACATCATGACAGACTGACAAATAAAAACAGAAACAAGCACATCAAGACAGACTATACAAATAAAAACAGAAATGAACACGTCAAGACAGACTATACAAATAAAACAGAAATAAGCACATCATGACAGACTAAACAAATAAAACAGAAATAAGCACATCAAGACAGACTATACAAATAAAAACAGAAATAACCACATCAAGACAGACTATACAAATAAAACAGAAATAAGCACATCAAGACAGACTATACAAATAGGAACAGAAATGAACACATCAAGACAGACTATACAAATAAAAACAGAAATAACCACATCAAGACAGACTATACAAATAAAAACAGAAATAACCACATCAAGACAGACTATACAAATAAAACAGAAATAAGCACATCAAGACAGACTATACAAATAAAAACATAAATAAGCGTGTGAAGACTCAAATTCAAACCCCCCCCCCTCCCCCCCCCCCCTTTCCCCCATGGGAGTTCTAGCCATTTGGAGGAAATATAATAGACCCATTGCTTTTTAACAAGCATTCAAAGATGATTAATTACGGGTTTTCTGAAAACAAATGTTTTAAGCCAGAAGGCACAGATACTGCAGCCGAGCTGTAAAGCCATAAACAATGTGCCAACTGCCCTACTGAAGGTGAATGCAGAAGAAGACTTTATAAAAGAAATAATTAAAACATGAAGATGCATTTAATAGGATTCTTCTCCTTCTTCTTAGCATTCACAAGCTGTAAAATCTGGCGGAAAGTCTTGGTTGTTTGTCTACTCCTGGTGTTTGATTTTACTCAAGGACTTCGAGTGTTGTGTACACATCCATTTTACAGAACTAGCAGGCTGTTGTCCCTCGCATCGCAGGCAGAATACATATTGACTTTGAAAAAGAAATCTCTAATTAGTCACCTTACATGCTTGTTGACGGAGAAGGGGGCTGGGGTCTATTCTTTTCCCCCAAAAATAGGGCCCCCCCACAACCCACAGAAACTTTTTAAAGGGCTGTAACAATTTAAGAATTTCATCATGTAGTTATTGTGCTGAGCTCTCATTAGAAACCCAGGTTTGATTCCTCATAAAACGATAATTTTTATGTTGGGGGGCAACAATAAAAAAAAAAATCATAATCTGAAGCGTTTGTGGCGAATGGCCGTAAAACCTCAGGTTCAAACCCAGACATCTACCCTACAGACAGTAAAGCATCAATAATTTACTATATTCTGCCACGAGCACGAGACACTGTTACCAACTTCCTATGGGAACAATCAGCAGAGGTACCTTGGTGTGTCTACTGCATGGAAGGACTGATCATGCATGCGAATACCCAATGTGCTTTGTCCACTGATTATGATAACAACATTACTACACAAATAAAGATACATAAGAAGTGAAGTCAGATATTCTTTTAATTTCTTGTTTAACCAATTATTTTACTTTGAAGTAAAATTAAAGGCAAGATAAAGACCAACTGATTAAGACCGATAAAATTAAGACAACATAAGTTAGAATGTATATATAAATAAAGTGCAGAATGGGACAGATATGATAAAGGAAAGATATATGCACATGCTGATTAAAGAAATATTCATCATCATCATGTGCCCCACCAACTGGCAAAGGCGCTCATGTATCTCCACAGATTACAATGATTTTAATGTCTCAAAAGGTATATTTCTAATACTCACCATTGCTCTGTTAAAATGCAAGTCTGGGTTACCTCTGGCTACTGGGTCCTTTTCCTGAAATAGAATTTTAAATAAGCAAGAACACAAGTTCATAAAAGATACGCATATAAATGTATAATGTTGTCCTTTAGATAGATGAAATTATAGTTTAACCTGAAACTTACAAAACACTGGCAAATTGCCTTCTAAGGCAATTTGCCAGTGACCCCCACTTATATATATTTTTACAAGAACTGACTGACTGACTGACTTTCTACCCCACCAGGACATCACACAAGCAATAAACACCCGATTGCACAATGTGCCACCATGTGGGTGAGGATCAGTGTGGAAAGGTCCCAGAAACCGTGTTTAGCCATCAGACCATATTTATGGCCAGGCTATATTACGGCCCCTGGCAAGAGCCAGAGGAGGGCTTCAAATAACGAAACATTTCATCCTAAAAAGGACGCAAAGTTGACAACATATATAAGAACATTTTATTGGACACACATATACATATTTATTACTTACAAAACACAGGCAAACTGCCTTAGAATATTACAGTGTAAATATACAGTTACAAAATGCACCCATACACTCAACGTGTATATATACTAGAACATGTTCTTGCACACACATATACATATTTATGAGAGGTTTTAATAAATACGGTAATAAGGCATGCCATATGAACCCATTTGTTCATAAATAATTCTAACTAGTAATTATTACTGCCATATTACTTTTCCATTCTCTGTACTCATTTATGTTCTGAAACTTATCACGCGGCGAGAGTTCCCTTCTCTCCCATTCATGCCACGGTCAGTCACACAGCATGTCCCATTTTCTAGGGGTGCCACAAATTCATTATTTTCAATGGTTTAACTGTCTGTTTTCTCGTGTTATCACCGCTTACTTGCATGATTACTTCCACGTTGTGCTACTTGCCTGAAAATTCATCAGTATCAAAACTGGGATATTTTTGTATTTCTAGGTTCCTTGTCAGTGGCTTCTTTTTCTTAAGGGGGGGGGAGAACCACTGCTAAGGAGCCTAGAAATATAAAAACATTCCAGTTTCGGTACACACACAAAAACAGTTGCGCCTTTGGCGCTTCCATCTGTAGTACTTCCTGCTTGTATATAGGCACCTGTGGGGCCTCAAAGAAACTCACGTCACAACCTTCCACAGATATTATATACGGAGAGTAAACACCGAACGAAGCCATGTTCTGGAATAAGACAAGTCCAGAAGTGGGTGAACAACTATGAGTTTCCGCCAGAGTTTACAGCCGGCGAATATGAAGAAAAAAGAATGTTTACATTTGTGTAAGATTTTCCATATAGCGGGCAGAAAGTATATTATGCATAGTTATATCACTGTCGGTATTTTATGTATATTAAATCGTTTTTTCTTTTTAAGCACAACATTCATCTTGTCATTCTGACTGCATTTTATTGACAAACTGACTAGTTCTACTAATTATTTAGGTTGAGTTTTTCAAATGTGTGACATAATGCTATGCCCATATTTCCTTAATCAAACAGTACTTTCCTCGTGTGGGTTCTGGGGCCCCACAGTGGGGGCAAACAAGAAGAGACCCATTACCTCCCCGACAAACATGCTATAAGAGTCAACTAACTGTGGGCTTCCTTTGAAGACGGAGTGCATCTGCCTTAGAGGCATGGAACTAACAATTTGGATACAGATAAGTCAGATGTGCAAAAGGGATGTCCATGCAACACTCAGGTTCTGGAACAAGACTAAAGTCCAGAGATGGACAAATACCGAGAACTTTCCGCCGAGTTTACAGCCAGTGAACACGAAGAATAGGGAGAAACAGTATTTGAAAGGTAATGTGGTCTATCACATGCTGACCCTGTTAGTCCCTAAAAGTTATCTTTAGGTTTTATGATGCTGAGCCATCTTGAGACATGAAAAAAAGATACTTCCTAGGAATTATTTAAATCCAAGATTGCCAGGCAGTCAGGCATGTAAGCACCAAATCTAATTTGAAACCTTAAAAATACAGAAGCTGTACAGTGAGAATAGTAGTTAAAAAACGATCAGCAACATTACTGACTTACCGCCTGGCTATATGCTTGCATACACTGTTTGAGCACTTTAGGTATCTGTCCTGAGCTGAAGAACTCACACAAGTATGCATTGCCCAAGATCACTGCAAATAATTATATACTCTCAATAACGAAATATGTATGCTTGTAACAATAATGAAATCATGTACAGGAACTCTGAAACCCTGATGTGTTATAATAATGATACATTGCAGTGCAACATTAATTATGCATTTCCCAAGATCACTGCAAATAAATATATACTCTCAAAAATGAAATACGTATGCTTGTAACAATAATGAAATCATGTACAATAACTCTGAAACCCTGATGTGTTATAATAATGATACATTGCAGTGCAACATTAATGATGCATTCCCCAAGATCACTGCAAATAAACATATACTGTCCACAATGAAATACTAATGCTTGTTACAATAATGAAACACAGTATCTGCCAATTTAATCAAACAAAACAATAATGAAAATGATGTGCTACAATGTGAAATATTTATATGCTATAAAAATGAAGCACTGACAGCTGCTATATTAATGAAATACTAGTGTGCTATAATACTCAGACACTGATGGCGTCTGTAAAAATGAAACAAAATTACCTGCCAAAATAATCAAATGAAATAACCAAGAAACGTGCTATAATGCTAAAATACTGACATGCTACAATAATGAAGCACTGCAGTAAAACAATAATGAACACTAGTATCTGTCAATATAATCAAATGAATTGATGTACTAAAATGCAGAAACACTGATGTGTTATGATAATGAAACACTGCAGTGCAACATTAATGAAAAAATATTATCTGTCAATAAAATTATAAGGAAGGTGAAAGAAGATTGTATTACTGAAGAAACCACAAGAATACTTGGTTACGCAGATGACATATAGTTGGAGAAAGTGAACTACACACAGTTTGTGGAGCGGTGAAATGAGCCAGGGGGTGGTAAAGCTTCAGATGCAATAAGAGGCAATGACTAAACTTAAGGCAGCGGTGGAGACAATGATGAAGAATAGTAGCGGTTCTTAAACTTTTTTCTCTACGGCACCCCTGTCGGGCAAAAACAAATTTCTCTGCACACCTACCCTTAAAGTGTATGAATATGCAGGAAAAGAAGCAAAGAACACTGCACATTTAATGTTCATCTGTCTTAAATGCGATGAATGAAACTGTTTGAGAGAATTGTTCATTATTTCCTTTATGTATATGGGAAGTTTAGTTAATTTTACCCTCAAATCACTGACCCAGAAAGTTTGCTCCTGTATCTTTTTTTTTTAATGTAAGCGTACATTGAGATTGCACTGCTGCCTTGCCAACAGCATTGTCTTCGGAATACACCTGCATCCAAAACTCTTCTTGGCTTCCTTCACTGTATTTCTGTTTTAAACGGCATTCTCCGCTGATCTCAAGCCGATTTGGAAAATTCTTGACTACTGCCGCAGCACCCACTTTGAGAACCTCTGAAGTAGAGGATGGGAGAATGAAAATTGTCTTCGACTATCCTCCTGTAAAGAATGTAGAGGGGCCGAAAGATTTAAACAGTGTTCATTCTGATGATGGGAAGGCTACCGTTTTGCTCGCTCCTCCGTGTAGTTTCTATGACACATATGGCAGCGGTAGAGACAGAGATGAAGTAGACTTAGCAGAGGATACGTTTTCTTTCACTATCTCTAGTGAAGCTGGGCAATTAAAACTAGTTTCTAGTGTTTTCTTTTTGTAAAGGCGAGGCTTCTAGGCATTGCCAAAGAGCGTCAGACTTGTCAACATTCGAGTTAACCACCCACCTCCATAGATGTGAATATTTTTAGGTGTAAAAAATTATCCCGCGTCGAAAATGCATCTTTTGCATTTCGAGGATAAAAAAGTATTGATCCCAGGAGAAAAGATCAGTAGGGAGCTTGCTTAGCACTGTGGTAACAAAGCTGCAGAGTACCTAGCAGCAAAATGGTTTAATCAGTGCTGATAACTGGTATCTCAAAGGCTAATATACTGAAACTGCTGGAATATACAGAGAAAATGGCAGATAACAGATAGCTAACGGTTGGTTCCTCACTTCTCAGGCAGATGTGCTTCAACTTCATAGAAAAAATCCATAATTAGTCGCCTTTTATGACATGCTTGATAGGGAGGCATTGAGTCTATTTTTTCTTTCCCCCCTCCCCCCTCCAAAAGATGACTATTGAAAATGTTTCCTTCAAGTTGTACATGTGCCTGAAAGGTAAGGAACCAACAGTCTGCGTACAAATAAGTCAGATCTGTAAAATGGATGTGCAGGCAAAACTCAACAAGTGTTTTGAATCAAGACCAAAGTCCAAGAGTGGACGAACAACCAGGACTTTCCGCCCAATGGATGTGAAGAAGAAGACTAATGTAAAAAAAACAATAAACACCAGTCACTAATTACAATGAAATATTAACTACTTTTCGTCCTTCTTAGGACGTTATTTTTTGTTGTTTGAAGCCCCACTCTGGCTTTTGCCAGGGGCCGCAATATAGGCAGGTCATCATTATGGCCAAATGTCTGAACGCGGTTTCTGGGACCTCTCCACGGTGATCCTCATCCGCATGGTGGCACTTTGTGTCATCGGGTGTTTATCGCTTGTGTGATGTCCTGGTGGGGTAAAAAAATCCAATCCAATTACAATGAAGCCACAGCAGCATCATGGCTACAGCTTATTTTTGCTGACCCAAAGGTCAAGGGCTAAAATGCACACTGAGGCAGATTTGTTCAAAACTGACCTTGGTCCCAGGACAAGCCAGCCTCAAGTGGGTATCAGGTAAAGGCAGCTGGCAGGAAGCTGACCACATCATCAAATGAGCATCAATTAGTTTATAAAATTACAGGTCCGACACTAAATGCCTGATGTGCATGATAAGAGCTCTTTTTACCAGTACAAGAGGTTCCTCGTGTGGGTTCCGGAGCCCGTGTGGGTTCTGCGGCCCCACTGTGGGGAACACAAGAATAGACCCTCTGCCTCTCAAACAAGCGTGTCGTAAAAGTCAACTAATTGGAAGATTCCTTCAAAGTCGGAGTGCATCTGCCTGAGAGACAGGGAACCAACAATTTGCATACAGATAGGTCAGATTTGTAAAACGGATGTGCATGCAACACTCAGGTTCTGGAGTCAAACTAAATTCCAGAGGTGGAAAAACAACGAGAACTTTCCACTGGAGTTTCTTCTTCTTCTTCTTTGCGTTCGGTTTGTAAGCTCAGATCAGACCATCAGGTGGGTTGCCTCTATGAACTCGCATGTCAGCTGCAGGTCCTGCATGGTTCCCCAGAGCTTGCTCTGCACACTGCTCTTGAGGCCAGGTGTCTTTTCGAAGTTGCAGGTAGAGTGGGCAGGTCTGCAGAATGTGCTGAGGTGTTTGTGGTCCTGTCTGACAGGCACACTGTGGGGACTGCAAAATCTTTATTTTATGCATGTGGTAGTTGAGCCTGCAGTGTTGTCCTGTTCGTAGACGGAAAATCGTTGTATGTTGCTTTCTGTTGAGTCTGCTGATAGGGTCTTGTGGATGTTTACTGTTGGTTTGTTCTCTCCACAATCCTTGGTATTTTCCTTTGATAAGTGTTTTGATTTCTGGTAATGACAATGAATGGGCGTGTTGTTTCTTCTTTGTTCCATTTTTTGCAAGTTTGTCTGCTAGCTCATTTCCTGGTATGCCGCAGTGAGCCGGGATCCACTGGAGAACGATTTGATTGTTTTCTGTGAGTTTGTTTAGCTGATGGGTCAGTTCTCTTTCTATGTTGTCTCGTGGATCCCTATGAGTTGCCTGGAGGATTTACATGCAGTCACAAAGGAAAACAATTTTGCTGTTTTTAATTTTTCTTTCCTTGAGCACTTTGGCTGAATCAATAATTGCTTGCTGCTCTGCTCTGAAGTTTGTTGAGAGTCTTCCAATGTAGATAAAATACATAATTGTTGCTACAGAGCGTCTCATTAGTTTCCAGGCATAGAAAAAATTAAAATTTTTAATGAAAACCGTTTTTATTTATATAATATGCTCCTATGACTAGCGCTGAATTGAAAACACATTTCCAGGGGCTGCATGGTCTGGAAGCATGGTGTCTGCCTCGAGTGCTAGAGGTTCCCGGTTCAACCACTAGTGAGGGCTGGGATTTTTTCACGTGGACTTGGACTTCTAGTAGTTCCCCCCTGGTCTCTGGGTAGTGAGATCGGACACCAGTGTGCATTGTTGCACACGTAAAAAATCCCTTGGCAGTTGGAAATCGAAAAGAGTAGTCTAACGGCGCTGAGTTAAAAATCTACTGAAAGTATTTCAGGATCCTCACTGGCGCTACAAAGCCTGTGCAGTGTGCTGAGCTTCTTCGGACTCAGACTTGAGTTAGAAGAACAGAGCACTTATGGGTTACTAGCCGTGTGCCATGATGTTAATCCTTTGTTCAAACCTCAAATCTAACGAAAACACATTTCCATGCATCCTCCACTGGTAAATAACATGTATAAACCCAGCTGGAGTTATGCTGGTAATGGCAGTGATGTGTACTTTTGGGTCACCCTGTACAATAAAGGTACATTATAAGGCACTACAAAAGTAACTGTAACTGTGTCACTCACGCCAGGATCTCCCATCTGTGATGTCCAGCTGAACAGCTTCTTTTGCTCTCTCCACACTTTCTTCTATCAGTTTGACCTTCTCAACAGGAGGACCACTAAGCTGCCTCAGCACCATGGACAAATTTCGGAGAGACACTTTGTTTTTTGACTGGATGTAGATTAAAACATGGAGAAAGATTCAAATTGAATGTGTACACTTTACTAATGCATGCAACTGAACATATCAATTCAATGCACTTTTTCAGGAATTTTTGTTTCCTTCCTTTTATCCCCCAACTCAAGCTAAGTTCATCACAACCATGGTACCTGCTCAGCAGCATTAGCCCTCTTGTCTTTAACAGATTCTGGTCCTATGTATTTTGAATCAATTCCACTGATGATATTCCACCATGCCACCACTTGCGACCATAAAGCATCATGTCTCTTGGTCTGCCTGTGCCTCTGCTACTGCTGATCTTTCCAGTTATTGTGATATTCTCTAATTCTTCTCTTCTCATTAGATTCCCGGAATTTACGAAGCCTCTATGAAATGGGTACCAGAGTTAACACTCTGGGGTAAATGGAGGAACGTCGCTGTAGCTACGGAGTTTCATGCGGACGGTGACACAGACGAACCGTTTCTTATCAGCTGTCCGTACTGGTGGCAGAGCACTATGGTTTATAACCGTGTGCAATGACACTGGTTCACATCTCCCGACTCAAATTCCTTTGAAGTCGGAGTGCGTCTGCCTGAGAGGCGAGGAACCAGAGGTCTGCATACAAATGAGTCAGATCTGTAAAACGGATGCACACGCAACACTTAGGTTCTGGAACAGGACTGCAGTCCGAAAGTGGATGAACACCAGAACTTTCCGCCAGAGTTTACAGCTGATGAACACGAAGAAGAAGAAGATCTCCTGACTTGACCTTTTATCTGACTACAGAAACCCCGATTTTCATGTCTGTATGGTTGTAAGTTGCACAGGTCGTAAGTTATGGAGAAGATGTCGTTATTTTAGCTGTTCTCCCATGTCTCAGCTCCTTTCTACAGTGTTGAATCTGTCATACTATTCAAATCCTTATATTATGTGCATGAATGTAATTTATTATTGATTGTTTTAGTGGTACCTCATGTCTGCTACCTTTAACAGTACAGATTTGACAATACAGTAACACATTTTAACATTGGTAGTTTCAGTTCTCCTAGACTGTATGAGATTTTAACCAGGGCTTTTTTTTTTTTACTGATGCAGCACCGACACTTTTTTTTTAAGATATACTTTTTCACCACTGCTGTAATAGACACTCTGTGGTGCATACCAGCACCTTTTATGAGACTTGTGAGTAACGGCACCTTTTTTCTTCAAAAACAAAAGCTGTGATTTTAACTCTGTGAAATTTAAAGATTGGCACTCTAAAAAAATCCACACTTCTGGATGAAAAGACTTCTTCTTCTGCTTTGTTTACCCTTAAAAGGGTGACTGGCCCACTGTGGTGTACAGCTAGGCTGCTTAATTTGTGTCCCTTGGTCCAACATATTTGATTTCAACAAACCCCTAATAAGTCACCTTTTAAATGTTGTTTAAGGCCAGTGAGCATAGATTATAGAAGTTTGCGGAAGCTCAGCTATCAACCAGATGAATCCAGATTTAAGCAGACATGCTTTTCACCTTGAGGTTACTCTGGTGAAACAGACAGACTGTAAATGTAGTCGATTTTGTGTTTCAGTTGGAAGGATTCATTTACTTGCTTTATGTTAATCAGTTGTTACTGTAGTATGCACCTGATGAGATACAGCGAAATATGCCAGGCAATAAATTGTGCAATGTATTGTTTGTCTTCTTTGTTCATAAAAGGTTTATGTTCACCTAGGGCAATGACTCAAATACATACATTCCTTGTGTGGATTTCAGGGCCTCACTGTGGGGTACAAAAAGGAATTACCACTGCCCCTTAACAATCAAATCGTAAGAACCAATTAGGGTGTTTCCTTTGAAGTGCATCTGCCTGAGAGGCGAGGAACCAACAGTCTGCATAAGAATAAGGCAGATCTGTAAAAATGTGCACAGTAAACTTAGGTTCTGGAACAAAAGTCCCAAACTATATGAACAGCAAAAACTTTCTGCCAAAGTTTACAGCTGGTGAACGCAAAGAAGAATTGGAAGAAGAAATACTCACATGACCCAGTGCCCCAGTAAAGCAATTTTTGGCTGCAGACACATCCTCTTTTTTCCAGTAGCACTCGCCTAAATGATTCCAAGCCTCCACTAGACGAGGATCCAACTTTACTGCCTTGGTAAGAGCTTCTTCTGCCTCCTGGCTGTACTTTGATGTGACATTCAAAATCCGGCCACGAAGCAGATGATACTGTGCTTTATTCTTAATGTCGCCTTAGAAATATGAAACAAATCACATCTGACACAGCAATAATAATTTGACATTCATCATCACCATCACCGCCTTGTTGTGTCATTAAGTGTCATGAAGGGCTCGCAGTCTACTTCTCCATTCCGTTCTATCCTGCGCAATCACCTCCACATCATGGATGGCATCCAGCGTATCTTTGGCCTCTCCCATCAGCGTTCCCCTTAGACCTCTTTATTTCCTCAGTCCATCTATTTCCCGTTCCAGTATCTGTTTTGTGATTCTCTGTCTTTTCTTAGAATGTGTCCAGTAAAACACCATCTTCTCTGTCTTTTCTCAGAATGTGTCCAGTATAACACCATCTTCTCTGTCTGATTCGACATTAGAGTTAAATTTGAGACACAGTTTTATTTATTTTAACCTCAAAGGATTCTTATGCAATCAGATTTCCTTCTGTCTTTTGTAATTGTAATTCTATATCTCTGTTTTTGTTTCCCCTTCATTTTTGTGACTCCATATCTTGTAGAGCCTTATTTATTGTTAATATGGTTTATTCTCATTATCTTTTTTCTTTTACCTATGATGCTGCAATTCTAACTGCTGTTATTTCCCATTAAGTATGTGCAGATCATCAAGCCGCTCTAGTTAGTTAGTCGACAGACCATCCTAACTGCATGTCAAACCATTAGGTCCAGACATATTTGGATTTCCTTCTATCGTATATCATAAGTTGTGTATTGGTTTATTATTCTTCTTTGGCTTCCTGTATAGTGCTCTTGTCTGACCTCACCACTTTTAACTTGCTGTTCTTGCAGTCTGGTCATGGTTGCAGATTCAGTCATCAGTTGGTTGACACAAAAGTCTAACTTCTTGTTCAGCCTTAAGTATATCAGTTTGATCCAGTGCTCATCTATCCTCCGCCAATTTTCTGCTTATATTCCATGCCACTATTTTTTTGCTTATATTCCATGCCACTATTTGTCTGCTTATATTCCATGCCACTATTTGTCTGCTTATATTCCATGCCACTATTTGTCTGCTTATATTCCATACCACTATTTTTCTGCTTATATTCCATGCCACTATTTTTTTGCTTATATTCCATGTTATTATTTTTCTGCTTAAATTCCATGCTACCATTTTTTGCTTATATTCCATGCCACTATTTGTCTGCTTATATTCCATGCCACTATTTTTCTGCTTATATTCCATGCTACTATTTCTCTACTTATATTCCATGCCACTATTTGTCTGCTTATATTTCATGCCACTATTTGTCTGCTTATATTCCATGCTACTATTTTTTTGCTTATATTCCATGCCACTATTTGCTTATATTCCATGCCACTATTTGTCTGCTTATATTCCATGCCACTATTTGTCTGCTTATATTCCATGCCACTATTTGTCTGCTTATATTCCATGCCACTATTTGTCTGCTTATATTCCATGCCACTATTTCTCTGCTTATATTCCATGCCACTATTTCTCTGCTTATATTCCATGCCACTATTTCTCTGCTTATATTCCATGCCACTATTTCTCTGCTTATATTCCATGCCACTATTTGTCTGCTTATATTCCATGCCACTATTTGTCTGCTTATATTCCATGCCACTATTTCTCTGCTTATATTCCATGCCACTATTTGTCTGCTTATATTCCATGCCACTATTTCTCTTCTAATATTCCATGCCACTATTTGTCTGCTAATATTCCATGCCACTATTTGTCTGCTTATATTCCATGCCACTATTTGTCTACTTATATTCCATGCTACTATTTCTCTGCTTATATTCCATGCCACTATTTGTCTGCTTATATTCCATGCCACTATTTGTCTGCTTATATTCCATGCCACTATTTGTCTGCTTATATTACATGCCACTATTTCTCTGCTTATATTCCATGCCACTATTTGTCTGCTTATATTCCATGCCACTATTTCTCTGCTTATATTCCATACCACTATTTGTCTGCTTATATTCCATGCCACTATTTTTCTGCTTATATTCCATGCGACTAATTCTCTGCTTATATTCCATGCCACTATTATTCTGCTTATATTCCATGCCACTATTTGTCTGCTTATATTCCATGCCACTATTTGTCTGCTTATATTCCATGCCACTATTTCTCTGCTTATATTCCATGCCACTATTTCTCTGCTTATATTCCATGCCACTATTTGTCTGCTTATATTCCATGCCACTATTTGTCTGCTTATATTCCATGCCACTATTTTTCTGCTTATATTCCATGCCACTATTTGTCTGCTTATATTCCATGCCACTATTTTTCTGCTTATATTCCATGCCACTATTTGTCTGCTTATATTCCATGCTACTATTTGTCTGCTTATATTCCATGCCACTATTTGTCTGCTTATATTCCATGCCACTATTTCTCTGCTTATATTCCATGCCACTATTTGTCTGCTTATATTCCATGCCACTATTTTTCTGCTTATATTCCATGCTACTAATTCTCTGCTTATATTCCATGCCACTATTATTCTGCTTATATTCCATGCCACTATTTGTCTGCTTATATTCCATGCCACTATTTGTCTGCTTATATTCCATGCCACTATTTCTCTGCTTATATTCCATGCCACTATTTCTCTGCTTATATTCCATGCCACTATTTGTCTGCTTATATTCCATGCCACTATTTCTCTGCTTTTATTCCATGCCACTATTTCTCTGCTTATATTCCATGCCACTATTTGTCTGCTTATATTCCATGCCACTATTTCTCTGCTTATATTCCATGCCACTATTTGTCTGCTTATATTCCATGCCACTATTTGTCTGCTTATATTCCATGCCACTATTTCTCTTCTAATATTCCATGCCACTATTTGTCTGCTAATATTCCATGCCACTATTTGTCTGCTTATATTCCATGCCACTATTTGTCTACTTATATTCCATGCTACTATTTGTCTGCTTATATTCCATGCCACTATTTGTCTGCTAATATTCCATGCCACTATTTGTCTGCTTATATTCCATGCCACTATTTCTCTGCTTATATTCCATGCCACTATTTCTCTGCTTATATTCCATGCCACTATTTTTCTGCTTATATTCCATGCTACTAATTCTCTGCTTATATTCCATGCCACTATTATTCTGCTTATATTCCATGCCACTATTTGTCTGCTTATATTCCATGCCACTATTTGTCTGCTTATATTCCATGCCACTATTTCTCTGCTTATATTCCATGCCACTATTTCTCTGCTTATATTCCTTGCCACTATTTCTCTGCTTATATTCCATGCCACTATTTGTCTGCTTATATTCCATGCCACTATTTTTCTGCTTATATTCCATGCCACTATTTTTCTGCTTATATTCCATGCCACTATTTGTCTGCTTCTATTCCATGCCACTATTTGTCTGCTAATATTTCATGCCACTTTTGGCTGCTTATAGTCCGTGCCAGCGGCGAATGTTGCTTAGGCATTGTGAGTCTGACTCGTAATTCCAAGGTACCGCGATCAAAACCAACTGCTGGCTGCATGGATTTTTATCATGGTATGGGGCATGGCAGGTCCCCCCAGCCTGAAATGGATACCAGGATGGCTGTTCTAGGAAAGTATAGATGGCCGACGTAATGCTGACCACATTACCCACCTAGTGCTGATTGGTCTGTAAAACTATAGGATGCTCTTCCCATATGCCTAATGTGCCTAAAGAAGTGAAAAGAGATCTTTAATTTTTATTTTAGTCCATGCCACTATTTGTCTGCTCATCTAGTCCACGCAGTGTGGCACTGTTATTCATGTGTATCTACAACGTTCTATCTCATGTACTTTCAATCAGTTCTGACACAGATGATCTTTCATGACATAATGTCAAACTGTCCAGCAACTTCTTTCTTGGTCTCCCTCTGCCTCTTTTCCTCTCCAACGTTACAATCGTTACAATGTAGTTTAGATTTCTCCCTCTTATAAAATGACCAAAAGAAGTAAACTGCCATCTTCTGATGTGGGCAATCTGTACTCTTCGTCAGTTAATTTCTTTCAAGACATCTTCAGAACTTTTTTAAAATCTATCCAAGATGTTCTCCTCATTCATTTATAAAACCAATCTCTGCCGTTTCCAAATAATTTGTTACTAATCAGTTAACTGTCTATGATTTACTTCTGTATATCAGGAAATGTCGGCTCTGTGGCTAAGTCGATGCGGACGCTTTGTAATGCCGGGATGCCGGGTTCGATCCCAGCGGCGGGCCATGCGCCTTGCGTTGGTTTCGACAGTTGTATCAAGAAAGCCGACCGTCCAGAAAGCAATGACAAACTACTGGACGTAAATTTGCCTAGAAAAACCACACAACAGCCAGGGGTTGTTGGGGTTGGTTCTGCAACGTCCTTTAAAGGATATTCAAATAACCTAACCTAGATCAGGAAATAATTTATATAGCTCTTGAGACTTATATTTCTCACCTCAATCGACTTATTGTCCAAAAAATGAAGAAGAAAAAAATCACATGGAAAAGAGAATTAGAGACAGGTTTTAAAAGTTTGGATGACTTGCAGATGATAGAAATGGATAGGAGGGTTTACTGGTAGTCTTTGTTCTGCCGACAGATATGCAAAGATGGAGACAAAAGAAGGGGAATGAGGAGAAAATAAAGGACAATGAATTGTTATCTTCAAAAACAACAGCAGAATGAGACATCATGTATTCAGTTAGACCTCACCTTGCAGTGATTCTACTTTTGTGAGACATTCCCCCATCATTTTCTGAACTTCAGTTTCTTTGTCACCCGCCCTGTCAAGACCAAATCTGTCCACAAAATGGTCTCGAAAATGATACAGCTCATCAACGAATGCCTTTGTGAAGAAAAAAAAAATATTTATAATGGCAGCAATATAAATAATATGGGAATCAGCCCAGAAACAGAAGCAATGACAACAGGAAGAAAGAAGCAAAACTTGAATACAGTAGTATAGTTAGTAAGTCTTTCCTCTTGGACCTATGGCGGCATATAGGGCAGAGGTCATAGCTCTCCATGTCTGGTGGTTTGTTGCCACCTGCTTTAAGTTTTGGATGTTTGAGCCTTTTATGATGATGGTTCTACGTAGAGTCTCTCTTGGTCTTCTCCGTTTTCTGTTCCCTTAGAGCTATAAATCTGTTTCTAAAACAAAGGATGTTTTACGATGGTGACTTGTCAGGTCGTCGATCAACAGTATTAAGGCAAGCTATAAGGAAACACATTCCGCCATCTTGACCCAAACCAGAAGGAAATTTAACATGCACTGAAGATGGTAAACTGGACGATGAAATTAATATCTGATGTAGTAAAGTCAACCAAGTATTGAAACAGATAGCTGTTGGTTCCTCGCCTCAGGCAGCTGCACTCTGACTTCTAAGGAAACACTCCTCATTAGTCACTTTTGATGACATGCTTGTCAGGGAGCAGTGGGTCTACCTCTCTCAAATGAAATGGGGCCCTGAAACCCACACAGGGAGTCTCTCATTACAGTTGCACATGCTCTCAGACTGCTGTTCATCCATTATTTGTACATCAGTTTTATGATAGCCATTTATCTGTGGTGGTGCACACAATATACATATGGTAGGAATCTTAAATTATGTTTAATAAAACTAGCATACGCTTATGCCCAAAGTGAGCTATATATACAGTTACTCAGAGCAATGGACAATAGTCTAAGGCTACAGTTTTTTTTCCAACTGGCAGAACTCAGAACCATGGCATTTTTTGGGGGGAGGGGGGGGGGGGGGGGGGGGGGGGGGGGGGGGTGGGGGGGGGGGGGGGGGGGGGCAGCACAGTACCAACACCTTGGTTAAGGCATCATTTTTCAGCACTATTGTAACAGACATTATGTGGTGAGTACCGGCATCTTTTATAGATTACTGTGGTGAGTACCCTGGCACTTTTTCTTTCAAGATAAAAGCTCTACTTAGCACTCTCCAATGAGCTACAGTAGCTCCCAAAAGCCTGTTTTTGCAATACTATATTCAGAAATTAATAACCTAATGTAATTATAATTGGTAATTATTTTTTTCCCAAAGTCTTGGCAGTTAGCATATATTATTTGTTGTGAATTGGGTTTAATAGCTTGCTTACATTTTTTAAATCAGTTCACTGTAATTTGGTTTACCTGGCTAGCTTACAGTTTATAATTTAACAGAGGAAAGGCAAGACGGACGTTTAATCAGAAAGCTACTGGCACCATTAGTATCGGAACTCTTCGCTGGCTGCTGAAGATGGGGATGGAGCGCTTATGGGAATGCCCTGAGTGCTGTGATGTCGGTTCTTGAATCAAATCAAATCAATTTAACAACAAAACTCATTTCATTTGAGTTACAGTTCTGTTATGGGCACAAAAACTAAACAGTGCAATAGTCCACGAAATTGCAATCCATCTCTAAAAAACAAAATCAATACTCAACATATAAAGATATTTGGAAAATACAATATCCTTTGCTTTAAATAAATATTCATTAACTCTTAAAGGCCCAAGCAACGGTGTGAGCGTTGATTGAGAAGTTCCATTTTGCCCAAACAACGCTGTCATCGTCAATTGTGTATCCCGTACATTTTGCACACGGCTCCGTACATGTTTCTAGTGTTCGGAAGTACAATTAAACTATTCAGGGAAAGTCACTCTGCTGAAATTTTTTCAGTACATTCTCTATTGGAAACCACACATGTATAATTTAATCAGATTCACGCGAAAGTGTTTTCAACAGTGCATTTTCGAAGTTCGTTTTCAAGTGCCGTGAACACCAATATTCCCATCACAAGTACAGGTCGCAGAATGCATCTTTCTGCTGCCGAAGCTCTGAAATTGTTTTAGTCAGATGTTTTTAATTCTCATAATGATAATTTAGATTTAGAAAAAACTATGATAAGTGAAGAATTTGTTTGTAAAATCCTGTTGTGAAACTAACACCTGCTGAATTCTTGTTTCCTACTAACTATAAACAAATTAAACATACACTTATCAGATTCAAAATGTACATTCATTTCTTTTTTTTTTTTTTTTTTTTTATATTTACCTTTATTAGGATTAGAAGTATTTTACATTCTCTATATTGTCTTTCTTGTACACCCAGCCCTCTGCCATTTTTGTAAAGGGAAATTAATGTAAATGTGAGCCAAGTCTGTCAAAATTCATGGGCCTAAAAGAGTTGTAAAATTAACACCTGCTGAATTCTTCTTTCCTACAAACTATAAACAAATTAAACATACACTTATCAGATTCAAAATGTACATTCATTTCTGTCTCTTAAAAAAAAATATTTACTTTAGGATCAGAAGTATTTTACATTCTCTATTGCCTTTCTTGTACACCCACCCCTCTGCCATTTTTGTAAAGGGAAATTGATGTGAGCCAAGTCTGTCAAAATTCATGGGCCTAAAAGAGTTAACTGTTATAAGGCACAGTCACATACCACTGCCTGATCGAGCGGACTACTGACTCTTTCCTCCTCCGCCATGTCTAAACAATGTGTAACCCAGCGATGCCAGGTTTCTCTGAGCTAAAGATTCATCCTTTCCAACTGCACTGGCTATTGACCTCTTATGACAATGTCCCGATTGCTGTAATGTCGGTTTTGCCACAGCCTACTTCATAATTGACACGTGTGTCCTCTGTTAATTACTATTAATGTTAAATTAATTAATCAGTCAGGCCCCGTCTTTAAATTCAAGGTTTCTAATACAAGGATCAACTTCAATACAACTAGTTGTATCCCATTCGACCCGCTCTCTCTCTCTCTCTCTCTCTCTCTCAAGCAAGCCATATGAAATAACTTCTTACCAAGGACGAATTCCATAGCTCTAGCTCCCATCCAACAGGATCTCAGTAAAATTAGTTATACATCACTAGATGAGAGATGTTGTCAACATCATGCCAGACGACTTTACTTCCTATTACTTTACCTGGTACTCATTTTAGGTTGGGTCGACCTGGGAGAAATATTCATTTAACCATGACCTTCTGTGTCGTTTGCAGATGTCTCACCGTTACATCACAGCGGCTCCCACAAGACTATAAAGTCTTGTGAAAATGTGAGTAAAGTGTCATAGCAAAGGTTCCAAGGATTGGCGTGCCTGGTCGAAAATGTGAAACTCAAGCTCTGGTTTTGCAGACTTGTTGCACATACACAACTTCAGAGACCTGCTTGGCAAGATCAAGCAATTTATTACTAGAACTAAAATCCATATATAGAAGGGTAACGAATCGTCACGGCATCTTTTGAAGTTTCCCCTAAATAAAAAACGGAGGAGATTAATTAACTAAAAATGGTGAAACTATGGGGGTGACTGCAGTCAAGCTAATACAATGAATTCCAGAGAAATTTGACTAAAAAGCTCAACAAAATGGGAAAGAGGAAAACGTGCACAAAACAACACAACGTAAATCTACATACTCTCCATTCCTCGTTTGTGTAGTCCACTTGTGTTTGAAAAAGGCTGCCTGGCCGAAACGTTACGTTGTGTTGTTTTGTGCACGTTTTCCTCTTTCCCATTTTGTTGAGCTTTCTAGTCAAATTTCTCTGGAATTCATTAGATTAATTAACTACTTCACGAAGGGAATAATAAAGCCAACAAGTTAATGATACAGTGTTAGTAAGATTGTCTGATTATTTATAGTACACTATCTATCATGATCCAAATAAAAGCAATATCTGAAACATTGCAAATTACATATCAGTCATAAAAATAATTGTAGCGTCCGTGGCTTAAGCTTTGTGAGTTCGACTCGTAATTCCAACGTACCGAGATCGAAACCCACTGTTGGCAGCGTGGATTTCTATCATGGTATGGGGTGTCACAGGTCGACCCAGCCTAAAATTGGTACCATGATAGCTGTCCTGGGGAAGTAAAGATGGCAGGCGTAATGCTGACAACGCTACCCACTAAGTGCCGATGGTCTGTAAAATTATGGGCGCTTTCCCCCATATACCCGATACGCCTAAAGGCGTGAAAAGGGATCTTTACTTTACTTACATATAAATAATTACGCGATATATAAATATAAAATAAATATATACTCTGATAAATTTATTAACACTATATATCCTAATTATAACTCTCATCATCATCAGGTGCCTTGCCGACTGAAGTGGGCGATCGTTCCTCTCCATAATCTGCGATCTCCTGCCGCATGCATCAGTTCGTGTGCCGACACACCTCCATGCCATGCAAAAAGACAGTCAAGCATCTTCTCTCGTTGTCTTCCCCTATCCCTCCTTCCACAGATCTTTCCAGTGGTCACAACATGTTCTATTTTCCCTCTTCTCATAACATGGCCGAAAAATGATGACTGTCTCCTTCTGATGTCTGTGATAAGTTGTCTTCGGGCTCCCGCCTCTTTCAAAACCTCTTGGTTGCTCTTTTTGGCTGTCCAAGGTATTCTAAGCATTCTTCTGTAAAACCACATCTCTGAGGCCTCTAGAAATTATAACTAAGGGTTGAAAAGGAAATTTTTGAAAAATTGACCTTGACTCCCAGCCTTGAGTGGGTGCTAGGTGCAGTCTTTGAAGTAAGGACGGTCGGCGTGTTGCTGACCACATCACCCACCAAGTACCGATTGGTCATTAAAAATATAGTTCTAGCCCTATATTCCCAATACGCCTTTATATAAAGAGGTTTATCTCAAGCAATCTCTTGTTCTCCCCGTTCACCAGCTGTAAACTCCGGCGGACAATTATGGATGGCTCGCCCACCCCGGGACTTGAGTCATGTTTCAGAACCTGGACATTGCGTGCACGTTTTACAGATTTATCTTATCTGTATGCAGAATCTGTTTTTTTATTTTTTACAGGTGTGCTCCGATTTCGAAGGACGCCCATAATTTGTCGAATCCTACGACATGTTTGTCGGGATGACAGTGGGTATATTCTTGTTTTGCCCACAATGGGGCCCTGGAACTAACATTGGGATCAAACAAACAATTCGCCAGACTTTCTATAACTGCCCCCCCCCCCCCCAACCCACTAGCCCGAATTGCCAAATTGGCGTTGTTACAAGTGATCTACAAATGTTTCATTAAAATATTTTTTTTCAGAGTTAACATTGACGAGAATCTTTACCTTTTAGTTAAATGCATAATTTTATTTTGCAGTCACCAATTGTTTATTTTAAAGACTCAAAAGAAAAGTATACTAAGGATTATTAACATTTTATTATTATTTTTTACATTTAGACATTTCACATTTTCATGTTTAGGAAAAATGGCGGCACTTTTGGTTTCGTCAGGAATGACCAACAATTACTTCAGTCTTGATGACATACTAGCCAGTCAAGAAACGATTCCTTGCACTTTCAACGTCAAAGTAGCAACCATGGGTAAGCATGTAATTTAAATTTAAAAAAAAAAAAAAAGTAAGTGAAGCGAATGCAATCAATACTCAGTCCAGAGTCTCTCTGAACGTCTTGTTCTCTACTGAGAGTTTAGTTTGAGTTTCAGTTTCAGCTTCATAGCAAACGGGTTACCCCATACCATAGTTGCTCCGCTCCTGTGCCAACGAAGAACAAACAAAATGTTTATCACAGTCGCTTGTAGCTTACTGTGTGACGTCGCGCGACCTCGAATACACTTCATATTACCACCGTTAACTGTCCTTAGGTGATTGTCACGGGGTAGGAGGACCGTGTGGGATTTGAATTGGTGCCGAGAGACTAGCGTTCTCAGTTGGGAACACCCACAGCTCCATGGATTATAATGGATACCACCCCTATCATGTTGAGTTGTTAACTCCTTCATTGTCGAAAAAAATTATAGTGTTCTCTAATTTCTCTAGACAGGATGTAGAGATGTTTGTCAACATTACTCTATTTATTGGCTATCTTCCGAATAACGGGCACAAAATATGGCTGCCAAAAACAGGGCCTCAGTCACGTGTCAATTGCCTACTTCCGGCGACCTAATTTTCAGTTTTCCGGCGACTATCGCCAAGCTGAGAATATCCCCCACGCCGCAAATTAGGTTGCCGGAAGTGCGCAATTGACACGTGACTGAGGCTCTGTTAGGGTGTTTTTGCGGCTGCCATATTTTGTGCCCGTTATTCGAAGGATAGCCCTGAATCTGATTTTGGATTCCACTGTGGAATGCGCCTTTTTTGTCTCGGCTTGTCCCATTCTCCCTTTTTATCGTTTGCAGGATAGCCAATTGGCATCGGGTGTCAGTGATAAATTGCAGCGCAGAGACACGCCCATTCGAACGCCATACCTGTTATTTCCGTACAGTATGCAAATGCTTGTTCAGCTCTTTAAGAAACTGACAGTTTAATCACGTACTGATACATAAAGGCACAACACAATATTTTATTGCACCACTGATAGAATAACGGTCACAGTGATATAAAAATCATATTTCTCTCACTAACACAAGTCGAATAATAAATCAAAATAGTGAGAGCTCGAGATCACACGTGCTCTCAGTAGGGAGTCGGTAGTAGAAGAATGATGAATGATGGCACTTAGCTCCCACTACCACACAATTTTTTTAAATTTGAGATATTTTTGTTTGTCAGTTACCTTTGTTTATTATTATTAATTTTTGTTTATAGAAGTATAGATTGGTAATTTTAATATATGTTAAATGGTGTCTGGACCCCACACGTATGCTGCAGTGGGTGTGTAAGAAAACTTCTAAAGTGGATCTTCTTTTTCTTCAGCATTCTGAGCCCTTGAGGTTCATTGCTGCAAATATCAGCCGCGTCCATTCATCTGTCTGGTTGGCCTTCTCTTTCCAGTTGGTGACACCAAGTGTTTGTAGGTCTGTCTGGATATTAACTCTCCATCGTCTTCTTAGTCTGCCTCATGGTCTACGACCATTCTGCTCCCTGGTGTATACAGTTTTTACCTCTCTTGTCTTCTGACATTCTCTCAGTATGCCCCAGCCATTTAAGTCTATTAGCTCTAATGATGCCAATAATCAATGGTGATTTAGATTATGAATTTTGTTGTTGCTTCTTACTCTAAGACAACATGTGGCATCTGGTTTGGAATCAAATAACTCCGTTGTTTCCGTTTGTGACATTTTTAGGGAAGGGGCGGGGGGGGACATAAAGAGTGTATAATAAAAAACATATTACTCATCTTCTTCTTAAAGTCTGTGCAGTGTGACATTGGTAGCCATGTCTGTCCACAACCTTCTGTCTCCTGTACTTTCAGTCAACTCTGATACAGATGATCTTCCATAGTCCATGCCGTGTGGCGTTGGTAGCCATGTCTGTCCACAACCTTCTGTCTCCTGTACTTTCAGTCAACTCTGATATAGATGATCTTCCATAGTCCATGCCGTGTGGCGTTGGTAGCCATGTCTGTCCACAACCTTCTGTCTCCTGTACTTTCAGTCAACTCTGATATAGATGATCTTCCATAGTCCATGCCGTGTGGCGTTGGTAGCCATGTCTGTCCACAACCTTCTGTCTCCTGTACTTTCAGTCAACTCTGATACAGATGATCTTCCATAGTCCATGCCGTGTGGCGTTGGTAGCCATGTCTGTCCACAACCTTCTGTCTCCTGTACTTTCAGTCAACTCTGATATAGATGATCTTCCATAGTCCATGCCGTGTGGCGTTGGTAGCCATGTCTGTCCACAACCTTCTGTCTCCTGTACTTTCAGTCAACTCTGATACAGATGATCTTCCATAGTCCATGCCGTGTGGCGTTGGTAGCCATGTCTGTCCACAACCTTCTGTCTCCTGTACTTTCAGTCAACTCTGATACAGATGATCTTCCATAGTCCATGCCGTGTGGCGTTGGTAGCCATGTCTGTCCACAACCTTCTGTCTCCTGTACTTTCAGTCAACTCTGATACAGATGATCTTCCATAGTCCATGCCGTGTGGCGTTGGTAGCCATGTCTGTCCACAACCTTCTGTCTCCTGTACTTTCAGTCAACTCTGATACAGATGATCTTCCATAGTCCATGCCGTGTGGCGTTGGTAGCCATGTCTGTCCACAACCTTCTGTCTCCTGTACTTTCAGTCAACTCTGATACAGATGATCTTCCATAGTCCATGCCATGTGACATTGGTAGCCATGTCTGTCCACAACCTTCTGTCTCCTGTACTTTCAGTCAACTCTGATACAGATGATCTTCCATAGTCCATGCCGTGTGGTGTTGGTAGCCATGTCTGTCCACAACCTTCTGTCTCCTGTACTTTCAGTCAACTCTGATACAGATGGTCCTCTATGCCATGATGTCAGACTGTCCAGCATCTTTTCTCTGGGTCTACCTCTGCCTCTCCTTCCCTCCAACTTTCCTACTGTCACCATGTACTTCCGTTTTTTCCTTCTGATCACATGCCTAAAGAATGTAGATTGCCTCTTTCTGATGTGGGCAGTCAGTTCTCTTCATGAGTTGAGTTTCTTTCAAGACATCTTCATTACTGTTTTATCTGTCTAAGGTATTACTCTATTATATATATAAATAATTTGTTCTTCAGATTTCTCAGAAACTAGCCAATTTAATTTTTTCATTGTCCGGTTTCAGCTCAGCACCTTGAAATCTGTAAGAAATGGCTGTTTTCAGCTGTGCCCTGACTTTCACCAAATTTTATTGTCCAATGAATCAATCAAGTATCATCTGCACATTGAAGTCTGGCTGCAGTTGATCCCCAACATGTTGTCTCTTGTGTTCGTTGTACACTTTCTCAGATTGCTGTTAGTCCCTCTCTTGAAGTTGTCCTCCCACTTGCATCAATGTCTATCTCTTGCTTTTTTTTTGGTCCTCATCTTTTTTTTCGGTGTGGTTGTTATAAGAGTGAAAGAGTTTTCACTTGATGTTGTTGGCCTCTTGCATTATTGCCTCAAACGTTTTCCCTTCAGTATGGTTGTTAAAAGAATGATACATGGATTCTCACATTGAATTGTGAAGGGCTGTATTACCTCTGACATGCGATCTTTGACTTGTTTAACAGGTTACCTTGATCAAAGCACCTCAGATGTGGACATAAACATGGGAACCAAGCTGGATCTTCCATTTTGGTTAGCAAAATATCTACATAAAGGCAGTCGTGGAATTGTGTCAGTAGACACACCAAAAACATATAAAGAAGGGTACAGACACATTTTTACTGCGGACCCCAATGTTGTTGATCTCTACAGACTCGGTCCTTACTTCTATTTGTTTGGAGAGAAACTTTTGTCCCTGCAACTTCCAGATACTGATGATATTGCTAACGTATTACTGAAAGTAAGTATGAAGTGTATGTTGCTGTGAAATTGCTGTATTTTCTGGGTGCTCTATTAATATCCTGCCCCAGATGACGTCACAGGACAGTCCAACATTTTAGAGGGTGGTAAGACTGGGATTCCCAGCTTGCTGATGCTTTTAACGACCCCAAAACATCTAGAACTGGCCCTAACCCCAACCCACCTACGTCCGACGAGAGAGTGCAACCTAGGTCCCACGACTGCGTGCAGCCTATCAACCACCCCCTGAAATATTACTGTCCTGTGACCTGTGGATTTCCCCTGTTTGGGGTAAGATAATAATAAAGCATATTTTTCTGTGTATAAATTTTTTCTAAATTTGTGAGAAGTTACTTCTTTAGTGATCTCTGGTCATGCAGTTAACTCTTTGTCCCAATGAAGCATCATACATTCATAGGTTCCTACCTAGAATCCCAGTAAACCCATAGTGCGCTTATTTAACATCTTTCTTAATTACCCTTTGGGCCTGTGATACTAAATTCTCTGGGACTCAAAGAGTTTATCCACCATTGGCCATAAACTGGAATGTCATCTCAAGTTCTCTTAGGTCTTCCCAAAGCTTAGTTGTCCGGCCTACTGGGCATGACCACATATTGATTTGCAGCTCTTCCAGGAGAGGACAGTCTTGCAAGACATGTTCTAGAGTCTCTTCAGCACAAAGACACTGACAGAGATCTGTCTGACTCATACCTAATTTATATGAGTAATTGTAGAGTCTGCAGTATCCAGTGTGTAAGCTAAAAATTGTGACTTTGTCTGTTCTGTTCAAGTTTAAAATTGGGGATCTTCTGTACATGAAATATGCTTGAAACATTTATTTTTAATTTTAGGCTAAAAACACAGGGGTTGTTTTATACATGGAGGCATCTTATATACATTCAAATATGGTATATCCTTCTCGTAGATTTTTACGGAATATTTAAAATATTCCACAAATAAATGGTTGGTTCATTTGGCGGTTGGTGGAATGCAAAGGTGCCTTCTACCTGCAGTGGTGCATCAGAACTACCGCATACAGTTCATGACCTATCCTCACCTCTAAGAAAATGGTCATCTAAGAAATGGGTTCTCTAGCCAGAGCCAGGCCTGTGAAGAAACAGTTGACTTTTCCTGTTAATTCAGAATAAATCTGCCTGAGAACTACCAGTTAGCTCATAATGAACTATTTCTGGAACTGGAAAACTTAAGTGCATGAAAATCCAGGCCCTTGAATAAGAACTTAAGTTCAGACACAGGCAACCACCCAGAACTTAACAAGTTTACAGCTAGTAAACGCACTAAACAGAAGGTTGTGGATAGACATGACTACCAACGCTACATAGCATGGACTATAAAAAGAAGAAACATAGAAACAGAGGCAGAAGTTGGTTGGTGCGTCTCCTGGAAGACTGAAGTTTTTTTTCTTCTTCTTAGTGTTTGCCGGCTGTAAACTCCAGAGGAATGTTCTGGTTGTTCGTCCACTGCTGGACTTTGGTCTTATTCTAGAACTGGAGTTTTGCTTTCACATCTGTTCTACCAGTAGTGATAGATCACATGTGCAGAAGGATGTTATGTAACCAGCCTTTGTTTCACAACAGCACATATAGACTAGTTTTTCTTATTATATTCAACGCTCTGCTGTGTTGGTAGTCATGTCTGTCTACAACCTTCTGTTCTGTGTACTTTTAATCATTTCTGACACAGATCTTCCGTGCCATAATGTTACACTTGTAAAGCATCCTCTCTTCCCCCCTCCCTTCCCCTTCTGCCTCTTTTTCCCTCCAACTTTCTCACTGAAACAATATACTCCAGTTTTCTCTGTCTCCTGACCAAACAGTATAGATTGTCTGTCCCCTTGTGTGATGTGGGCAATCAGTTCTCTTCAGGAACAATTTTCTCAGCAGGTTTTGGGTACTTGTGTTATTCAACCCCACCAGGACCGTGCAACGAGCGACCAACACCTGATATCACAAAGTGCCACTATTTGGATGAGGATCACTCGGGTACCCTGTTCAACCGTTGAGTTATGTTAGGGCACCGAAAACAGCAGGAGTGGGGCTTTAAAATAAAAAAAAATTGGGTCTCGTATTGAGACGGCGACTAAATGCTGTTTATTAGATTAGGTACTTCATTGGCATCAGACTCCACAGTCTAGTGGTCAGAGATAGGTATTGAAGGACTTTGCATACCACAAGGCTTGCTGGGTATATGATGCTAGTCCCATATTTTTCTAGATCATTCAGCATGTGATGGGTCAGTATCTCACTGACTGCCTGTTTCCCAGAACAGTTTGAGATTGGAGATGGAGGCGGTCACTGTAGCCTTCCGCTGTCTTGAGAGCCAGCTGTGCACACATATTGTAGTTGGTACTGACTGGCAGAGCATACTGAGAAAGGTTGAGACATATATGCTTCATGCATAGTGGCAAACATCTACTAGGTCCCTAGTAGATAGTATCCTTTGGGTATTTTGTCCAGGTTATGCCGGTGTGTCTGGAAAATGAACAGCAGGATAGATTGGCTGGTTCTGCACCACTTGGTAGTTTCATGTGCATGACAAGCCAGGCATTGTCAAGGTCATTTGGGGAACATTTGCTGACAACCATTTTAGGATGGATTGTCCCTGGTAGCTAAGTAATGAAAACAAAATGTGTATTGTTTCATGGAGGATTCAGATACATGACCACTAAGCTAGCGTGCAAGTTTCTCCCTTGAAAGAGTATGTAAGTTTAAATATTTGAATAATTTTGGCAAAATTGTGCAGGCTTTCATGTAAATATCTTCTCACAGAGTTCCAACTGTCATTACTTTTTCAAACATAGTGTTACGTTTCACTGTCTTGTCTTTGTCTCTTTCCTTCCTTAGCGCTCACCGCCTGTAAATTCCGTTGAAAAGTTCTGGCTGTTTGTCCACTTCTGGACTTTGATCTAGTTCCAGAACTTCAGTTTTGAGTGCACATCCATTTGATAGATCTGGCTTATTTTATGTGGACTGTTGGTTCCTCGCCTCTCAGGTAAATGCACTCTGACTTGAAAGGAAACATCCCTGATTGGGTGCCTTTTTTCATATCTTCATTAGCAGGGCAGTGGCTCTGGTATTCCCCCTCTAAAATAGGGCTCCAAAACCTATATTAGGGTACCTTTTTCTAATAAGTTGTTTGGTTTGCACTCTGTTTAGAGCAAAGAAGTTGTAGCTTGCATGCCGTGTGGCATTAATAGTCATGTCTACCAATAACATTCTGTCGTACTTTAAATCAACTGTTGACACACATGATCCTTCATGCCTTGATGTCAAACCGTCCAGCATCTTTTCTCTCTGTCTCCCTCTGCCTCTCCTCCTCTCCAACATTCCTACTCTCCTGATGAAATCCAGTTTTGTTCTTCTCATCACTTGACCAAAGAATGTAGATTGTCTCTTTCTGATGTTGGCAATCGGTTCTCTTATTGTGTCAGTTTCTTTCAAGACATCTTTATTACTCTGTTTATCTATCAAGGGTATTCTCATCATACGTCTGTAAAACCACATCTCTTCAGCTTCCAAATAAGTTTTCACCAATTTACTAACTGTCCATGATTCACTTCTGTATATCAAGATAGGACTTTATAGCGTTTAAAAATTCTCTTTGTCGTTTCAATGACAGAACTTAACAACAGTTGATGAGATGTTTAGTCCATTTATATTTGAAAATTAATTGCTATAATTGTCAAATATTATCTTTACATCAGACATTCCAGGGGCGATTTAGAAACATAATGGATGGATCCCAGAATGCCCTACATAGTGACCTTGCTTCGCAGATGGAAAAGTTGGACGTGCAAGAAAGACAACTCTTTGCAGCAGGCCAGCAAGGACTGCATGAGTTCCAAAAGTGGGAAAGCAGAGAATCAGAAAAGCTGTCCACGTCCGCTATGGTGTCTAATCACAGGAAACGAAAACGTATTGGATACATTGCCAACGCAACATGATCTGTGCTGTTTTATGTCTTATGCTTTGTTAATTATTTCTGCAGGAGGGGAGACTTTTCAACTTTCTTCTTTCTTCTTTGCGTTCACCAACTATAAACTCTGGCGGAAAGTTCTGGTTGTTCATCCATTTTTGGGCTGCAGTCCTGTTCCAGAACCCCAGAGTTGCGTGTGCATCTGTTTTACAGATTTGACTCATTTGTATGCAGACAGCTGGTTCCTCGCCTCTCAGGCAGATGCACTCCGACTCTGAAGAAAGCTCCAAATGAGTTTACTCTTACGACATGCCTTTGGGTAGACAGTGGGTCTTTTCTTCTTTTCCCTATAATAGGGCCACGAAACCCACACAGGGATCTAAACTTTCAAGATTAAAAAAAAAAAAAAAATCTTGTCTGATACATTGCCAACATGTCATCATTAGCACTGTGTTAAATATTATGCTCTGGTAATTGTTTCTACTGAAGAAGATGAAGGTGAGATGATTAACTTCATTGCACTGGGCTTTATCCCATATGGCTCATTCTCTATCTGCAGAACAGCTGGCTGCCTGCCGAGAGCGTTACACAGAGCACGACCTCCGTAGCTCCGGCAATGATCCCCAGGGTTCTGCGTAAAAATTGCACTTGTGAACTGAACGGTGCAGCCGTGAAACGAACCCACGACCTTCAGAGCGAGAGGCAAATGGCTTGACAGTTTCGTTACAGGGACCCCCTTCGACTGAAGAAAACATGCCTTAAACGTTAACGATTTCATATTTACTTATATTGACTGGGCCGTTCATTCAGAAGAATGGTGAATAATCAATATGTATTTTTGCTCAACATTTTTAGTTTCATTTATATAAGCCACTTCTTTTTGTGTTCATTATCACCTATGATGCATAAACTTTCAATCTAGTCACATCAGCAAGCCTTAGTAGATTATGTGACAGAACTCTGTAACACAGTTCCCCTTGGAAACTGGTCAGGATGCAAGACCTTTTATAATGGCCTTCGGAGAGTGGTACGAAAGTTGCTCTGTGGAAGAGATTAGGACCCCACTATGTAATATTCCAAAAGACATCAGTGGATGCACATATCCAGTGCAGACCAACCCCATTGTGTGGAGACGGCACAAACCTTATTATCATTTCAGAGCTGGGTTACAGAGTTCTTGTCTCCACTCTCCCATTTCTAGAAAGTAGCAATGGTGTCCAAGACCTGGACTTCACATTTGTGGAGAGACTGATTAGGATGTGACTAGGTCAAGAGTCAGCACAGCACAGACAAACAGGTATCAGGCCTAGATTGGTTGGTCATGTTTTGTCCACAGTTTGTATGTATTTCATTATCGGCAGACTCCAAAACAATGCCCACATGGTTTGGGATACACTGTTTTCGTGTAACAGTTTTATGATTTAAGGCCTAGGTTGGTCATGTTTCCAGTACATATTTTTATCATGAAAAGAAATTCTTCTTCTTAAAGTCCATGCCTTGTGGCCTTAGTAGCCATGTCTATCCACAACCTTCTGTCTCGTGTAATTTCAGTCAACTTTTACACAGATGATCCTCCGTGCCATGATGTTAAACTGTCCAGCAGCTCTTCTCTCTGCCTCTCCTCCCCTCCTACTGTCATTATGTACTCCAGTTTCCTCCTTTTCACGACAGGACCAAAGAATGTAGATTGTCTCTTTCTGATGTGGGCAATCAGTTCTCTTCGTGAATTTGTTTCTTTCAAAACGTATTCATAACTCTTTTTATCTGTCAGGGGTATTCTCATAATTCCTCTATAAAACCACATCGCAAATCTTCCAAATAAGTTTTACTAATTTACTAACTGATCATGATATATATTAAACCAAAAAAATAGAACTGGTCAACTTTATTCACAAATTATCAACAAGTGAAAACCTTCATTGGCACATGACATGAGTACAGTCGAGTCTGGATAAGTAGAAGTCGCAGGGATCTAAGACAATGCTTCCACTTATCAGGACTTCTACTTATCCAGACAGCACACACAATAGAAAAAATTGCCTGGACTAAGCTGGTCATGTCGACTTAACCGAAATTCATCTTATCCGAGTTCGACATAAGTGGACTTGACTGTAGTCAGTTTTGCATTTACAAACAGTGCCCAATATCACTGAGAATGAGGTCTCCAGAAAAATCCACATGTTGAATGGCTAGTTGAAGCTATCAGGAACGTGTGAATACAGGAAATTAATACTCGCCAGAAAAATCTGTGGAAGGCTAAAACTTGAAAATATTAGACTAAGCTGCGTTGGATGTTAAGGCCATTAAGCGAGTTGGACCCCATTAGATAAAAAAGGCGGTTCTCAAGAGACTTACAGACTCTATCATAGCTCCCATGACGTGTCACTTTTGGGTGTATTTTTGATCATGCCATTTCACTGTTGCCTATTCTCGAATGTGTAGTTTTAGATATTTAAATGTCAACACAGTGTTTGAGATAAACTATGTTTATGTAATAGTTATATGAGACAGAAAGAATAAAAAGTGTAATGCAGGAGTCACCAATACATGTGTAGAGGTACACTGGTAAAGAATGAGTGAATTTCCTCTAAGCGGTGCCTTACACTCCTGTTACACCAACTTGCTTATATAGCTGTTCAGTCGTTCCAGCATTTTTTCTACTCTTTCCACTTTGTCTTCTTTGCAGCTAGCTTTGCACTCCTCTAAGAATGTTATAGTTGCTGCATGTACTGTCTGATATACTGTCTTCTTCGACAGCTCACATCCAGTCTTCTTTGTCAGGTCATGGGGTGAGCTGCACACAGTGGAAAAGGATAGGATGGCATCGAGGGCTTATGCTTGGGGAATAAAGGGCAAAAGAGAAAAGAGTATCCAGTGTATATGTAAATATTTGAATGTTCTATTTATCAAATGTAATGGTGTCAACTGTGTAAATAAAAGTCATGATAAAGCAGTAGTCTTATTTTCTGTTGTTTCAATAATGTCTGTATGAGAAGTCTACATTTTTGGTTTGTACGCTGATGTAATTGAGAACACCTGGGTGTGACCAGAGTGTTCGGCCGGCACACTACGCTCAGAAGAAAGGAAAGATGGACATACAACCAGACTACGACTGGCACCATTAGTATTGGAACTCTGCGCTGGCTGCTGAGGATGGAGACAGAGCATGTATGGGAATGCCCAGAGTGCTGTGATGTCAATTCTTGACTCACCTGTAGTTGAGAACTTAAGACTTATGCTTAGTTTGTGTGTATACTTGTCTCCCAGGAGCAGTGTTCCATCAGCAGTTGAAAAGCATATGGCAATCTGGCAGGATGTATTTAGGTCTCTGTTCTGCCAGCCCATCTCTGTATAGAGATGGCAAACACAATTTCAGTTTTAAGTAAAAGTTTGGTCCTTTTTTTGGGTTCCTGTTCCGATATGGCACAGATAATGTCTTGGTTTGGTTGTTACAACAGATCAAGATCATGACACAAGGGTAGTAACCCATAAGTGCTCCGTACTTCTAACTCAGGCCTGAGTCCGAAGAATCTCAGTGCAGTGCATGAACCGTAGCACCGCAAGGATCCTGATAATACTTTTGAGTAGATTTTTAACTCCACATTTTGCCTGGGCTTCTCTGTTACGGGCGTCTATTTTTACTGCCCAGATACCAGGGGAAATTACTCAAGTCCATGTGACAAAATCCCAGCCTTCACCGGGACCTCAAGCACTGGATGTGGACGCCATGCCTCAAGACCACTCACCCCCAGCATATTTGAAGCCCCTACAGATAATCAACTGGTCTGCCCACTTAGAATGCCTTGTGATGCCATACCATAAAAAGCATACACCAAAAGAGGAGAAAGATGTAGAGAAGGTAGACCAAGAACAAGATGGAAAGATAACATTAATAAACTTCAACAGCATAATGTGTCTACCGCTGAGGTGGCCAGAAGAGCAAAAAGATGTACCGTGTATCTCACAGCACCTGAAATAACAGGAAGTTAAGAAGAAGAGATCACTTGTTTTGCTTAGTCAACCTAGAGTTATCTCACTGTTGGTTCAGTTTTCTTTCAGACCATAGTCTCTCTTTTTGCCAACCAGCCTGTAGGCCTTTGGTTTGAACCTGCTTTCAGGCAAATTATAACCAGCTGTTGATGTTGACCATATCAGTCATCCGGTGCCAATTTGTCTATAAAAAATATGGGACAAACACCCTATACCTAGTGTCATGAACAGGCTTGTACTCTTTGTGTGTTACCTTGTTCACATAGTGTCTATTGCATAACAGATCAGGGCCACCACCTGCCCTGGCAATCTAAGAGGTTGCCAAAGGCTGAGGATATAGTCTAAAGCTGTGTTAATGTGGAAATCGGGCGAAACTATCACATTATTAGAGTCATGTATTCTTCTTTGCGTTCACCAGCTGTAAACTGGTGGAAAGTTATAATAGGGTCCCGGAACCCACGCGGGGACTTTTGTACTGAAAAGGTTGTAAGAAGAGTTATATCTGATTTTTTTCCCTGGGAAATCTGCATATTTTGGGATGCATCTCATTTAAAAACAAATACAGTATTTTTCTATCAGCAATGCGTTGTTCATTCCTAGTTTCTTCTGTGCCTCTGTATTTGATTGCTTCTGTTTCCATGAAATATGACCTTTTATTTCTATAGAGGTAGTTTTCCAATTTTTTTTTTTTTTAAACAAACGCTTCACATGTAAATAAACAACAAAAACTGGTTCTCAACATTGTAAAGATGAGTATATTTGAACAATACACCAACAGGGGTTTATAATAAACATCATCAGTTCAAAGACTAAACAATAATGCTGTCAACAAAGGACTGTTGTACAAAATGTAGGAAACATCACAAGAATCTGGCTACAAGAAAAAACCAATCTTGGTTAACAACCAATGACAAAATGCAATCAGAAAAATCTGCTTTCTTTATAATTTAAACAAAATTTAAAGACAGTTTAGATTGATTTTAAAATGCCTGAAATAACCAGGAGAATCTGGTGACAGTGACGCCAAAGGAAACAAAACAGAGGGTGCACACAACTAACTGAAACATTTAGGATTAAATAAAAAAAAAAAATTATATTTCTTAACTTTAGGTAGATAGACAATGCAAGAATTAGAACACACACCCTCTTTAACCCTTTCAGCAAACCTGGCATTTCAGGTTTGGTCCAATGCTGTCCATGAATGTTCAGAAAAACTGGCTGTAGTGACCTTTTCCCAAGAAATATAATGTAATATGACTGTTTCTTTTTGCATCTACATGGCGTAAAGGCCAGGGAGTTTTGTGAACCAAATAGCTTTTTAAAAAATGTAAGCCAAGTTGATGTAAATTTTCCCGTAAGCCTCAGTTTCATGGGTCAAGGCATGAGTCACTCGATACATATTTGTGGGTTCTGGTTCCCTGTTATTATAGGGAAAACAAGAATAGAGTCACTGCCTACCAAAAAGCATGTTGTAAGTGTCGACTAATTGGGAGCTTCCTTCGAAGTTAGAGTGCATCTGCCTGAGAGGCAAGGAACCAGCAGTCTGCATACAAACGGTTCAGATCTGTAAAACGGATGCACACGCATCAGTCAGGTTCTGGAATGGGACTGCAGTCCAGACGTGGATCAACAACCATAACTTTCTGCTAGAGTTTACAGCTGGTGACCACAAGGAAGAAGATATATTTTTGGGCCAAAAGGGGAGTGTATTCCATTTAATGCTGTATCTGTTCATGTCTACTGATTACTTCCTTTTATATCTATATATTTGGAGGAAAAAAATGTATACAAATGAAAATTATGTTTTTGGTAGAAATTTATCAGTGGCCTGCGTAACAATGTATTTTTTCTTGACAGGAATTTTTTTCCAGGAATTCCCACAGGGTCAGGATTTTTTTAAAGCATTCCACAAGCAACAGCGCTAAAAACACTGTTTTTAAAAAAGTTGTAAAATGTAAAGAATTATATATTATCCCTAAATTTTGTGTTCTTGTTCAAATATTTAAAGTTATCTCAATATCTGCTTCGGGCCATTATGGTGAAACAGTTTAATGGATGATAGGCAGCCAAGCCAGGGCGTGCTCAGCTAATTCTTTTGTGTGGACATGTTGAGAAGTCTTAGGTTATCAGTGACTACATCTATTTTCATCTAGGTCATTGTACGGGTTCTTTTTCCATTCTGTACGGGCTACCAAGTAAACGATTATTCTAGGGGTACAACTGTCAACTAACCAACGACTGGCAGAAAAACGCCGTAACGAAGTCAACCCTTGAAAACTGCTACATTTCAGAAACACGTCGTTGGCAGGCAAATACAAGAATTTTGTTAAGCAATTCCTCACAGATATAAATGGTGTCAATGAAAGGCATATAGTACAGTCACTATATTAAACGACGGTTCCTCCAATCCGGAGCAATGAGCCTCAGCTCCCCGCAAACTGCGGCATCAACTACGGATCCATCTAAGACTGGTTTCCAACCTCGGCCATCAACACATTTCTTGCAACCGTCATCTGTCTGTAAAAATTCCTGTCGGCAAGTGACGTCGTGTCTCTCGTCATACCCTATGTTCATTATCGGTTGTCCGTAGTGTGGATCTTCGGATTGCACACAACAGTCATGCTCTCCTTCTTAGTGTTTACATTTTCGGGTTGTACACTCACTGCAGGTATAATTTGATTCACTATCAGGTGGAATTTACAAATTAATCACTTAAATATCCTAGAGTTTAGAACTGGTATCACAGGATTGAAGGCATTCACATAAATGCTCCATATCCCTCTTCAAAAGAGTTCCAAAAACTAACTTACTGAATGCTGTCTGATTATATGTCCATCTTGCCTTTCCTCTGAGCATTCTAAATTCCTCCTTCCTTACCTTCAGCGTCTGTAAACTTTGGTGAAAAGATCTGGACTTTGGCCTTATTTCACAACTTGAGTTTTGCATGCACATCAGTTTTACAGATGTGGCTTTTTGTGTGTGTGCAGACTGTTGGTTTCTCACCCCTCAGACAAATGTACACTGAGTTCAATTGAAACACTCCTAATTAGTTGACTTATGACATGCTTGTTGGGGGAAGGGAGTGGGCCTATCCCCCCCCCCCCCACCCCAAAAAAAAAAAAACAATTAGGCCCCGGAACCCACACCTAGTAGCTGGGAACATAAAAAACAAAACAATTAGGCCCCGGAACCCACACCTAGAAGCTGGGAACATAAAAAACAAAACAATTAGGCCCCGGAACCCACACCTAGTAGCTGGGAACATAAAAAACAAAACAATTAGGCCCCGGAACCCACACCTAGTAGCTGGGAACATAAAAAACAAAACAATTAGGCCCCGGAACCCACACCTAGAAGCTGGGAACATAAAAAAAACCCTAACATAACAATCAGAATCAGGCAGTCATTATTTTTTAAGCTACCTGAGAAAAGAAAAAGAAATTTGTGACCAGTGGACATTTTTATAGAGAGGAGAACAATCCAAGAAGATTCTTGACATCCTTTATTTCATGGCACCGATACAAGATGGCAAGATGTGTAGAAGCCTGATCATGCATGCCATTCCAGGGATTGTAGGGCAACACTCCCATTTCTGTAAAACTCCATTTGATCAGGAAACAGATTTCTAAGCCTGATATTGAGATGGCAAACACAGAGATGAATTGGGGAAGGGGGGGGGGGAGGCTGCTGATATCTGCAGCAATGAAAACTTGAGTGCTCAGAATGCTGAAGAAGAAGATATCCCACTTGTTAGGGACACTCTTCCTGCCTTAGACAGTTATTACTCCCAAGTTCAAGTAACTATTATTTTACAGCAATTACAAACACAGTCATTAACCCCCCATGCTAAGGTAACTATTATGATATAGCAATTATAAACACAGTCATTACCCCCCCATGCTAAGGTAACTATTATTTTACAGCAATTACAAACACAGTCATTAACCCCCCATGCTAAGGTAACTATTATGTTATAGCAATTATAAACACAGTCATTACCCCCCCTGCTGAGGTAACTATTATTTTACAGCAATTACAAACACAGTCATTACCCCCCATGCTGAGGTAACTATTATGTTATAGCAATTATAAAGCCTAATGTTGTTTGTGCTGTGAACTGCAGATTCAGAAATTGGTGAGTGGTCTGTTGCCAGATAACTGGTGGTGCCTTATGCAATTAACTGCATGTGCAACGTTCAGATCTGTTATAATATTGCACCCATCTTGTGTCGGACTGTTTGTATTGGCACTTCTGATGGCTGCCTTATGCATTTAATGCATGGGTAATCTACTGGATTTGCTGAGACTGCAGTCTGTTGATGTTTTTTTAAAACAAGGGATAGGGGTGGACATTCTGTGTTTGTTTGTTTGTTGGCAGAGGAATGTAACAACTATGGGGTGACCCATGCTATGAAGTTGAAACTGCGAATATCTGAATTACTGAGGACTGAATGCTTTTAAAACACTTTAATTTCTACGTCATAAACAACATCACATTAAGTGCAATCTCAGAATTAAACTGTTCAATATGCAGGCATTAATTAAATAAAAGTTTTAACATCAACAAAGAAAAATGTGTTAACGGTTACCTTCATAAAAGGATCAATGAAATCAAATGCGTGGCATCCTCAGTTCCAGGGCCAAGTTTTGGGAGAAAACCAAAAGATCCACTGACCACCACCCCCCCTCCCCCAACAAACATGCTGCAAAAGCAACAAATTAGAGCATTGCTCAAATCAGATGTGTTGGACCAAAAGGTGCAGATATCGCAGCCTAGCTGTGAACTACCACACAACATGCCAACTACCACACAACATGCCAACTACCCTTTTAAGGGTGAATGAAGAAAACAAAGAAACGAATATTAAACACATTTTCACTTCTATGCCATGAACAACAAACTAATTAAATGTAATCTCACAACTAAAATGCTGAATATGCAGATATTAATTATAAAAAGTTACTAACAAAAGAGCAATGAGTTAACTGTTACCTTCAGAATTTAACTGAAACCATAACTGTCAAACCCCTGACAGCAAACTATGAAAGATTGGTGTTATAAATTAATATTGTGGCAGCAAACAGTACAGCCTCAAAAATGTCCCTTATAGCAGTAAATACAAAACTATTGTAATGGAAAATCCACTTTACAACAAATATCTGGCTGCAACAAAAGCTGCCACACCAACGACAACTGCTAAGCCAAAATATATGGAATGACGAAGATATGGCCGGTACTGTCGCCAGCGCTCGCTTTTTCTCTGTTTTTCCTTCATCAGACGAATCTTTTCCAGTGTCTCCTTCTTCCGGTTTTCCCTGATCTGATGTCTGACATCTGCTGCCCTGTGTCCGAAGTAAAGAAATAAGAAAAATATCACAATCATGGGTAAAAAGGATGAGAGATTTCTTACTTCAATAAATTTCTTCTGCTTTGCCTGACTGACTTTCTAGACTTCTTTTAACAGATTAACAAATTTATTTACAGCATGCAGAGGCTGCAGCGTCCCTGAAAGGATATTTGAGGAGCTCCAATGGTCGAAGTAAAGAAAGAGTGCTGTCAGAAACAACATACCAAATTTCTTATTCTTTTTCTGCCCTTTATTACTCAGTGAAGCAAAGGCCCTCAACTCACATCAAACCATGCTTGCTGTCGCAGCTCACCTTGTCTCCTCCCCATTTTTTCCCCCCACTTCACTCTCAAATTTCTTTCTTTGAGTGCATTTTGGTCTGCCTTTAATCTTTTGACGCCATGTGTTCCAGTGTAAGAATATTTCTTATTATATGGTTATAAAGACTTCTCAATGTGTATCTTATCCAATGCTAGTGTTTTTCTTTAAGTCTTGGAACCTCTTCCAAATCTTCAGGTGTATTGGGAGTACAGTGCTGGACAAATATTTTATAGACCAATCGGCATTCCGTGGGTGATATGCTCAACGTCACACTGACCACCTTTACTTCCCAGGACTTTCCCTGGTACCCATTTAAGGCTTGCTTGACCTGGGAGTCAGGGTAATTTTTCAAAAAAGGCCACCTCTTCTTCTTCACTTTCCTCGGTCTTCAGTTCAATCTTGTATCAGGATGGATTAATTTTTGTCAAAAGGAACCTTCGGTACTAGGTTGACCCAGCTAAAAATGGCTACCAGTTAATGTCCTGGGAAGTAAAGGAGATCACAAGATGTTGACCACATCACCCAAGATGTGCCAAATGGTCTGAAAAAAATTTGAGTAGCATTACATACGAGAAAGATGTATGAAATGAGTCCTTTAATTACCATTTTACTTACTTAGAAAACCCGAAACAAACTAATCAATGGATATCCCTGTGTGGGTCCCGGGGCCCCATTTTGGGTGAAACAAGAATTGCCCCTCAACAAGCATGTAGTACAGGGCTATTCAACTAAGTTTACCCAGGGACCAACATTTTGAAAATGAAGAACATAACGAGCCAGAGGCCTGAGCCCAAGCAAAGGAAAATCATTAATATAATACAACTGGCAATGATCAGCAGGCCACTTGCTAGGTCTCTGCGGGCCACATCTGGCACACAGGCCACCAGTTGAATAGCCCTGATGTAGTAGAACAGGGCTATTCAACTGGCGGCCCGCGGGCCAAATCTGGCCCGTGGAGACCTAGCAAGTGGCCCGCCGATCGTTGCCACTGAAATGTAGTATATTTTTAAAAAATTTAATCAATCAATGTTTCTGTATAAATCTTCAAAAACCAGTTGTGTTGAATGTGACAATAAGAAATGTTTGTCAGGGATCTCTAAATGCGAAGATAGAAGGGAACGGGCGTATGAACAGACAATACCACTACTGCGGGAATGTCTCAGGCATAGAAATGTAATTAGTTCACGGTAAAAGTTACTTGAAATAGCAGAACTCGCCTGTTTGGAGCCAAATGTAATAAGATAGGCTGGAAAGAATCAAGTAACAGGTAGAAAGCAATCGCTTGACTGGACAGTCAATGGAGGTGAGATATTATTTGACAGGAGGCGTATGGAGATCCAAACCCGATCTAGATAGTTAGCGCTTAGATTACCGAGGAACTATCCCTTAAAGTTGACCACTCGTAAACAAAGATTAATGACAATGGGTGCTGCAGAACATTAGTGACACTGGACATCGCAGAATACCTGCTAGTGATCTTGTTGTTAGATTATAATCAGATATTTCATAAACGTCTAGTGTGCAAGTCACAGACAGAAGCAGACTGCCGGACGCGATTGTGTAGTAACAAACTGAAACAGTAACAGTGTTTTAAGTTATCTCAATTTTAATACTTAAGTGACATACTTGATGCCATGGCTGGTACTAGTAAGAAAGCTAAGTGGGAGTGTGAAAATCTTATGTTCAACAATGACTGGACACTGAAATATTTATTTATATCACCAACTATGCCTAATTCGAAACCAATGTGCTTGCTATGCAACGAATGTGTGTCGGCAGTAAAAGAGTACAACGCAAAGCGGCACTTTACAATGAAACATGCTGATTTTGGAAAATCATATCCAGAAGGTTTCACTGCTAGGAAATCAAAGGTTGAGTCATTGATTGCTACTAATCAGCATAGCAGCAGAATGCTTGTGCGAGCTTGTACTTAACAAGAAAAAGCCACAGCGGCTTCTTTGCATGTTTCGTGGATATTAGCCAAAAAGAAGCGGCCTTTCACTGACTCAGAAACCGTGAAAGAATGCATACTAGCAATCCTAGACAAAATAGCAGTTGATGATAAAATAAAAACAAGCGTGTCACATGCAGTTCAGCAAATCCCTATGTCGGATACTTCGACGATACACAGAATCGAAATTTTAGGAACTGAAGTTTTTGAATCTTTAATTGAAAACATAAAGCAGGCAGAATTATCAATTGCCATTGACGAATCTACAGACATCATAGACGTGGCTCAGTTATGTTTATTGGTAACGGACGGAGCGCCGTCAGTGTTAGGTAAGCACCAAGGTGTGACCGCCAGACTTTCTGCAGTAGCACCTCAGATGCAGTCGCTGCATTATCTTATCCATCAAAGTGTCCTGTGCAGCAAACTGAGCGACAAGATGAAGGAAACAATGGATATGGTGATGAAATTTCATTCGATCTTCATCAAGTCTTCAGCACAGGTTATTTCGGCAGTTACTTGAAGAAACGGAAGGAGATTACAAAGACTTACTTCTGCATAATGACGTTTGTTGACTGAGTAAAGGGAGCACTTGATCCTTTTTGGAGTATCAAAGAAGAAATAATGTTTTCTTGGAAACTGTTCTCATAAAAAGGCAGAAAAGTATAGGAAAGTATTACGTGACAGTGCATTTTTAGCAAATGTTTGCTTTTTAAACGATTTGTTTGCTCATTTGAACACACTGAACTTGCAGCTGCAAGGAAGACACAAGAAAATCACTGATCTGGTTGAAAAACTAAACGCTTTTCGAGATAAGCTACCTTTGTTTGTAACGGATCTCCAAACAGCCAAACTTCTTCATTTCCCAAACTTGAAGGATTTTATTTCTTCAACACTGGACTCAGCAACCATAACTAATCGAATGATAGATTTATTAAAAAAGCTTCAGAAAAATTTTAACAACAGATATGAAGACTTCAGTATCCCAAACAATGTAATGTTATTTGTTCGAGATCCTTTTAAAATCCCCCCTGCGGGTGATTTTTCTTTGAATGCTAAAAAGCTGTTACCCTCTGTTGATGAAGGTTCTCTGCAGTTAGAACTTGTGGATATGCAAAGTTCCAGGGCACTGAATGAAGGTTTTCAAGAAAGTGGTACCGTCAAATTTTGGTCTGAAACGATTCAACAGGAGCAGTTCCCTAATGCTAGAAAGGTTGCCCTATTAATACCCACCATATTTGGTTTAACTTTTACTTGTGAATCAAGCTTTTGACATATGAACGCCATCAAGACAAACAGTCGGAGCTCACTGAGCAATGATAGGCTGCAGGATTGCATGAGAATTGCTCCGACCTCACCAACTAAATTTATAAAATTAGCTCAAAAACGGAAATGCAACTATTCCCATTAATTACATTTTGCCCCATTATAGCTTTCAGTATATATATATATATATATATATATATATATATATATATATATATATATATATATATATATATATATGCAAAAAAATAACTACGCGTGAAATGCGATGTCTCCGAAGAGTCACCAACAATACACGAAGAGACAGAGTCACAAACGTCAGCATTAGAGACAAAGTTGGAACAAGAGCATGCATGAAACATATTGAAAGACAGAGAATGAAGTGGTTTGGCCATTTGGTAAGAATGCAACCGGATCAGATTGCCTATAAGGCCTTTTACAGTAGAACATCGGGAAGAAAGGCCAGAGGAAGACCCAGGAAAAAATCGATAGATGGAGTAGCTGAATACGGCTAGAAGATCCAGAAAACTGTCACTCAAATCACGCGAGAGGCACAAAACAAATATTTTAAACCACGACACTGGGCTACGACCCGGTAAAAGTGAAGTAGACAATAGATAGCTTTCGGTTATTCTGTACAAAGCCATATGAAACGAACTGGGGACAGTAATTATTAATTGTATTACTATTTTTATTGTGACAATGCAACTGAAGTGACGATGCAAACGTTCATTTATTATTCAAACAACAAGTTGGAAATACGTGTATTTCATTAAAAGTGAGCATTTTTTTATCGTTACAAAAGATTGTAGTACATTTTACATTATAATGGTTTACAATACTGTTTCATTTATATTACCGTAGGCTAGGCCCTAGGCGTAACCGTCTTAGAGTGTATTAAATTTACACATCTACAGTTTTCTCGATTGTAGTGTTGATAATCTTCCCACACTTGGTTTGGGCCAATGGCCCGCGACGATCCCCATTTTTAACATTTTGGCCCGCGAGTGAACTTAGTTGAATAGCCCTGTAGTAGAAGGTGACAATTTAGTGAGGTTTTCTTCGTAGTGGGCATGCATCTACCTGAGTGGTGGGGAACCAACAGTCTGAATTTGAGTAAGCCAGATCTGTAAAACAGATGGGCATGCAAAACTCAATTTCTGGAACAAGACTAAAGTCCAGAAATATATAAACAACCAGAACTTTAAGCCAGAGTTTACAGCCAGTAAATGTTTTAAAAAAAAGAAGAACAACAATGGGCAGATATACTAAATCAGTGCAATTTAAAAAAAGTGTAGGACTGGGCTTTGAGGAGAGAGTGGCAGATAGAGAGAGAAAAAGAGAAGGACATACACACCTGATTTCTTCTTCTTTATCACCTCCACCATCGCACTCGTCACCTTCGTGTCTACCAAGGTGTCTGAGTCTGGTGGAGTCATTGGTATCATTATCATCATCTAGGGATGACTGCCTGACTGCATCTCCGGACTTCTGACTCAAATCTGGTTCGAAGCCAAAAAAGTCTGGCGGCTGGGACACAGGACTCTTCTTTGGTGGTAGAAGTGGCGGTTCTTCATCACCTCCATTAGATATGGTTAAGACATTTGGAAACGGTGAATTTGGAGGGTGAAGGCTGGTGGTTCTTTCTGGAGGCTGGGGTGCTAGGTTTTCTATGCTGTTCTGCAACGATTGTTAAGATTCAAAGAACAGAAATTAATCATTCATAAACATTACCAAGAGTTAACAATTCATAAACATTAATAACAGTTTGGAACCATTTGGAAATGGTGAATTTGGTGGGTGGAGGCTGGTGGTTCTTTCTGGAGTGCTCGGTTTTCTATGCTGTTCTGTAATGATTGTTAAGATTCAAAGAACAGGAATTAATCATTCATAAACATTACCAAAGTTAATAATTCATAAACATTAATAACAGTTAATAGCTTACTGTGATTAGTAAGGATTATCATCCCAGCACTTTGGACATATCCATAGTTGCTCCAATCCCCTCCTCAAAAGCTCCCCAGGCGCAAAACGACTAATAACATCTGTTCCATGTTGATTAATCAAATGCCTTGTTCCCATTGGTGAAACGTGTATTTCTTGCTGCTGCAGGTCGTATTCCCATGTCCATCAGCATAGACAGGGGTTTGCAGTCTCACCCTCTGTCGTATTCATTTTCATAGTAAGTGCTGTGCATGGCACTGATAACACTGATTCTGCCTAGTACTGGATCAGCCATAGCGACCGCAGTGTTTGTTCATAAACACTACCTCAGCGGTCCTCAAACTGTTTTCACTGTGGCACCCATGTCAGGCAAAAAAAGATTTCCTGGCACACCTACCCTTAACCCTCTGGAGATGACGCAGCCAAAATATTAGCCCAAGGCAAAGTAGCCAGAAGGACGGCTGGGCCGATTGGTCGGCCCTGTGTAATAAAGGCCTTGATATTTGCTGGTAGGTTTTTGCACCAGCCAATTAGACTGCTTCTCGCACTTCTTGCACATGTGGGCTGTTTACTGACAGCCTTTGAGAAAGTCTGATGTGTTCTGTAATTTTACATCGATTTTTTTTCTGCGGTTACCTGTGCCCAAAAAATGCGAAAAGGACTGTTGCATCATAGGAACTGAAACATAGCTGGAGGCAGGAAGATGAGTAGAACCATGTGCCAGACATATCTGAAGGGCTTCCAAGGACCTCAAAATACAGGTGTTAGGACTTTTTCAAGCTTCATCTAAATTTTTCAGGTTAGTTATGTTTGTATCCAAATTTTATAAAAATTGCTTGTATAAATTATGCAAATCAGAATAGTTAAAGTGAATAATTGTTGAGATTTCAGTTTGATTAATTAATATTTGTTTAGTTCATTCAATTTCCTACACGAATATATATAGTTTTGTTTATGTTAATTAAACACTTATTTTTTAAATAATTTTTTTGTGTATTAACTATGAGAATCCCCTTCTGAAGGCTCCGTCTCCAAAAGGTTAAAGTAGTTTGAATACTTAGGAGAAGAAGAAAAGCAGTGAAAATTTAATTTTCATTTGCCTTTTATGCTAAGAATGAAACTGTTTGGATGAATTTTTTCATTATTTCCTTTATGATTATGGGAAGTTTAGTTAATTGTACCCTCGAATCACTGGACCAAGAAAGTTTGCTCCTGTTTCTGTTTTTATGCCTATAGGCTGAGATTTCACTGCAGCCTTGCCAACAGCATTGTCTTCAGCATACACTTGTATCCAGAACTCTTCTTGGCTTCTTTCATGGTGTTTCTGTTTTCAACTGCTGCCTTTAATGATCTCAAGCAGATTTTGAAAAATTCTTGATTACCGCCACAGGACCCATAGAAGACACTCGCGGCACCCAGTTTGAGAACCGCTGCACTACATATCACAGAACAGAAGTGTGCACCGATAACTCAAGTCTTGGAACAGGATCAATATCCAGAAGTGAACAACCAACCAAGACTTTACTTTAGAGTTTACAGTCAGTGAATGCAAAGAAGACAAATATTATATGTCATTCCTTTTAGTTTAGACGACAGATCCACATACTGGCACAAGGTTAGTAACCCATAAGTGCTCTGTTCTACTTCTTACTCAAGCCTAAGTCCAAAGAATCTCAGCGCAGTGCACAAAATCTGTTGCACACCGGTGAGGACCCTAAAATACTTTGGGTAGATTTTTAACTCCTAATTTTGCTCGGGCAGTGCTGTTAGGCTACTCTTTTTTAATTTCCAACTGCCAAGGGATTTTTTGTACGTGCACAACAATACACACCGGCTTTCAATCCTACTACTCAGAGACCAGGGGGAAGTTACTAATAGTCCACATGAAAAATCACAGCCTTCACCAGGGCTTGAATCCAGTACTTTCGAGCACTCGAGGCGGACGTCATGCTTCGAGGCCACGCAGCCCTCATAAGGGTAGGCAGTCATGTTTCGTCATCAAATATCATCAGTAGAATCACAGATTAGGTCTGTATTTAAGCTAAATGGTCAAGCCACCCAAGTACAGTGGAGAATGGCGCTGGGGGAAGTTACCAGGGGATCTGCCCGACGCTCGATACTCAAGGGAAAGGGGAGACGGATATACAATCATACTGTTATTAATGCCACAGGAACTCTTCACTTGCTGCTTAAGATAGGGACGGAGTGCTAATGGGAGTGTCCAGAGTGTCATGAATTGGATTCTCAATTCAACATTTCTTTATGATAAAAGTGAAACAAACAAACAAGCTACCTACCTCATCACTGAAAGGGTGTTTCGTCTGCACGCTGCCAAGTCCACTCTCACTCAAAAGAGCACGTGATCCTTCAATAATGGCCAGATAAGAGAAACGCAACTGGTCTGCTGTCTGTATGAGTCCCATCCGAAACGAGCGCATCTGTAGTAATGATTTTCTGACGTCCAGACAATCAAGAGTGCCAGCGGTTTCAACCTGAGGACAGTGATGTTGAAAAACAATCCACACGCTGCTCTACACATCAGCTTTTTAAAATGTACTTTGTTGCATACACCAAAACATTATTTTTGTTTTTTAAATGCATATTTTCTCTCTCTTTCTGTCTGTCTCTGTATTTTATCTGGCTTCTCAATCTTTTGTTTGTCTCTTCTTTCTTCTCTCTGCATGTCACCCTCTTTCTCTTGTATGTCTGTCTCATCTCTCTCTTTTTCTTAACAGACAGATCATTACAGTCTGAGGAAAATGGCGCTGCAAGGAGTTACAAGGGGATCTGGCCGGTGCTCAGTTTCTTAGGAACTGGAACTCTTTGCTTGCTGCTGAAGATGGGGACGGACTGCTTATAGAGGTGTCCCGAGTGCTGTGATGTCGATTCCTAATTCAACTATCAACAATCTCTTTTTCTTGTCTCCTGTGTCACAAACAGCCACACATGTGACAGTTGTAGAGGCTGCCAATTCAGTAGTCAAAGGTTCAAATTTCCGTCAAGGTGTTTTTTAAATGATCAGCTCTCCAGAAAGCCTAAAAGGACACCAGGAAACATCTTGAGAAGTAAAGATGGCCTGCAAAGACACACCATCCACATGGGAACCATCTCAGGGATATGGTCATCTAGCCTGTCTACTTTTTTGGTGATATTAGGTTTCTCATGTGAGGGTCCAGGCCTCGTTTTGGGTGCTGAAGAAAAAAAGATCCACTGCCACTTCTCATCATGTTGTAAAAGGCAACTAAAAAAGAGTGTTGAAATCAGATGTGTTGGGCCAAAAGGTACAGATATTACAGCTAAACTGTAAACTACAACACAATGTACTCATTGCTCTTTTAACTCTTTGACTCCCAGAAAAATATAGTTGATGCCCGGTTGCGACAGTAATGACAACAAAATTATAGGTATACGACATCTTCAGGGTTTAAATGTACAACAAAAATGTAGGAAACATGAAGATACAGAAACACATACAAGATGTTTTCAGGCTGTCTTCTTCTTCTTCGCGTTCACCGGCTATAGACCCGGATTGAAAGTTCTGACTGTTTGCCCACTATAAGACTTTAGTCTTGTTCTAGAACCTGAGTTTTTTGTGCACATCTGTTTTACAGATCTGACTTATTTGTAAGCAGACTGTTGGCTCCATGCCTTTCAGGCAGATACATTTTGACCTTGAAGGAAACACCCCTAATTAGTTGACTTTTACGACATGCTTGTTGGGCGAGGGGAGTGGATCTATTCCCCCTCCCCCAATCCAAATGGGGGTCCCAGAACCCACACAGGGAGTGCTGACTGCAGTCAACACAGGGTGCATTGTTTAATGCTGAAAGATTTTTTTTTAAACTGACAAGGTTTTCAGGTTGACCCAGGCCACAAAGAGTACCAGGAAACGTGTGGGGAAGTAAACACCTGGAGTGGTATTTTACTGGCTTCAGCACCCTTTCAGTTCTGACTGATATTCTTCTTCTTCTACTTCGCATTTACTGGCTGCAAACTCTGGTTGTTTGTGGACTTCTGGACTTTACTTCCAGAACTTGAGTTTTTACATGCACATCCATTTTACAGATCTGGCTTTTTTAAAAAATAAATAGACTGTCAGTTCCTCACCTCTCAGGCAAATTCACTACCCTAATTAGTCAACTCTTATGCAGTAGGACTATTCTTGTTTTTTTCCATAATCCACTCTGCGAAATGTGTTATCGGAAATTCTATCCATCCATTGCTTGTGTGATCGACCTCTAGACTGCTTCTGTTGTTGCCAACTGATTAAACAGCTGTCCCACTCACCATGACAAGGCAGGAATCTACCAGACAGAAAGTTCCAGATCTCCCAATGCCCGCACTGCAGTGAACAATTGCAGGCCCAACATCGGCCTCCAGCGACTTTGTCTGTCTTATTGAGTGCAGAAAGTAAAGAAAGGCATTGGGAGATGATGGTACACCAAAATCAGGCCAAGTCGTGTAGTGGAAATGTAGCACTTCTCGTCTTTCACCAGACTGAGAAAACAGAATTACAGTTTTAAAAACATAAATATTTTTATTGGCCCACTGAATGTAGTTAGGTAAGTAAGTAGGTAGGTAGGTAAGTAGATAAATGGGCAAGTAAGTAAGTAAGTAGGCAGGTAGGTAGGTAAGTAAGTAGGTAGGTAAGTAAGTAAGTAACTAGGTAGGTAGGTAAGTAGGTAAGTAAGTAACTAGGTAGGTAGGTAAGCAAGTAGGTAGGTAGGTAAGTAAGTAAGTAAGTAAAGGCTATATTTCTGTGGTGCCCCTGGTTCATCGGCATGTGATGCTAGACTCATATTTTAATAGACCAATCAGCATTTGATAAGTGATGTGTTGAACTTCATACTAGATGCCTTTACTTCCTAGGATTTACCCAGTATCCATCTGAGGCTGCAGTGACAGGGTAGCTAAGGTCTTCTTCTTCTTCAGCATTCCGAACCCTTAATGTTTATTGCTGCTGATATCACCCGCCTCCACTCCTTTCTCTGACTGGCCTTCTCTTTCCAGTTGGTGACACCAAGTGTTTGCAGGTCTGTCTGGACATGATCTCTCTATCTTCTTCTTGGTCTGCGACCATTCATCTCTCTGGTGTATACAGTTTTTACTTCTCTGTCACTGAGGTCACTGTTTTAAAATCTGACACAATGCAAATTCAAACCCTAAACCTCCCAAAGTGGGCTTTGGGAGCCCCACTGTTGGGAAAACAAGAACAGATTCACTGCCTCCAGATCAAGCATTTCGTAAGGACCAACTAACTAGGGGTTTCCTTCAAAGTCGAAGGGCATCCACCTGAGAGACAAGGAATGAAGATCTGCATACACGTAAGTAAAACGGATGTGTAGTCAAAACTCAGGTTCTGGAACACGACTCTCAAGTCCAGAGGTGGAAGAACAATCAGAACTTTCTGCTGGAATTTACAGCTGGTGACCTCAAAGAAGAAACCTTGGATTAGCAGGCAAGCGACAAGCTACTACAGTTCCCGTCTTAAATATAAATATATATATATATATATATATATACACACCCACACAATTTATATAAAAAAGCAGGATATTAAGAACCAATCGATCACACACTAACAAATGACGAATAGACCCACTCTGAGGCTCAACATAGCATTTCACACACATATCCACGACATGACTAACCCGTTCTTATTGCAGGAAGACAACTATAAGACCACTATGGTCACAGGCGGAATATTGTCACATTTCGGAACTATCCAACATCAAAAACTGTTTTCAGTACTTTATGTTATGTAGAAAAGCTCGCTCTCCTACGAAATACGCCCGGCCAAATCAGAGAGAGACGACACCGAGGAAACACCAAATAAGAAGAGGAAAGAAACGCAGTTAACAACAGGGTGGAGGATTCGGAAGAATACGGCGCAAATAACAAATTTAGTCACGAAAGTGACGCAAATAACCCAGACCACAAATATAGGCAGAGACTGTTAGCAGCCTCGGCTAGCTAGCAGCAGTCTGAAAGTGGTCGACCTTTTATTTCTTTTCTTAAAAGGAATCGGATTCCGAATAGAACCAAGCAAACAGACTCACTTTACTGCAACAGGATTTCATAAAAAACACTGTAGCTACAGTGACAACTCCAAGGGATCTCTGAAAACACATAGGACTAATGGAAAAGTCCAAAATCCAAACCACAGCTTTTGGAGCATGATGCAAACAGCTTTGCCATGGAGCCTTTCTGGATAAAGTAAGCTAAAAAAATTTAGGAGGTAATGATCACCACCATCGTCATAGTTCCAAAACAGCCTGTGTCAGCTGGATGCTATGGATCTAATGTTTGCAGGTTTAAGGCCTGTTTATTCAGCCTAAATTTATTATAAAATTAGTTAGGTAAATATTAAAATTTCTGTTGGGGGAGGGGGAATATATAAAGATATATATATAAAGGGAGTTATCAATAAATATGAACACAGTGAAGGACTAACTGGAATAAATTGGGGCCAAAAAAACAAAATGTATGACTAACTGCAATACATTCCCTGCGGTACAAAAAACAAACTGTATGACTAACTGCAATACATTCCCTGCGGTACAAAAAACAAAATGTATTACTAACTGCAATACATTCCCTGCGGTACAAAAAACAAAATGTATGACTAACTGCAATACAAAAAAAACAAAATGTATGACTAACTGCAATACATTCCCTGCGGTACAAAAAACAAAATGTATGACTAACTGCAATACATTCCCTGCGGTACAAAAAAACAAAATGTATGACTAACTGCAATACATTCCCTGCGGTACAAAAAAACAAAATGTATGACTAACTGCAATACATTCCCTGCGGTACAAAAAACAAAATGTATGACTAACTGCAATACATTCCCTGCGGTACCAAAAAAAAAAAAAATGTATGACTAACTGCAATACATTCCCTGCGGTACAAAAAAACAAAATGTATGACTAACTGCAATACATTCCCTGCGGTACAAAAAACAAAATGTATCTAGTGATTCATTTTATGACCCCATGACCTATATCACTGTGGCTTATGGGAAATTTCCAGCATGATGCAAACAGCTTTGTCATGGAGCCTCTCTGGATAAAGTAAACTAAACTAACTGTAGGAGATAATCATGGTCACTGTTGTCACAGTTAAATAACTGTGTGCTGCTGGGTAACAAGCTGACTGTCAGATGAGTACCATCCACCCCTGTCCGTCAGATGCAGTGGATCTAATGTTTGCAGGTTTGCGGCCTGTTTATTCAGCCCAATTCTGTATCCAGGTATGAACTGCGAAGGACTGAAAGACAATGAAGTTTTGAACACAGGTAGTAACCCATTACTGCTCCATTCTTCTTCTAACTCAAGTCTGAGTTCAAAGAAGCTCAGCACAGTGCACAGGCTCTGTAGCACCGGTAAGGATCCTGAAATACTTTGGATAGATTTTAAACTCCAAATTTTGCCTGGGCAGCATAATATTACTCTTTTCGATTTCAAACTGCTAAGGGATTTTGTACGTGCGCAACAATGCACACGGGTGTCCGATCTCACTACCCAGAGACCAGAGAGAATTACTAGTAGTCTAAGTCTACGTGAAAAATCCCAGTCCTTACTGGGGATTGAACCCGGAACCTCTAGCTGATGTCAACTTGGTTTTATAAAAGCTATCTGGTTCCTAGGCGGCGTCCGTGGCTTAGGCGTTGTGCCGGCTGCGTGGATTTTTATCGTGTTATGGGGCGTCGCAGGTCGACCCAGCCTAAAATAGGTACCAGGATGTCTGTCCTGGGGAAGTAAAGACCGCCGGCGTAATACTGACTACATTACCCACCTAGTGCTGATTGGTCTGTAAAAATGTGGGTGTTCTTCCCATATGCCCAATGGCCTGGAAGGAGATCTTTACTTTTTTCTGGTTCCTAGGAAAATCCCCTAAATGCTATATTTAGCTAAAATATTCATATTCTGACCTCCTAAATATTTACAAAGGTGCCAGTAGCATCAACCATGCATTTCTAAACAACCAACTGTTTTTGCTTCTCCTGATTACACTCAATTCTGCGGACCGAAACAACATGACATAAACGTCATCACCATCAGGTGCCTTGCCGACTGGCGTGGGCGATCATGCCTCTCCACAATCTACGATCTCCTGCAGCATGTATCAGTTCGTGTGCCGACACACCTCCATGCCATGCAACAAGACTGTCAAAGATCTTCTCTTGTCTTCCTCTATCCCCTCTTCCACAGATCTTTCCAGTGGTCACATGTTCACACCACGACAAGATATTTTGTTTGAAAGAACCCTTCCTAATCCAGCATCTGATGCAAGGCCCATAGTTTTACAGACTACTGGATTTTGTTGGGTTAAAAGTTAGCTGCGTATCCTCTACAGGACATTGCAGAAATAATCTCAGCATTTTTTGGCTGTTGTGGTTTTCCTAGGCAAATTTACGTCCAGTAGTTTGCCTTTGCTTTTTGGTCGGCTTCTCGATACCACTGTCGAAACCACCACAAGCTCCACAGTTTGGATCGAACCCGGCACCCCGGCATTACAAAGCGCATTTGTAACGCCTAAGCCACAGACGCCGTGATGGGTAGCCACCTTTAACTGCCATGACAGTTTCTGGTACCTATTTAAATAGACTTCTTCTTCTTCGTGTTCACTAGCTGCAGACTCCAGCGGAAAGTTCTGGTTGTTCCTCCACTTCTGGATTCTAGTCCTCTTCCAGAACCTGAGTGTTGAGTGCTCATCTGTTTCACAGGTCTGACTCATCTGCATGCAGACTGCTGGTTCCTTGCCTCTCAGGCAGATGTACTCCGACTTTGAAGGAAGCTCCCAATTAGTCGACTCTTACGACATGCTTTTGGGTAGGCAGTGGGTCTTTTCTTGTTGTCCCCACAATAGGGTTCCGGAACCTACATAGGGATATTAAAATACAATTTTAATAGATCTGAACATCAAGGAAGGTCAGCCAATAAACAGTATCTTGACTCGAAAGCTGAAATACTTTGGTCATATCAAACACCATGGCGGATTAGAAAAAATAATAGCAGAAGGCATGGTACCAGGAAGAAGGGTATTTTCTTCAAAGTCGGAGTGCACCTGCCTCAGAGGCAAGGAATCAACAGTATGCATAGAAATAAGCCAGATCTGTGAAACTGATGTGTACGCAAAACTCAAGTTCTTGAACAAGACAAAGTCGAGAAGGGGATGAACATAAGTGATGCCTTGAATATGAAATTACACGAGGTGGGACAGCTGACGAGAGACCAAGTTTCTTTCAGGCAGACCGTGATGACAGCGATGTTCTGCAAAGGATGATGATGATGATTAAAATACAGAAACCTGTTATTCAAATGTCATCAGGATCTCCTGTTTGAAAAAAAAAGACTATTATCCTGTTGAGATATCTTCTTCTTCTTCTTCGATCCTTCTGTCAGAAAACTTATATCAGGAGGCCGGTAGCCTTTATGAAAGCTATCGTGCAATCTATATCCTCTCGTGTACCATACTGTTTTTTCTTCAGTGTAGTTGGAACAGGCCAGATTGCATCTCTGTTGTCAGCATACAGCTGATCGTGTTGGAGCACATGCTCAGCATTTTCGGGTGCCATGCTGCAGGGACACATCTCTGTATTTCCTACACCAAAAAGTTTGAACATATTATACGTTAAAAACACTTTGCAAACATTCCTTCCTTTCTGTTCAATTCGTGTAATGTTGTTTGTATTATTTCGTTATAAGATCTAATCAAGTATTTCTATGTTCTCCCATCAATGTTCTATTGTTTCTATGGACACCCTGCTACAAGACTGCTGCAAATTCCATTTGTTTCCAATTTTGTTTTGTTATTCTTTGTCTGCTTTGTCTCAGGCTGTACCTAATTTACTGCCATGTTCTTACTCTAATAAGTATTGATACCAACTGTGTCCAATCATTTCTCTGATTTCTTTGCCTTTCTTGAACAAAAATAAGCACAGCAATAATAAACTTACCGTGCCTTTTTCGATGACTCTGTTCAGCATCACTATGGCTCTTGTCCCCTGTTCCCATGTCATTTTCCAAAAGTCCCCCATGGTATGCTCTAATGGGCCCTGGACAGTTTGAAGATGGAAAATATACACAATAAAATATATGTAAGCTAACATAAAAGAATTAAAGAAGGCAACTTTAATTTTGGGAATAGAAAATAGTCACAGGGAGTCAAGTCCGGGGGGAATAGGGTGGATGGTTGAGAATACGCACTTGTTTTGGGGCAAAAAATTTCGGTACAACTACAGCCCTTTGAGCCGGTGTATTGTCATAAAGAAGAAACAAATTCAATCAATCAGGTGCCGTCTCCACAATGAAGGTTGGCTGCAATAGATCTCCAACAAGCCCTGTCTCTTGCCCTTGATGTACACTCACTCATACTGCTGTTCATCCATCTCTTGATGTTATCCTCCCACTTTTAACGCTGTCTGCCTCTTGCTCGCCTAGCTTGAACCTTTCCCTCTAGGATGATCTTTACAATACTGTTATGCCTTTTAATGTGGCCAAAATATTTCACTTGTCTCTTTTTTATTTCACCAAGCAACTCTGTTTCCATGAAATACGACCTAATCTTCTGTATATCCACATCTCCAAAGAATTGATACGATTTTTCAGTTGTTTGTTCATTGTCCATGTCTCTGTGCCATACAGTAAGGTTGAGAATACATAACATTTGACAATTCTCATTTTTAATGTATTGCTTATTTCTCTTAATGTCAGTAACTTTTGCATGTTGTTGAAAATGTTTTTGGCCATCCCTATTCTTTTCTTGACTTCTGTTTCACTTCTGCCGTCAAATGTTATTACTTGTCCAAGAAATTTTTAACTTGTTCCAATTTCACCCCGTTCACTGTGATATTCATTGTTAGCTGATTATTTTCTTTGCTAAATATCATGGTTTTTGTCTTTTTCAAATTAATATCTAATCCAAATTCTGCACTCCTTCTGTTTACTTGCTCCACTAGGTCTTGCAACTCCTGCTCACTCTCTGCTAGCAACACTGTGTCATCAGCATATCTTAGATTAGAAACAAATTGCTAGGTGTTAAATACAAACCAGCAAGCAACTTTTTTCTTGCCCAAATCTTCCACTAAATTTGTACGAATAGTCTCCGTATTAACACAGAATTCATCTACCATCATCCTTACAGTCGAACAACGATCTTCTTGTACCCGTTCTCTGAATTTTGGAATGAGTTCCTCATTACGAACTGAAACTGGGCGTCCAAGTCTAGTTGCATAAGTAATTATTTCCACACCACTTTTGAATCGTGAATACCAGCTGGAAATCTGTGCACCAGATAAACAATTACCCCCATAAACTTGTCCATCAATTCAACTGTCGCATTGGCGCTTTTTCTAAGTTTTAAACAGAATTTAATGCCAACTTTGTTGCTCCATGCCGATTACCAACAATGCACCTCTGACTAGGTTAACAAAATGGCAGCTTGTTTGTTGTCTGTTTATCGGTCGGCGATGAAAAGTTGCCAGATCATAGGCGAAGGTTGCCTCTTTGGATTCAATACTGTGAATCATAAATGGCATTTTTGTCTTAGCTACGATAAAATCAGTCTCATTACTTAATTGTTGGACCTTGTATATTAGTGTAATAATAATAAAAAAAAGCTATTTGAGTGTCTATTACAAGTTTCTGCAAAACCAACCCTAGCATTTATGGGCTGTTTGTGATTTTGTAGTGTGCCACCTTTTCCCGAACGGTCGGCTATCAATACCACTCCTTTTTCTTCTTCTTTCGTTCGCCTTAAATAAGTTGTCTATATCAGCAGTTTGGTCTCTTGTATAAATTTTACTGTTGTTGTTAGTTCATTCAGTGGTCCATAGAGTTTACATTCCACTGTTGTTCTTTCTGGCCAAAAGGTTTGCCTTAATGTGTCATGCTCTGCCGTCTGGAGCACATTTCCACAGGTGCACATGGCTGATACACCTATCTTGAATTATATGTACATGTGGTTACGTAATCGGTTGTGCCCTAATCTGAGGCGGAGGATAATGACTTGTTCTGGTCTGTCCATAATAAAATAGTCGTCTTGTGCTGGGGCTGGTGGTTTCCTGATCGATTTAATGATTTTCTTTTGGTGGTATATGACTGGTACATCCGACTGCTCTTTTGTCGCACCTTCTCCTGCCAGTTGATCAGCTTTCTCATTTCCAGGCACTCCACAATGAGACGGCATCCACTGCATTATGACTCTTCGCTGAAGGCTGAGTTGTATCAGCAGTGTTTGCAATTCTTGTAGTTTCCTAGACTGGGGTGCTTCAAGTACTGATTTAGCATCTGTCAGCAATACCACATACTGTGAGCCAAGATTGGTATTTAGCAGTTTCTCTGTTGCTATCTTGATAGCAATACCACTCCTGAAACCAATGCAAGGTGGCCTGCTACCTCACAGCTAGGATCAACAACAGCACCACTGATTAAAAAAGCACGTTTTCAAGGCTGGAGCCACAGATGCCGACTACACTCACTACTACTTATTATACTGCTAAAGAACCAAGCCTGTGGAGAAGCATAATTTCCCATTCTATTTGACAAGGGATTTGATGATAATGAATCATAACAATATTTAATTAGCATTGAAATACTTTATTTTAAAATTAATCATCTAAGTTTTTTTTAATTGATGAAAACAATGAATTCTTTTATCAAATCCCATTATGCACTTTTAGCTAGCCAGATTTTTTTTAAGGACAGATTAACTAGCAATAATAACTTTCTGAAAATTCACAGCAATAATAAGGACAAAAACAATATATTGTATTAATTGTTGCCTCATATATTTTGCTGTTTACTATGATCCTGACCGTCGGTAACTGTGGCTTAAGTGTTGCAAATGCGCTTCATAATGCCAGGGTTCCGCGTTTGATCCCAGCTGCGGAGGGTTTTTCTTGCATTGGTTTCGACAACAGTACCAAGGCCTGACAGCTCAGAAGCAATGGCAAACTTATAAATGTAAAAATTTTCCTTGAAAAACCACAACAGCCAAAAGATGCTGGGAGTTGGTTCTGCAACGTCCTGTAAAGGATACGCAACTATCTTTTATGATCCTGACCACATCATCCAGTGAGTGCTGATTGGTCCATAAAAATATGGATTTAGCCTAATGCTCTCTCTGTGGGCTCCAGAGCCACATTTGCGGGGGAAACAAGAAAAGACCCAATGGTTCCTCTGACGAGCATTTCATAAAAGTCAAATAATCAGGGGTATTTCCTTCAAAGTCGGAGCGCATCTGCCTCAGAGGCAAGGAATCAACAGTAAGCATAGAAATAAGCCAGATCTGTAAAACAGATGTGCAGGCAAAACTCAAGTTCTTGAACAAGACAAAGTTGAGAAGAGGATGAACAACCAGAACTTTCTGACAAGAGTTTACAGCCTGTGAATGCTAGACGAAGAACTTATAATTTGCTGCATCTCAACAGGTGCCCTTTACAGAAATTACATCAGTATTCGAAATTGAACATTTCAACTGAGATAAACGAATCACAGTCTGCTGTTTCACTGTATGTTTCATCATGGAATCATATGCATCAAAGTTCATATAATACTGAACTGCAAAACTGAACTTTTTTTCAAATGCAAAAATTAAGGCGGACACACATATACACATGCATTAACTCGAACACAGATAAACACATATAGATCCATAGAAATACAGCAACACACGCACTACATACAGACATACACTGATACAACACATGAATATATATATAATCAGCAAGTGAAAGCAAAAGAGTATCATAACTACTAGCTCCCCCCCCCCCCCCCCCCCCCCCAGTGCCAGACATGGTCACTCACCACAAACCAGCCAGACAAGAAAATTAGTAACCATAGAAAAAGATGTCTGAGAAGGGCTGCAGGAATGACCAGAAGAGACCAAATCAGGAACAAGATCATAAAAACAAAAAGGCAGCACAGAATCAATTCAAAATTACATGCAAAGACAGCAAATCAAATGGTCTGCCCACTTAAAGAGAATGCCTTGTGGCACCACACCATACAAAGCATATACGAATAGAGAAAAGGGATGCAAAACACAAGGCCAACCAAGAACAAGCTGGAAAGATAACACAGAAATTCTACCACAGCATGATGTTTCTATGGTCGAGTGGGCCCGAAGCAGAAACTTAACATCGTCCTTGACACCCAAGCAGTAAAAGAGGAAGTGCAGAAGAAGAAGAAGAAGAAGAAAGCAAAAGATCCTTTTCACACCATTGGTGCATCATGAATATGGTGCTAGTCCCATATTTTTATGGACCAACCAGCACTCGATGGGTAATGTGATAAATATCATGCTAGCACCTTTATTTTCCAGGACATTTCCTTGTACCCACTATCAAATCATCAGCCTTTAGAATGAATAAGCTGCTAGGCAAGTGGCTGAAGAAACATCTGACAAACCTGAGTAAGAATGTATTTTCTGTTTGCTTCTGGAACTTCAATAAGGCTGGCGTTAATATAGTCATCCTCTCCACAAAGTCTGACTCTGCTGTGATCATCTGCAATTGAGAACAGACAGCGGAAAACATTAATGATCAATTACTACACTGCCTCACACCCCAAAGATTGTGTTCTTGAAGTACAATTTCTTGGATTCACTCTTTCCTGACATATCGCCACTTAAGTGGCAGCTGAATCCGTCATGCTTAGATATATCGCCACTCAAGTGGCAGCTGAATCCGTCATGCTTACATATACTGCCATTTAAGTGGCAGCTGAATCCGTCATCATCATCAGTTCTCGTTATGCCTAGTGGCATATGAGGCTTCAGAGAGGACTTTCCATGCTTTCCTGTCCTGTGCAATCTTCAGTGCAGTTTTCCATGTCAAAGATGCCGTACTCAGGTCACTTTCCATCGTTCGTCTCCATGTTGTTTTTGGGCGCCCCTGTTTTCTCTTTCCCTCTGGTGTCCATGTGAGAACTGTTTTGGCAGGTATATCAGAAGTCAATTCTCATAACGTGGCCTAGCCATTTCCATCTTCTTTTGGTAATCATACTGTCTGAGATTGCATCTTGCCAGAAAATTTTGATAATCCTACGTAGACATGTGTGGTGGAAGGTGGACAGCTTGTGTACATTCTTTTTTGTCATTCTCCAGCATTCCGCTCCACAAAGAAGAACTGGCAAAATGGGTCCGTCATGCTTAGATTTAATGCCATTTAAGTGGCAGCTGAATCCGCCATGCTTGGATATATCGCCATTTAAGTGGCAGCTGAATCTGTCCTGCTTAGATATATCGCCACTTAGGTGGCAGCTGAATCCGTCATGCTTAGATATATCGCCATTTAAGTGGCAGCTGAATCCATCATGCTTAGATATATCGCCACTTAAGTGGCAGCTGAATCCGTCATGCTTAGATATATCGCCATTTAAGTGGCAGCTGAATCCGCCATGCTTAGATATATCGCCACTTAAGTGGCAGCTGAATCCATCATGCTTAGATATATCGCCACTTAAGTGGCAGCTGAATCTGTCCTGCTTAGATATATCGCCACTTAAGTGGCAGCTGAATCCGCCATGCTTAGATATATCGCCACTTAAGTGGCAGCTGAATCCATCATGCTTAGATATATCGCCACTTAAGTGGCAGCTGAATCTGTCGTGCTTAGATATAGTGCCACTTAAGTAGTTGCCAACATGGACACTCTAATATTCATGTGCTAGAAAAATGAATTTGTATGAACCCCAGAAGGGGACAAACCATCACTGGAGTTTACAGCCAGAGAACACAAGAAGAAAGAAGAAGGAGGAGGAATAAGAAGAGGACATGAAAATTAGCATGAAATTCTTACATGGACTAACATCCTTGTAGCGGTTCTTGTGCTGATTATCTGGTTCTCTTGCATCTTTGGTGGTAAAATCCTCATCAACTGATGTGAGTGAAGCTTCATTTTTTAAGCTCTAATGAAAATAAAGAATACGTTAAATCATGCTTAGGCTGATAATACATTAAGTGAATTTCACATAACGATAACATGATTCAGTCTGTTTAAACAACTCATTCTCCTTCAAATCAAATATTATCATCATCACTCAGCAGGTCCTTAAGAGAATGTTGCTCTCATAATGGCACAGCTGAAAGTCTCTCCAGCTAATTCACCAGATCTGTGTGCATCTTCAATGTCTTTTATCCTCTTCCGTGGATGTCTGCCTTTTCATAATGTTCCTGAAACTGTACCCCCGCTCGCTGCTCTGACCAGACCATCAAGAGATTTAACATGGCCAAAATACCTAGCTTTCAGAATAACTATCCCTCAGATCAGGCGTCAGTGTTTTTCTTCTTCACGATCCATGTTTTTATAAATATTACAGCATGGCTTAACATCTTGTTTGTTTGTTGGGGAGAGGTGGTGTCAGAGCACAAGCTATGACCAAAATGAAAACCATGCTAATGGATTTATGAAAAACATATAAAAAGTGCATTAGCAGATGAGGCAGAATTGAACACGGCAACTGTTAGCAAGCAAGCATACACCTGGGGTCAACATAAGAAACTGCCTGGGCATTCAGAAATGCCTGCCACTGCTGGGGGAGACAGCAGATACCATTTTCAATGAAGACCATTTGAACACACCTTTCATAATGACAGTGCTGACAGGGAATCGTTGTCATATGACCAATGTTTATTAGGGTCTGAACAAGGAAAGTTGCATGGTAACAAGACTTGGACAAATTCAACACAAACATCATGAGAAATGTGACCTAATGGTTGCATAAGCAGTCTGCATCACCTTTCACAGACAGTGTCCGCCATCTCCCTATGTCTTCTTCTGACATGCATGATTTCTAGCATTTTTTTCAAAAGAGAAAGTGGCAAGAAAATGAAAATGGCTGTTTAAAGCTCTACTTATGTGTCATTCCTGACCTACGGATGTGAGTCATGATTAACGACAACAGCTCACAGAAGTCAGCTTCAGGTCTCAGAAATGAGATATGTGCGAAAGGTGGTCCAAGCTGCAAAAAGGTATAAAGTTCACAACCTGACAATACGTCAAGATCTTGAAATCCAGGCCTTACAAACTTATGAGGATCAGTCACAATTAGGAAGGTCTGGACATGTTTGCAGAATGGGAGAAAATCGGCCACCGTGGCAGGTATGGGAGACTAAGAACCAGGGATGCAGACTTCTAGGGTTCGCTGGGAAGACAGCATCTAACAGTCCCTGACTAATATCAAGAAATATAAATTGATGTATCTATGTGCAACTTTTTCTTTCCCTTCACAGAGCTTTCTATTAGTTTCTTCTTCTTCACATTCATCGGCTGTAAACTCTGGTGAAAAGTTCTGGCTGTTCGTCTACTTCTGAAATTTAGTCTGGTTCCAGAACTCAGCCTTGCTTGCACATCCGTTTTACAGACCTGGCTTATCTGAATGCAGACTGTTGGTTTCTTGCCTCTTTAGACCTAATTAGTCTACTCTTATGACAGGCGTATTAGGAAAGTAGTGGGTCTATTTTCTAAGTCTCCCCCTACCCACATGAGCTCCAGGAACCCTCATGAGACTCTTATTTATAATTTATGTTATGATTAGTTAATTCTCTTTGTCTGTAGCTTCATCATCATCATCAGGTGCCTTGCCGACTGGCGTGGGCGATCATGCCTCTCCATAATCTGCGATCTCCTGCAGCATGTATCACTTCGTGTGCCGACACACCTCCATGCCATGCAACAAGACTGTCAAGCATCTTCTCTCGTTGTCTACCTCTATCTCTCCTTCCACATATCTTTCCAGTGGTCACAAAATGTTCTATTTTCCCTCTTCTCATAACATGGCCGAAAAATGATGACTGTCTCCTTCTGTTGTCTGTGATAAGTTTTCTTTGGGCTCCCGCCTCTTTCAAAACCTCTTGGTTGCTCTTTTTGGCTGTCCAAGGTATTCTAAGCATTCTTCTGTAAAACCACATCTCCGAGGCCTCCAGGAATTGTTTGGCCTGCCTACCTATTGTCCAGGATTCACAGCCATATGTTAAAAATGGATGTATGTAGCAAGCAAGAATTCTTTTTCTAACTCTCAATGACAAGGATATATTGCACAAGATGTTTTTAATTTTATAAAATGCAGTTTTTGCCTGTCCTATTCTGTTTCTTATCTCAGTTATGCATCTTCCATCTGATGTTATCCATGTGCCCAGATACTTAAATTTCTGTACTTGTCCTAAAATAACACCATCAACTTTTATTACACACTTAGGAATAATTTGTTTCTTTGATACCACCATTACTTCTGTCTTCCCATTATTCAAACTGAGGCCCATTCTTCCACTTTCTAACACCACAATGTCTATCATTTCCTGTAGTTCTTTCTGACTTGTTGCTATCAAGACTGTGTCATCAGCATAACGTAAATTATTTATATTGTGCCCACCAACCACAATTCCGGGCATACCAATTAAAGCTCTCATTATATATTCACTGCATAGTGAAAACAAATCAGGTGACAGTACACATCCTTGTCGTACGCCTCTCTCTATGCTTTGAAATGTACCTAAACAGTTGTTAATTCTTATAGCTGTCTGTAGCTTAGGGGTTTCAAATGCATTCTGTAATTATAAAATACCCAGCTCGATTCAGCTGCATAGGATTAGACAGTAGATGCTTTTGTGTTGATTTCAACAGTGGTATGAGAGAGCCCACCATTCAGGAGTAATAACAAATTTAATGTGAATGGTTCTATTCGCCCAACCCCTCTTCCCCCCGCCCCCCCCCCCATGGGGCCCCAGAACCCCCTAGGGGTGGGAGTTTAACACAGCAACTCAACTGGGTTCCGATTTTTTCTGACCTCACCTATCTCCTGAATTTACAGTTACACAGCCTTAGACAACATATTTTTCTGGGAAGGAAACAATTGGACAACGACAACGATGGAGGGAGGGAGGGTAACATTTGAACAACTTCTCTTCCTCTATTAATTATTAACAATAAAACATTTCTGCGGTAATAAAAATTAAAATTCACTACAACTTGTGCATTCTAACAATCACAATATCATCTACTGCATCCTACATGCGAGTTTCTTGTTTCAGGTCTGTTAAAAGTAAGTTCTTCTGATTACTGCTTGTGCCTTTTGTCACTTGTGCATCATGATGATCATCTCACCAGGTTTTTGAAATCTTCTCAAAGTAATTTCTTACCTCAAACACCTGGTTCCATTTACCACTGGCATCAAATTCGATAAATTCAGTTTCTGTTAGGGAAACCATGATCTAAAAACTCAATTTATGGCAGAGATAATTAAGTTGCTACTTTCCCCGATCATCTCACAATTTGTTGTGGCTGAAGTTACTTGGCTGCCCTGAGTTTGGCACTTCCGAAATCTTATCCATTTCAGCGGAAAGAGCGCAGTTTAGGTCAGTTATCTCCCTTCGCAGTAGTTCTCAAACTAAATCCCATTGATAGCCCATAAGGGTTGAAAAGAACCTTCAATTCCATTCTGACTCTTTGCATTTAATGACGGTAGCCTTTTTGAAATCAGTTACATGTGAGACGTAATTAAATTTGTTCAATACGTTATATTTCAAGCACAATGTAACAGTTAGTTAGGAATATATCACACTTTATACCCACGTTTGGCAATTGATCTTACCATTGGTGTTTACTATTGAAGAAAAAGTTTTTTTATTTTAAATGTTAAAATTTTATTTTTTAAAAGTTTTCTTCAATTAAAGTGAAATTTCACCTTGATTCTTTATGCTGATGAAAAAAAAAGGGTAAGGAGCCAGAATACTTTCCACATGCGTTGTGCAAGACGCATTCTTCATATGTCACGACGAGACTTTGTTCCCAACGAATGTGTGTTCAAAATAGTAATTAAGTAATTCCGTCACCACGTAGAACGAATTTATCGTTATTTTGAAGACCCATCCTTGGTTGTTGCTGGAGCCCTTATTTAACCCAACCTATGGGCTAAATGGGATTTCTGTAACCTCCCGACGGGATATCCTCGTCTGAATGGTGGCACTTTGTGTTACCGGGTGTTTATCTCTCGGTGTGATATCCTGGTAGGATTGAACATTTATCAGTCAATTTAAAAGTGAACTCTTTAGTTTGAATCACGTCCAAATCTGGGACGTAGTTTTGCGTTATTTAAAACCCTCACCCCGTCTGTAGTCAGGGGTCATAATATAACCTAATGGTTAATCGGGATTTCTGGGACTTGTGCCCGGATTATCCTTGTCCAGTTGGTGGCACTTTGTGTCACCGGGTGTTGGTTGCTCGTTGTACGGTTGCATGGGACCCATTTAAGGTTGGATCGACATGGGCGCCAAAATCATTTCTGAAATATGTTCGGCTCTGTCAGAACCTGAACACACGACTGCATGCGAGCATCTAGCCGCTACACTAAGGCGGCTCTAAGTACAATAGAGTACATCGTTTTTAGATTGGACTTTACAGTCAGAGCGTATGTTGTTCCCAAAACCAACAGCACAGCTTCCTTCATGGTCCTCAAGGACTGACTGTTGCCTACTCCTACACTGACTTGTTATTTAAATAATCTGAATGGAATACTCTAGTAGTAGCAACCAATGTCCCATTCATGCCAAAGAAATATTTAAAATAATGAGCATATTGCAAGGAGAACATGTATCCCTGTCTAAACCACTGCTACAGTTCCTAATTATGGAAAATAATTAGGTACTGTAACAGTGGTTGTCGACCGCTTAAAGTTCGAATTGTAACGATATTTGTACAAACTGGTCATGAAAACAGAAACGTATTTGGCTCTTTGTTTATAAAATAGTTTATTAAACAATTTTCATGTCTAATAAAACTTAAAATTATTTGTGTAACAGATTATTACAAGAACAAATGTACCAAAGTTAAAAATTGTTCGACCAACCCGCTTGAAACTTCTTTGTGGCTCAAACAGTCTAGGGGGCGTGCATCCCAGGTTGAAAACCACTGTTTTCGAGGAAACTACACTCTTGTCTGATGAAATCACATTTGAACATTCCCGATACCTGTAACCCGTTCACCGTCTGCTGGCCGACAATGCCATTGAATTCAAAGACGCTGGCGTTGGCTCGAAAGCTCAGTCAGCACTTTCCCAAGTTTCTTGTGTGTCAACAGAATTGTCATTTTGATTCTAGAAGTGTTTCATCTCTGTCAAGCCGCATTCGAAAAAGAATTAAATCTAACGAACAAAGTGATCATAGTTCGGAGATGGAAGCAGCAACACGCACGCCGCGCTTTGTGGTAAGCTGTTTACTTTGTTATGTAACATGTTGTTTAAAAAACAAATACGTTTACTCCGTTTACAAAATTTAGACTATGAATGTAACATTTATAAAAAAACTCAACAAATAGAGAAAGAAGAAGACAGACATTGAAAACACCGAACATTTCAACCGAAGTTATAAAAAGTCACTTAAGTCAGCACTTTTCCAGGCAATTATTGGCACTCCTTCGAACGACAACCCTAGAGGCTGCAACACATTATTTACCACGGTCATAGGGGACGCAATCAACAGTTTCTTTCCATCGTCTGTTTACAGTATAAACTTTCATCTGTTATATTGGTTCAGGTTTGGTTTAGTGGTGGCTCTCCTCTGAACTTCGTCCCCATATCACGGCGGCCAAATACCCTAACAGGGCCTCAGTCATGTGTAAAATGAGGAGTTCCTGCCGAGTAACAAATCGCAGCAAAAAAAGGATTGCTTGACAGTTTCAAAAAACGCAATACTGCAGATGATAATAGCCACCATTGACAATTTCGAGCATTTCTGCAGATGATTCTAGCTGACGATAATAGCGACCATTGACAATTTCGAGACACGCAACATTACTGACGATAATAGCGACATGGCAGGGAGACCACGCGCTCCGACGCAGATTACCGTCAGTGTTGTCCTAACACTTATCGGCATGGCAAAACGCGGTTAAACTCACTGCCGACAGTATTCCCCGCCAAGAGTATCTCCCACGCCACTGCACGCAGCGTGGAGCGGGGCTAAATTAGATGGCTGGGACTCACGAGCAAATAAATTGGAGGATGTTGCAGGAGATACGGTAGCTGCTGCTCATGAGTGCCAGCCATCTAGTTTAGATCCCCATCTTCGCCGCACGTAGCGGCTTGGGGGATACTGTCGACGGTGCGGCATAGTCGCAGAAACAGGTCCACAATTAACATATCGCTGAGACCCTGTTAGAGCATTTGTTTGCGCTTGATAATATTGGCCCGTTATTCGAAGGCAGTCCTAGTTTTGACCCAATTTGTTCCTTGACAGGAACTCCGCATTTTACACACGACTGAGGCCCTGTTAGGCTATTTGTTTGGTCACCATAATATGGGGGCAAATTCGGAGGAGAGCCCCTAACCCTAATACCAACCTGAAAGAATATCAAATATTCACTAAGATTCTTATTTGCCAAAGTAAATCAATAAATAAACCATTGTTGTCGAGGTTAGCATAGCAGGCCACACATTATTAATAATAACACTACCTGATAGGACATGTTTACTTTTAATGCGTTTCAGTGTAGGTGCATTTGTAAGAGCCAGGTGGTTGATGACCATGACAGTATTTTAAGTGAAAAAGTACCATTATCATCAAAGCCTCCTGGCTCACAGTGTGCACATTGCAACAGGTTGCAGCACTCCAGTCGAAAAAATAGTTGTTGTAATTGATTTGGAGCTCCTAGTGTCAGTTCCTTTAAACAGCATCATGAGCCTTGCTTTCACTTCGAAAGGCCAATAGAACATCGACATTACGATCTTCTATGTGCTAAAGCTGCACTGTTCAAAGAACAAGTCTGTGCGTATACTATGCCGTGTCTGGCACAGCGAACATTGCCACATGTAGCTGTTGGAAGACTTGAGTACGCTGAACAAAAGACATATGATGTTGACAGTTGCCGCAGTTGTTGCTGTTACATATCAAACGGTGTTCAGCATTCACACTGCCCACATCATAGTGTCATTCATTACGTAAAATGTCTTGTGCAACAACATCAGTTGTTATCTCAAAATGTGCTCTCCCAGCAGTGGTCATGTTGACGTCATCAACTTAAACAGTGGATTGCATCCCCTACTCTTACTGTAAACTAGTAATGGGTTTCCTCCCCTAGGGTGGTCATTTGAAGGAGTGTCGAATTATCGCTAAATTTACTCTAAATTTTCATCTGTGTCAAGTCTCATTTAAAGAAGAATTAAATCTAATGAAAAGGTGTGATTAGAGTTCAGAGATAGAGGCAGCAGCACATACTGCACGTGTTGGTAGGTTGTATTTGTTTTTTAAAACATTGTATTCACTAAACTTATCACAGAAACTGCCACAAAACTGTTTGCATCTACCACTTTTGTGGTGAAAGCAGGGGGTCTTTGAGCCTGAGGATTTAGGGCCATATGGCTAGTGCAGTCGCCATGGACTGTAGAGGTTAGGATTTTATTTTTGTCCCTAAAAGAAACAATCCTTGACTTTAGTGAGGATTTATACCAGGGTCTCTTGCATGAGAGCCGAGCATTGTTAGCCGTTTGACCAGCCACTCCACAGACACAGATTATAATATTCATTTTAAAGTAAGTTTTTTTGGGGTTAATATTTCTTGCAGTATAGTAAATGGTGTTCAGTATTATTATGTTTCTGACATTCAGAACTCCCCGTGTGGGTTCCAGGGCCCTTTTACAGGGAAAACAAGAATAGACCCACTGCCTACCCAAAAGCATGTTGTAAGAGTCGACTTATTGGGAGCTTCCTTCAAAGTTGGAGTGCATCTGCCTGAGAGGCAAAGAACCAGCAGTCTGCATACAAATGAGTCAGATCTGTAAAACGGATGCACACACAACACAGGTTCTGGAACAGGACTACAGTCCAAAAGTGGATGAACAACTAGAACTTTCCGCCAGAGTTTACAACTGGTGAACACGAAGAAGAAAAGAAGAAGACATAAAGAACAGGTAACTTCTGTTATAGTGAAATAAGCCACTCCAAGTCTCTGTATCAGTTTTTTGGCAAAACATTTGAAGTTACCCTGGTAGTCAGTGACTACGGTGAACTTCCGGCGGCCATGAAAGAGAGACAATGTATCGAAGAAACTATTTGCATTTCAGTTGGATTTATTCAGTTTTGTTCTTTATTTTATGTTGATGTAACTCTGTAGTAACGCACCTGATGAGATACAGCGAAATATGCCTGGCAATAAATTGTGCAATGTATTGTTTGTATCCGCATTACGAGAAAACATTGTTTTGAAAACATTTTTCGTTGCTGCTTTTAATTTGTATGACTGCCACAGTAAATTCTGAAACAGAAGTTCTTCCATGGTTTGTGGAATAAGGTAAATACTCCACCAGGGCACATGTAGTGCGATTAATTTATCAAATTTCACTAGTAGAAACATTTCTTTATATTATCAGAGTTAATCAAAGTTTCAGCTTCACTGCAGTCGGGTTTCCCCATACCTGCTCCGTTCCTGTGCCATGAAAATCAAATGAAATGTCCCTCACTGTCTTATTTGAAAAATATCACAGCTAACGTCACTGCACATTGGGCATTCGATGCGTGCTTAGTCTTCCGATGCAGCCAGTTATAATGACTTTTATCTTGGCCTCGAAGATGGCTTAGACATGCTTCACCATGCTCTACTCCCATGTCACTCAATCGTGTTGGTCAAGGTTGTATTGTTTACATCTACAGGTATCAATTGAAGGAAATATCGGCAGCGGAAAAACGGAGATGTTGAATTATTACCAGAAAACACAAAATTGTGAGGTAAAGTATATTTTCAGTCAGAGAAATATTGTATTTTCGTGTTCTATACACTTTATGCAATCTTAAATTTGATATGTTAACTTCTGAGAAATTAAAATAAAGAGCAAAATATTAACTTTTGAAGTCCATTAAATTACTTTCAACAAATAGCTTGAATAGTTAAAGTATTTTTTGCTAGGTTTGCAGCACTTAGATAACACAATTCTCGTATAACCTTATTAGTTTGTTTCTATCCTGACAGATCGTTCCAGAACCAGTTGAGAAGTGGAGAAATATTCAAGGTTACAACGCTTTGGCAAGTTTCAGTATTTTTAAAATTATTGTTCTTACTGCTTTCTCTTCTCCTCTTCCTCCTCTATCTTCTTCTTCTTGCTTTTCTTCTTTTCCATGGTGTTGGGAAGAGTTCTTCTTGTGCTCTTTCTAATGCATTAAATAAGCTGATCATCATTTCTTTGAGGCCTGAGGAGGATGGTGCTGGAAAGATTTACCAGGGGATCTGGCTGATGCTCAACGCTCAAGGGAAAGACGAGACGGATATACAATCAGACAGTTACTGGTACCATTGGAATTAGAATTATTCACTTGTTGCTGAAGTTGTGACGGAGCACTTATTGGAGTGTCCCGAGTGCTGTCATGTCAATTCTTAATTCAGCATTCACCATTCTTCGTGGCTGTTCTTGATGTCATCATTCCATAATTTGCTGGTCCTCCCCTTGCTTTGAGTCTGTTAAATTTCTTCAGCTTGGCTATCTTTCGTTGTTGTTACCACGGCATGCTCGTCACATGGCCAAACATCTAACCCAGTATTTTCCAACTTTTTGTGTGTGCCCTACCTAAGTCTTTCTAAAATGTGTGTGCCTCCTATATAACATTGCTGTACGGTTAACTTAAACTCTGGACGAGTCGGCTCTCCTGTCAACTTAGGCCGTTAGCTGGAAAGCCGCCGATCGCTTAGTGTGAGTTCTCTCCCTTGGCTGCATTGCGAACACGGAGTGGAAAAGTCACGAATCAAAAAAGGCAGTGAGGTCGACAACAGGGCTGCCAATGCTTGGGTGTTTCTCCCAGATCTGGCTGTTTATTTGACGCTTCGGGGAAATCTGGGTTTTTTTTAAGTAAATATATCCTTATATAACAGTGGTATTAGTTGCCACGGATGTGACTCCTGCAGATCTGTATGACTTAATGACCGCCGATAAATTTGCGTGGTTAGGGGTAGGGTTAGATGTAACAATTTTGACGCAGGAGTTCCAAATAATAGCGCACAGTCACATACACACCCAAACAATCAAAGGACTGTGGATGCTACTCAAACAGACAATTCGCCACCGATGGGGCACCAGCCGCGCGCTATTGCCGTCATATTTGGGAGAATTCCAGTGGCGCCACTCCCACAAGTATCAGATTGTCGGCCAGTATTTGGAACTCCTACGTCAAAATTGTCACATCTAACCCTACCCCTAACCCCACCCCTAATCCTAATCCTAACACTAACCCTAACCGTAACTCAACCCCTAACGCCGCTAACCCTATCCCTAACCCTAACCCAAACCCTATGATGACAGTATGATGACTACGCAACCGAATGATTATAGGTAACCGTAACCGTATGATGACTACGCAACCATATGATGACTACGCAACCGTATGATGATAGGTATGTCATTTGATTCGTGACTTTTCCGCTCCGTGTTCGTAATGCAGCCAAGGGAGAGAACTCCAAGTTGACAGGAGAGCCGACGAGTCCATTTTCCAGTTGCCCTCCTTAACAATCAAATTGCCCCCTTTAACAATCAAATTGCCTCTCTTGTGGGGTGTGGGCCCCATGTTGGGAAATATTGATCCAATCCTTTTCTCTTTAATGAGTTATTTGACTGGTTTCTGTCTGTTTCTAATTTCATCATTTTTAATTGTAACTATTCTTGTTACAGAACCAGCTTTCCAAATACATCTGATCTCTGTGTTTTTATGATTTTCCACTCATTAGCTATAATAGTGTGTGGCAGAAAGTTCTAGTTGTTTTGTCCACTCCTGGACTTTAGCCTTGTTCTTGAACTTGTGTTTCGCATGCACATCAATTTTACAGATCTGGCCTGTTTGTGTGCAAGCTGTTGGTTCCTCACCTTTCAGGCAGATGCATTCTGACTTTGAAGGAATACCCACTGCTAACTATGGATCTCTACCCAGGTACAACTCTTGTATTATTGTCTGTCTATAGAACAGCCTTTTTTTAGAAACCGCCCACTCTTGTAATCATCAACTACTGCATTGTGAAACAATTTCACTAACCTCTCAGCCATGGAGCCTGAGTTTAATGAATATGTTCTTGATTTTATTCAATAGGAGCTTATGTATGAGAACCCAGAAAGATGGGGGATGGCACTTCAGACCTACATTCAGCTAACAATGCTGCAATTGCATAAGTTACCCCAGGTAGATTTTTTACTTGATTCGTAATGAGTAAATCACTTGCCTTCTGTCTGAATATCTTGAATTTTCATCATTTTAAAATAAATTACGGGTTCCCATGTCAACCTAGACTTTTTGTTGCCTGGGGTTCCCTATTTTGGTTCTGAGGCCCCGTGGAGGAGAATAGACCCTCTGACTCCTAGCAAGCATGTCGTAAAAGCTACTTTCCTCGTAGGGGTTCTAGGGCCCTATTGAGGGAAAAAAAGGGGGGGGGGGGGGATAGACCCCAGCTTTCTAACAAGCATGTTGTAAAAAGTTACTCACCCCGTAGGGGTTCCAGGGCCCTTTGATCTGGGGGGGGGGGATAAACCCACTGCCCCATAATAATCATGTCATACAAGATGACTAATTATGGGTCTTTCCATCAAAGTTGGAGTGCATCTGCCTGAGAGGCGAGAAACCAACAGTCTGCATACAAATAAGCCAGATCTGTAAAACCGATGCACATGCAAAACTCAAGTTCTTGGACAAGACCAAAAACCTGAGGTGGATTAACAAACAGGAATTTTCCGCTGGAGTTTACACCTGGTGAACACAAAGAAGAACAGGTGACTGATTCAGTATTTGCTGAAATTGTGTGCTGGGCCAAAGGGTAGATATATCACAGCTTAGCTGTAAACCACAGCACAATGTGCCAACTGCCCTTGCAGAAACAGATTTTGGCTGGGGATTAGTATCACAAGTTTTAGCTGACATGATATGTCAGATGTATTGACAGCTTCATACAGCAAATCAAATAGAATCAAATAGTCTGCTCATTTAGAGAGAATGCCTCCTGATGCTATACCTTACAAGGCATATACCAAAAGAGGAGAGGGACGTAGAGCAAGAGGTCGACCAAGAACAAGATGGGAAGATAACATGAGAGAAACGGTAAAAGAGGACATAAAGAAGAAAAAGAAGAAGCTACATACAACTGAAGGTGTACTAAAAGAAGACAGGTTTTCTTAAAACTGCTTATTTAAATTATTCACCCTCCCTCGGGTGGGTTCTGATGCCCCATTTGGAAAATGAGGGATAGTCCCACTGCCTCCTAAACAACCATGATGTATAAGATGACTAGGGTTCCAGACACATAATTGGCACGGACAGTGCTTTCCGTGTGGTTTACCACACTCCAAACAGGAGACTTTTGAGAATCGCTGAAGCTTTAATAATAAAAATCAACAACCCCCTCCTTTGTAAGCAGACAGAATTTATTGTAAATTTAAAGTTACCCTGGTAAGTCACTTGACTACGACCATGAAACAAACGCAATGTATCGGAAGAAACTGTTCGCATTTCAATTGAATTTATTCAGTTTTGTGCTTTATTTTATGTTGATGTAACTCTGTAGTAACGCACCTGATGAGATACAGCCAAATATGCCTGGCAATAAATTGTGCAATGTACTGTTTGTATCCGCATTATTTAAATTCATTATGGGAAAACATTGTTTTGACTAGGATTTTGCTGAAATGGATGTCTAGGTGTAAACCACAACCTTAAGGCCACACACAGAAGAAAAAGGCATTTATTTATAATGATGGTTGAGGAGTGGCCGTCTTAATGGTTAAGACAGTTTTTTTCTGATTCCAAAGATCCAGGTTTGAATCCTTGGTATAGCCAAGCTCTTCAGCTTCATTACCCTCCCTCCAGCTTCTTTCCTCCCACCATCACTCTAAAAATGATAATTATAAGCAATAAAGGCATTTATGGTTAACATAGTTTCTGGTCACTACAAGAGTTCATTTTTGCGAGAGAAACATGCATGATGAAAGAAATAAAGCTTAACCTAGTTAGTTGTGTGTCCTTTGCAGGACATTGCAGAACCAGCCCCAGCATTTTTTGGCTTTTGTGGTTTTTCTAGGCAAATTTTACATTTAGTAGTTCCGCCATTGCTTTCTAAATGATTGGCTGTTGAAACTACTGTCTGAACCAACGCAAGGTGGTCTGCTGCCAAATTGCCCGCCGCTAAGCACTCCGGCATAACAAAGCATGTTTGCAACACCTAAGCTACAGATGCGGACAAAAAAAAATTTAAACTAGTTATTTCTTCTTCTTCTTCTGCGTTCGACATCAGTCATGCTAAACATTGAGTCCCGTCTGGGATTGTGCGTTTAAGGTCGCCACCGGTCCCCCATAGCTTCTCTTGCAATGTGGCTCCCTTGGGCCAGATCCACAGTCTTTGCTGGGAGAGGTAGGGCAGTACTGTAGTATGTGCTCAGGAGTCTGTATTTCTGCTCCACAATCACAGGCAGCAGATTCTGTTATGCCTATCCTGTACAAGTGTGCTCGAAGACCACAGTGTCCAGTCCGAAGTCTAAAAATTGATGTTTGTTCTTTCCTGTTGAGTTTGTTTATGCTGTCACTCTCTGGTCTGTTATCTCCATTCTGCCTTCTCCACTCCCGCTTGAAAGACTGCTTTAGCGCTGTTTTGGTTTCCTTGTAGCTGTGTGGTGGATGAGGTTGTGGAAGATTACTCCCAGCTTTTGCCAACTCATCTGCTCTCTCATTTCCTTGAATACCACAGTGGGCTGGTATCCACTGAAAGACAAGTTCTGCTTCCTTGGAGAGTAAGCCAATGTTGGTCCATAGTTCTGCAATTAGTTTGTCTTGTTTTTTTCTTGATAGTGCTTGGAGAACAGACAATGAGTCACTAAGTATAACAATTTGGTGTCCTCTGTGTTCATGAGTGATGAGATGTTGGACTGCAGAGAGGAGGGCAGTTGCCTCAGCTCTGAAATTAGTGCAGATGTCACCTGCTGGTAGAGAGAGAGAGTTTCTGCACTACTGCTACGGGGTTTCATGTAAATTCCACAACTCCCTTTTCTGACTGCATCTGTAGCAGAGCCGTCGGTGAAAACCTGAGTCCAAGTGGTGTTTGGATACTTCTCATCAAGCATAGCAAGAGCCAGGGTTCTCTGTTGTGTCTCCGTCTGGGCATCTTTTGACGTGATTCCTGGTACCTTTAGGAATACATTTGCTTTCTCTGGCTTGCTTTTTCATGGTTTTGGCCTTAGTTTTTCGCACAATGCAACATCTCTTTCAAGCAGATCTTGGTGCTGTCTGTCTCTAGCAAGGTGGTTGGGGCTCTGACGCTTCAGTCTGTTTTTTGTTCTCTCTTGAAATTTAAAATGCAGCGGGTGACTTTGAAGTCTTTTTAATTTCTCATACTGTAAAAGAGTTTTGTATTGTCTTCTGAGTTCGAGTGGTTCAGTATCTGCTATCCTTTCTATCTCTCTGATGGGGGTGGTTTTCATGGCTCCGAGTAGAATCCTTAATCCCATATTCTGAACCTTGTCTAGTTTTCCCATTGTTGTCTTGGCTGCTGCAGCCCATGCAGTGGAGGCATATTCCATGACTGGCCTGACTGCTCCAGTATATACTTGTTTTAGGATTCTAGAGTTAGCGCCCCATGTGGTACCCGCTAATTTTTTCATCCCTGCAAGCTTCTTGAATGCTTTTCCCTGTACTGCTTCTACATGTGACTTCCAGGTTAGTCGCGAATCAAGTGTAACGTCAAGAAAGGTAGGAGTGTCAGTCTGTGGAATGAGCTGGTTTTTTTATCCAAATTTTGATTTTTTCTTTTTTGGGGGAGAGAGAGAAAAGTGATGCTGTGCTTTTTGAATTATTTAGCTTTAGACCCCACTTTTCGGTCCAGGCTTCTACATTTTCCACAGTTTTCTGTAACAGATATGAGGCTGTGGTAGTGTATTCGGAGGCTGTCCAAACTGCAAAGTCATCGGCATGTAGGGTATTAGAAACGTGCTGGTGGCAGGTTGCTGTGATATCATTTATGTAAACCAGGAACAGGGTTGGTGCTATCGCACTGCCCTGGGGAACTCCTTCTCTTAGTTTTGCCAGTTTGCCGATGTGTCCATCAATTCTGAATCTGGCTCTGCGTTGGAAAAGAAAGTCCACTTGTACATGTTGTGCACAACTCCTGCCTGTAGTAGTTTTAGTTGTAGGCCTTCTTTCCAAACTGTATCAAAAGCACGAGAGAGGTCAAAGAAGACAGCAAGAACTTTCTTTTTTTCCTTGAAGGCATTCTCAATTTCCTGTGTCAGATATGTCAACTGGTCCTCTGTATTTCTGTGCTGTCTGTATCCTGTCTGCGTGGTGGTGATTACCGAGTTTGTCTCCAAGAACCAGATTAGTCTTTTATTTACTAATTTCTTCATCAATTTTCCTACACAACTAAGAAGGCTAATGGGTCTGTAGCTTTTTGGGTCTCTTCTGTTTCCACCCTTTTTAAGGATAAGCTGAATGAGGGCTTCCTTCCAGGCTGACGGTACTACCCCTTTTTGCCAGCTCTGGTTGTAAATGCAGAGGAGAAACTTCTTGGCAGCAGGTCCAAGATGAGAGAGAAATTCGTTTGTAATGCCGTCAGCCCCTGGGACTTTCTTAATTTTCAACTCTCCAATTCCAACTTCCAGCTCTTGCATGGTCAACTTTTCTGACATGCAGGCCTCTTTTGTTTTTGTGCTAGAGTCTGCTAGAAGAGTCTTGGTCTGGTTTCGTACTTCTTTTATTCTTTGCATGGGAATATGAACCTGTTTCCTTCTGGTGTGTTTCAGCTAGCACATCTGCTGCTAACTTGCCAGTAACAGATCCATTGTCTGTTTGGAGTACAACTCTGGCTTTTTCTGTCTTGTCTCCATTCAAGCTTTTTGTGAGATTCCACAGACGTGAAGTGTCCTTCTCGAGGTTAAATGACGCTGTCCTTTTGTGCCAGCTTTCCCTCATCTGATTATTTCTCTCTTTGATAAAAGCTGCTTTTGCTCTGTTATGAAGTATTACATTTTTATCTGTCGGATCCTTCTCTATATTTTCCCTCCTGGTACTAAGTTTGGAATGCAGTGTCTCCAGTTCAGGCGACCAGTAAGGTTTAAAGTTTTTCCTGCTGCCTCGTGGTATGTTACCCTTGGCTGCATTTAGAACAGTTGTGTTGAGGATCTTCAGTTTGGCATTTATTTCCAGTCTTTTGAAGAAGACTCTCTTCAACATGTCGTCCAAATAGGAAGTGAAAAGGCCCCAGTTAGCCTTCTTGTAGTTCCAGCTGGGAGGGTTCTTTTCCTTAGTAACTTCTGTACTTTTGTTAATAGAAAGAATTACCGGCCTGTGATCACTGCCTCCCAGCTGTTGACATACATCCCGGCTGGTAACTTTCTCCACATCTTCAGTTGCTATAGCCAAGTCTGGAGTGCTGGTTTTCCTCCAAGCTCGAGAGTAGAATGTGTCTGGGTCGTCACGATGATTTATCAGAACTAGGGTGTTGCTGATTATCCAGTTTTCTACCTCTTCTCCTTTCGCATTGAGGTCTGTGTAGCCCCAGCTAGGTGAGTGGCTATTTAGATCTCCGACAGCAATCCAGTTTTCTGTGTTTAGTTGGATGGGTCCCAGATTAATATCTCTTTGGTGGTGAGTAGATGTTGCATACTGTCACATCTCCCCTTCCACCCTTGATGGTGACTGTGATAAACTCTGTATCCCCACACTGAGATCTCTGGGTTTCCCAAGCTGTGATCGTGTTCTTGACAGCAGTCATGACTCCTCCTTTTGGACGATCTAACCTGTCGTGTCGGAAGATATGGTATCCCCTGATAGAGAATCTGTGTGCACTTGTGAGGTGAGTCTCTTGGATGCAGCATATGTCAATATCATGCTGCTTCAAGAAATTTTGTAGTTCAGTTTTCTTCAGCCTCACTCCTCAGCATTCCAGTGCATGATTGTCAGTTTGTGTCCAGTTGCATTACTCTGTTCTTCCCTGGTCACTCCAGAAGATTCAGAGGTTGTGGCTCTAGTAGCTTGGGGTGGGCCCCTTCGAGGCAGGGGGCCCAGCGCCATCCCTACCGGTCCACGTCCCATAGTAATGACACCATAATGTAATAATGTTGTTTGCATGACCATATCGCTAGTGCGTAGATGCCCGATTTTTAGTCCCGTGCCAAGTAGGCTGACATCTTCCGACTTCGACGGTTGAGGTTTATTTTCAGGATTCCCCCTCCCATAGATTGATTGCCTTCCAGGGCTTATGAGCTCTGCCTACCCACATTTTCTGTCGGGCTTTGTTGCCCTAGCCTTTGTCCTTACAGGAACTTCCCTAAAGGCAGTGGTGGTTTGGCATTCGGTGTGTCCTTCACGTAGATGAATTGCCTTTCAGGGCTTTTGAGCTTCATCTGCCCAGAGTATAATTAATACAAAAGTGAGGGTTTATTAACGGTCACCCCAGCAGATCCTCGTGCTGGGGAAGGAACCAGGGACGCAACGTCCATCAGCCAGATGTCGCCCCTGTACATCCTGACTGCCTTTGTTAACGACTGTGCTCCCCGACAGCCATGCAGTTTGTTGGCACGAAGGAAACGCCTTAAACTTGGGTTCTGGACTACCGACTCCCTACATGCTGACACCTGTGTGTTATTGGTGTTCTGTGTCCGACTCCTAGTGGGTCCAGAAAATAAACCCGTTCATCTGATGGCCTAGTAAAATGTCTTTCGACCAGTTTCAAGTTACACGTGATAGCATTGTTACTGGCTTTCTGTGATGTTGACGACTTTGTGCCCGCTTCAAAATTCCCCTGGTAACTGACCATAGCTGATTGTCGCTGGGTGGGACCGTGTTGAGTGAATGCAGCAAGTGAAATGGGTGCCGAGAGACTAGAGTGTTCTCAATCGGGTATGCCCAGGGCTCCATAGATAATATCCTGTGGACTCCTTCATTATGAAGTGGGGGGGGGGGGGATTTAAACTTGTTCGCTAATTTCACTAGAGTCAATGTGAAGATGTTGATCTCCCTTTATTTATTTAGTAAAATGGGTCTATAAACTGCTCTACTGTGTTTTTTTTTTTCCCCACAGGTAAGTTAACACACGTTATATATTTATTATCTTACTGCCGCACCCGCCTGGGTCAGAAAGAGTTAACGGGGTCAGCACATTTGTCTCCACGGAGCAGGCAGAAGGGGTGTGACACTTCTGTCACTGTGTTTGCTGCTGGATGAAAAAGTAATACGACTGAAATGTCCAATTTTTATTCTACCGTGGAATGTGCCTTTTTGTCTCAGCTTGTTCAGTTCTCTCCTTTTTTCGTTTGGAGGATAGCCAACGCGTATTGGGTGTCAGTGATACATTTCAGGGAAGAGACACGCCCATTTGAACTCTATACCTGTTGTTTCCATACAGTATGTGAATGCTTGTTAAAACTCTTTACTTAAAGAATCCAACATTTTTATCGCGTGTTGATAAGTAAAGCACAACACAATATTTCACGGCACAACTGACAGAATAACGGTCACAGTGATATAAAAATCATATTTCTTTCACTAAGACAAACTGAATATTAAATCCAAAAAGTGAGAGCTCGAAAAAAACACGTCCTCTCAGTAGGGTGTCGGAGTCCCAAGTCCAAACTAGTTACTTGATTTTGTTCACTGCAGAACACATAACATTAAAACAAATCTTTCTTTCTTCCCTCAAGGAAAAGCCAGTACGACTCATTGAAAGATCAATCTTCAGTGCCAAGTATTGTTTTGTTGAGAATCTCTTCAGAAGGTAATAATGTGGTGTACATTTAATCTTTATAATGGGTTGGTTACAAAACTGACAGTGGATGTGTTTTAAAAACCTCTTATACTTTGATGACAGAGAGCACATTTCACTGTGAATACGCGCATGAAAACATGTAGTCAGGGTTGTAAAGAAGGTTGAAGAATCGTATGCAAGTTTTGTAACTATTAAGGTTGATCTGAAATAGTCTTTAAATTATTTTATTCCCCGTGTGGGTTTGTGGCCCCATTTTAAGGGCCCAAAAAAAGAAGAGACCAGACCAGCAGCACGACGAAGGGTTTGCTGAAATCGAATATGATTGGCTGAAAGCTAAGATTTCGCAGCCTAGCTGTAAACCACAACATAGTGTGCCAGCTGCTCTTTTGAGGGCTGATGCAAAAGAAAAAGAAGAAAGGTTCAATTGTTCTTCTGGCTCATGCATGCAGGTGCTCATGATTTTGTTGCCCTTGTCAGTGGAGCCTAGGTATCCGCTCCACTACCCCTAATCAGGTCAAATGGAGGTGTGAATGAAGGAAAGGAATGTGCTATTCTTTTCTCAATTGTTTACGGATCCCTACATTGTGAATCAAACCAGGTCTTCTTGAGCTGGAGGCGGACATTTTAATCTTTTTGCCACTCTGAGTTCATCTGAACAGATTCAATATCACAGCATTCAAGACAAGCCCATATGAGCTTCATCTCCCTCCTCAACAGCCACTGACGAGTTTCAGTACTGATGGTAGTCCCTTGTCATCTAGTTAGCTACTTCTCTTGTGTTTCCTCTGAGCCTCAAGTGGAGCTCAGAGCCCACAGACACTCCCCCCTGCAACAGCAGAAAACTATCCATGTGACTCTCACTACCTGTGACCTCTAGATTGATGTGACCCATTCTGTTCGAAGAAAACCTGCCTCCATCCTCCTGATAAATGAGAATGGATAAATCAAGACTTCCTTACCAAGCCCTCATTTGGACACCACAGGGGAAAAGATCTCGTGGAAGACCAAGGGAAACCCTACGTAGAACTATCATCAGGGAAGGCTCGCTCATGGGCCACTCAAACATCCAAGACCTACAACGGATTGCAACGGACCGCCGTGCATGGAGAGTCGCGACCTCTGCCCTATGTGCCGCACTCGACACAAGAGGAAAGACTAACTAACTAACTAACTAATCCTCCTGAGCATGCTTTGCAGATCCACTCTGTCCCCATGCACATATACAAGTCTGATAAACTTCTGCAACACTTGTGATGGTAAGATGGTTTCTGAGTATCAAGTCTTCCTTTAAGTAACAAACTGTTAAAATACCCCACAGATTCCCAAATCCATGCCATAGAGAATTGAAAACGAGCAATATTATAAAAATGTTATGAAAAATGTCCATTCTAACAAGAAATAGGATAAAAACTACAAAGTTGAGCAGAAGTGTATTTTTAAAAAAAAATAAATAAATTTGCTAAATGCTAGATCTACTTTATATAGTGACAGACAAATCGGCACTCTGTGAGTGATATGGTCAACACCACACCGGCTACCTTTACTACCCAGGACTTTACCTGGTACCCATTTAAAGCTGGGCTGACCTGGGAGCAATGGTCATTTTTGAAAAAATGTCTGGCTCTGTTCGTCTTTAATATGGTTCACATATTTACTTTACCGTGGAAAAAATGCAGGAGATTGAAAAACTTCTACTCGCAAAATGGTTTCAGTTGATTGTTTAGACACAGAATATGGAACTGAACCTGACTGGTCTAGCCAAGACAGTTTCAGGTTTATATTTGTAAAACTGTTCGGCATAAGTGTGTTTTAACTAGTTCACATTAATTTTTTTTGCAGTGGAAAAATGCCAGAGATTGAATACCTAATACTCACTGAATGGTTTGAATGGATTATCAAGACACAGAATATTCAGCTGGACTTGATTGGTAAGCACATTCTGTATTATATAGCTTCATCATCATTTGCTGTGATGGCAGGCATGGACATTCATGGTTCACCATCTCATTTTTCCTTTCCCCCCCCCCTTGTTAGCCCTGATAACTTCGTAGTGCCAGGTTTGATCCCAACTGCGGGCGATTTGTCTTGCATTGGTTTCGACAGTGGTGCAGAGAGCTGACTGTTCAGAAGGCAGTGGCAAACTACTGAACATAAAATTTGCCTAGAAAAAACGACAACATGCTGGCGTTGGTTCTGAAACGTACTTCAAAGAATACGCAACTAACTTACCTTAACGCCCTGATAAATTGTGCCTGGCACAGTTTGTTGTGACTTACAGCTAGGCTGCATAAATCCTTGCAGGATCAACAGTGGATGTGCTAATGAGCTGAGAGATCTGATGCAGCCGAGAGAAGAAGGACAAAAGGGGAGAAGAGATCCATAAGTCGTGCATCAAGAAACTGTACACAGTGGGTCACGTCAGGATGAAAGGAAATGCAAGAGCAGTGACCTGTTTCCAGGAAGCTTAATGTTATTGATTCTTTTTTTGCACCTATGCCGTGTTCAGAAGGCCCGAGATGTTAATATATTTACTCAAATTAAAATGTGTTTTCCAGTGAGTGAATGAAGTTGAGCCCAGCTAGGAACTCACACTGAGCAATTAACACTGGGTGACTCAAAGTGCCACTATTTGGATGAGAATCACTAATGTTGCAGTTTACCTTTAATTTCAGTATACCTGCGGACAGATCCTGAACTTCTCCATGAGAGAATTATGAGGCGATGCCGACCTGAAGAGAAATGCATTCCACTTGTAAGTTCACGGATGCTGCTGTTTTAAAGATTTGACCTTGTTGCCCTGAGCAGACGTATTCCCCATAAATGCTACAGTCTAGCTACTTTTGGTTGTGACGTATTCCCCATAAATGCTACAGTCTAGCTACTTTTGGTTGTGATGTATTCCCCATAAATGCTACAGTCTAGCTACTTTTGGTTGACGTATTCCCCATAAATGCTACAGTCTAGCTACTTTTGGTTGTGATGTATTCCCCATACATGCTACAGTCTAGCTATTTTTGGTTGTGATGTATTCCCCATAAATGCTAATGTATTGTCATTTCTGCAGTGACCTGTTCTCAAAAAATGTAGTTGAGTGCCACTAGTTCTGAGTGCCCCTTTGCAGTGTTTAGGAGTCAGGGATGTGATATATTAACTAAAAATAACAATTGAGGGAGTTTGGTTGGGATGTGATATATTAACTAAAAATAACAATTGAGGAAGTTATGTTGGGATGTGATATATTAACTAAAAATAACAATTGAAGAAGTTATGTTGGGATGTGATATATTAACTAAAAATAACAATTGAGGAAGTTTTGTTGGGATGTGATATATTAACTAAAAACAACAATTGAGGAAGTTTTGATTGGTTATGATATATTAACTAAAAATAACAATTGATGAAGTTTTGATTGGATATGATATATTAACTAAAAATAACATTTGAGGTTTTATAAGGATGTGATATATTAACTAAAAATAACAATTGATGAAGTTTTGATTGGATATGATATATTAACTAAAAATAACATTTGAGGTTTTATAAGGATGTGATATATTGACTAAAAATAACAATTGAAGAAGTTATGTTGGGATGTGATATATTAACTAAAAATAACAATTGAGGAAGTTTTATTGGGATGTGATATATTAACTAAAAATAACAATTGAAGAAGTTATGTTGGGATGTGATATATTAACTAAAAATAACAGTTAAGGAAAATAATAGCAGAAGGCATGTTACCAGGAAGGAGGGGCAGGGGGCCGACCAACGCGAAGATGGGCACAGGATGTAAGTGACTCCTTGAATATGAAAATACACGAAGCGGAAGAGCTGGCGAGAAACCGAGAGATTTTTTGCTTTCAGGCATACAGTGATGAGAGCGACGTTCTGCAAAGGACCTGTTACATCAGTGGTTCTCAACCTGTGGGTTGCCACTCCTTTGGGGGTCGACCGACCCTTTCACAGGGATCGCCCAAGACTTTAGGAAAACACATATTCACTGAAGTTATGAAGTAGCAACGAAAATAATTTTATGGTTGGGGGTCACCACAACATGATGAACTGTATTAAAGGGTCACGGCATTAGGAAGGTTGAGAACCACTGTGCTACATGATGATGATTTCTCACTTCTAATTAGTTGCACTCCCATGTGTTTTGGTTTGCATTGTTTTAAACATTCATTTTTTTCCTAAAATTTGTTTAAATTGGTAGTATTTCTGGGCAAAAAATCATGCACTTTTTTCATAACCTCTGTCCAGGATTACCTAAAAACTTTGCATCAACTTCACGAAGACTGGCTTCTACACAAGAAGTTCCCTTGTCCTGCTGAAGTATTGGTGAGATGTTCGTGTTACATGAGTTGATGTTGAATTTGTGGAGCTGAGTTGATTCAAGAACAAACATCACAGCACTTGGGGCATTCCCATAAGCGCTCTGTTCCCATTTTCAGCAGCTTTGCTGATAATTCCAATACCAGTGGTGCCAGTAGCCTTCTGATTAAACAGCCATCTTGCCTTTCCTCTGAGCGTCGAGCATCGGTCAGAACCCCTCGTTACTTCCCGCTGCGTCAGTCTCACCAGACTGTGGTGATCTATCTGCTCCTCCAAATTGTACATGCTCTCCCACGCGGCCCTAACCATGTCCGCCTTATCATGCATCAGTATTCCACTAAAGTTGTGCAGAGCCAGCCAGTCTGTCCGTCTGTTTATTTCCCAACGCACTGACATCTCCTGAAGAAAAGATCCAGACAATACTCCTCACCCATGACCTCAGCGAAGCATGCCACTCTGCATGAAGCATGCTTTCTTTAAGATAAGTGCAGTCTTATAACAGATACTCTTGAATTGGGTTGAAAAGAACAAACATTATAGCACTTGAAATATTTTCATAATCACCCCATCCTTATCTTTAGCAACCGGTGAGAGTTCCAGCTCCTTTGCCTTCTCCTGTTCACCCCCTATCTAATTATTGCTAGCTGAAGATTGAATCATGCGCAAAGCTTGCAACCCACGACTCCAGCAATAATTCTTTTGTTTTGATTTTTTTTAATATATACTGCTGCTGCGACTTTGAAGCGTTAGACCATCACATATTAAAGGCCACAACATATGAGGTATGGTGGCCATTTCCATTTCTAGAAAATTCTAGAAATCTCTCATACCAATGTTGTTTTAGCAGTATTGACCTTTGAACTGTACCGGTCAGCAATCCTATCACTTCTGGGGATTAAACTTACACCACTTTCTCGGCAAACATATTGTGTGGGTATATTTTCTGAGGAGCCGGACTTTAAAAAAAAATTATTTTTTAAAAAAATGCTCCCATGTAGACCCAGCCTTGAGTGGGTATCGGGTGCAGTCCCGGGAAGTAGAGGCGGCTGCGTGATGCTGACCACATCACCCATCTTGTGCCGATTGGTTTTCTTAAAATATATGTTTAACCCTATCTGCCCTATATGCCTAAAGGGGTGGGTAAAAAGTCCTTTACTTATTTTTTTTAAATATTATCTGACAAATCTGTGAGTACTGTTGACTGAGAAGTATTGATCTCATCTAAGATATTCAATTAAACTGACTTCTTCTTCTTCACTTCCTCTTTTACTGCTGTGGGTGTCGAGGGAGATATAAGGTTCTGTTTCTAGCTCTTCTGGCTGCCTCGACCATAGGCACATCGTGGTGTTGTAGAGTTTCTCTGATGTTATCCTTCCATCTTGTTCTTGGTCTACCCCGTGCTCTACGTCCTTCTTCTCTTTCCATGTATGCTTTGTATGGTATGGTGTCACAAGGCATTCTCTCTAAGTGGGCAAACCATTTCACTTGCTGTCTTTGTATGTAATCCAGAATTGGTTCTGTGCCTTGTTCTCTTATGATCTCATTCCTGATCTTATCTCTTATGGTCACTCCTACAGCCCTTCTCAGTCATCTTATTTCCGTGGTTACTAATTAAACTGACTGCCGTCTGCTTAATGAAGGCTGGCTACAGTGTCCCCACTGTTGTCTTTGAGAATATTACATGGTGAGGCCACAGTCTTTTTTATTTTTTGGGTGAGCTCAGTACCTGAGCTCCATGTATTCGCTCTGCATTTATGGATGCCTCCTGGGATCGTGGGGAATACCCCTGCTCTGCCGCTGTCTTTCCTTGTTGGTTCGTTGCGTATCCTTTACAGGACATTGCAGAACCAGCACCATAATTTTTTGGCTTGTTGTGGTTTTTCTAGGCAAATTTACGTCCAATCGTTTGCCATTGTTTTCTGGGCGGTCGGCTTCTCGATACCACTGTCGATACCAGCCCAAGGCTTGCAGCTGGGATCGAAACCGGCACCCCGGGATTACGAAGCGCATTTGCAACGCCTAAGCCACAGACGCGTCTTTCCTTGAGGTTTGGCAAATTTGCCTGTGGACCATGGGATATAAACTCACCGCGCATATGAGGCTTCATATGTTCCACAAAAATAAATGAGAGGGCTAACCCAGATAACAAATGCCCGTTGAAGATTGATGTCAAAAGTTGCAAACAACACTGCTATGCTGCAACCCAACGAAACACATTTGTCACTTGGACGATGATGAAGAAGAAGAAGATGAAGAAGAAGGAGGATGAGGACTGCAAAAATTTTGAACTACCACCATCTCGAGACATGGAAAAGGGCCCTTGTCCTGTGCAGAACATCGCTGTCATCACAGCCTGTCTGAAATAAACTCTGTCTCCCACCACGACTCCCACGTCATGCACTTTCCTACCCAAGTTGTCACTGATATCATTTGCATATCTTCTTGTTGGTGGATTCTTATCCCTCTTTTCTGGCACCATGACCTTTGCTATTATTGTTTCTAATCTGCTGTAGCCTCATTTCAGATTCAGCCTAATATTTCGCATAGAAAGAACCGAAAAACCTCAAAAACCAATTACCACAAATATCACCAAAGTTTACAAAGAAGAAGGTTGAACATGGTCTAAATGTATTTTCTTTTTTAAAACAGTCAACACACGTAAGATCTTTGAGCCTTTTGGCAAGCATTCAGTCACTGTGCTTCCATAGCTCATGTGTAAACTATACGTATCTAATGAAATATACTTGTTAATACACAGGTTCTGCTGTTTTTGCAGGTAATTGATGGTAACTCGGCACTGGAAAAGATGCCAGAGTCGTATGAACAGCACAGGAATAAAATTGTTAATCCGCTAACCTACTGATTAAAATGCTGAAACCAAGGATCATAACCGGTGTGGTGACAACTGGCGAGCTTGAAGAAAAAGAGCAAGGGGAAGTCAAGGAGATAATTATCTGGGTGGCTTGACCACATAAATGTGGCTGTACAAGAGCACTTACCGGATGCATGTTTGTGGCGATTGTGTTGATTAGTTACCATGACTTCCTGTGTCAAGATCCCTGTAGGGGTAGGGATCGAGTAAATATAAGACTGCCCTTAGCCTGTCGGTATAACCTAGATTCATTTCCAGTGCCTCTCGTAGTCCACTTGGCTTCTGCGTGCACCATGATATTCACATATTTTGTGTTTTGTTGTCTTGTATTTACTGGATCTCCACCCTTACAAGGATCTTGATCCCGGTGTTTATTGCCATTATATTTCTTGATGTAAAATGAGTGCCACATAAAGTCCTGGGAAGTAAAGGCAGTCAGTATGGTATTCGTTACATCATCCATCGAGAGCCGATTAGTCCACAAAAATAAGTCTAGCATTGTATGCCCAGTACTTTAATGAAGCGAAAAGGGTGTTTTATTACTCCTACTTACATGATGACGAGGGGAATTGATATGTCCATTCATAGGGGGTTTAATTTTTCAACTACTTTTGTTGATCAGCTTATCTATCACTTAATTCATTAAGAAGCAAAGCCTGAAATAATTTTGCCACTTAGTAAGAAGTAAGAACTGTGCTGAAAGCGACAGCGTACAACCAGAAGATGGAAACACTAAGATGCAGAGGAAGACCTAGGAGAATATGGATTGAAGAGGTCACTGACAGCCTAAGAATTCGCACATTACATCATGCCAAGGATGCTCCAGCTAGGCTACCTATTATCTGCTAATCTGTGACGCTGAATGGCACAAGGCGGGTATTGACAAAAGCAGAAGAGAATTTTGTTGGCTGCAATTAGGCTGTTTTTAATGAGAAGCTATAACACATGATTTTGATTCAGTCGCCATTATTTTATTATTTGGATAATTCAGTGTTTATGACTCTGATAATTAGACGTACTAGCAACTGGTTTTGACACCTCTGGTGCCTATAAACCAGTGTAAGCAGATTTTCTATATTCTTCTTCTTTTGTCAAAATCTGCTTGTGCCGCTAGGCGTCGCAGTCTATCAGATGATCGGCAACCGAGCCAGGGCGCGCTCAGTCGCTTCATATGCCGTGATGTTATAAAGTCTCAAGTTGTCCGTGACTCCTTCAATCCATCTTCTTTTTGGTCTTCCCCTGCCTCTTGGTGTTTCGATTTTCATGTTGTATGCTCTTGATGCTGGCATCGTTGGTTCCATTCTCATTAGGTGACCAAACATTTTCATTCTTAGATTTTCTATATTAACATTAAAATTAAGCATTGACTTTGTGTAATATTTAGTTAACTTGTTTTAAAACTTGTTGCAACTTTTACTTTTGGCGAATCTTATGTTTATATCCTGTATGTATATTGCTTACAGTTAAATTTTCTTTTCATTTACAAACACATAGACTAAAAGTAAAGACATGTGGAGGAAACTTGGCCATTTCTGTACTATCAGTTAGGTTAAAAAATGGCAACTAGTAGATTAATTTAAGTTGCATTCAGGCACTAATCAAATTTTGTATCTGACGTTTATATAAATCTATATGAGCTTCTAGACATGTTGTTTTCTGTAATGTGTAAGGCATTTATTTAAAAAAAAAAAAAAATTTGTAATGCTGAATTTTTAAATGATTGCTAACGATAAAATGCTCTCTTTCTTTCTCTATATTGTGTTTTGTCTGCGTCAGCATCTGTCTGTCTGTCTCTCTCTTTATATTTTTGTCTTTCTTATTTTATTCTGTATGTTTTTGCATCTCTCTCTCTCTGTGGGTGACTGTCTTTCTCTATATTTATATCTCTTTCATTGTATGTCTGCCTGTGTCTCTATATAACTGCCTCTGCATATGTCCCTCTCTCACTGTGTCGGTCTCTCCCCTGCATCTGTCTGTCAGTCTCTCTCTCTGACTGACTGACTCTCTCTCTCTCTCTCCTACACACAAACTGGAAAAGAGAGAGAGCCTGTTGTTTAGGTATTTATATTGTCTAAATATTGTCATGTGCATTGTATATTTTCCTCAACATATTTGTGTTTAATATCACTAAATCATTAAAACTGCATACTATGTGTTCACATTAATTCATATGTAAAACATATCTATAGTCAGACAAGAAAAAGAAAATTGTTTATGAGGGTTACAACAAGATATTCCTTATTTCATTTTCATTGTTCTTTTTGAAAAGAAACCTGGCCTCAAGAGCAAAGTGTGCAACGCAAGCTATGGGGAACCATGAAGGACCTGCTGCTGAAATGTGAATTCATAAAAGCAACCCACCTAATGGTCTGACCTGAGCATACGAAACAGAACACCTAATGGTCTGACCTGAGCATACGAAACAGAACACCTAATGGTCTGACCTGAGCATACCAAACAGAACACCTAATGGTCTGACCTAAGCATACCAAACAGAACACCTAATGGTCTGACCTAAGCATACCAAACAGAACACCTAATGGTCTGACCTAAGCATATGAAACAGAACACCTAATGATCTGACCTGAGCATACGAAACAGAACACCTAATGGTCTGACCTGAGCATACCAAACAGAACACCTAATGGTCTGACCTAAGCATACGAAACAGAACACTTAATGATCTGACCTGAACATATGAAACAGAACACCTAATCATCTGACCTGAACATATGAAACAGAACACCTAATGGTCTCACCTGAGCATACGAAACAGAACACCTAATGGTCTAACCTGAACATGTGAAACAGAATACCTAATGATCTGACCTGAACATATGAAACAGAACACCTAATGATCTGACCTGATTATATGAAACAGATCACCTAATGGTCTCACCTGAGCATACGAAACAGAACACCCATTTTCTGACCTGAACATATGAAACAGAACACCTAGTGGTCTGACCTGAGCATACCCAACAGAACACCTAATGGTCTGACCTGAGCATACGAATTCCCCGCGTGGGTTCTGGGGCACTATTATAGGGAAAACAAGAATAGACCTACTGCCTACCCAAAAGCATGTTGTAAGAGTCGACTAATTGGGAGCTTCCTTCGAAGTTGCAGTGCATCTGCCTGAGAGGCAAGGAACCAGCAGTCTGCATACAAATGAGTCAGATCTGTAAAACAGATGCACACGTAACACTCAGGTTTTGGAACAGGACTGCAGTCCAGAAGAGGATAAACAACCAGAACTTTTCGTCAGAGTTTACAGCTGGTGACCGCAAAGAAGAAGAAGAAGACATTTTCGTTATTTGCCCAAAACATACTGACACATTATGAGATGACTTCCTCATGTGTGAAAGGGGTGGGGGAGGGGGGTCTGGGGCTCCATTTTGGACCCACTGCCCCCCAACAACCAACAAGCATTTCGTAGGAGGTGTTTCCTTCAAAGTCAGAGTGCATCTGCCTGAGAGGCAAGGAATCATCAGTCTGCATACAAATAAGTTAGAACTGTAGACCTCAAGTTCTGAAACAAGACCAAAGTCTGTAAGTGGACGATAAAGAGAACTTTCTGCCAGAGTTTACAGCCGGTGAATGCTAAAGAGAGGGGACAGAATCGGTCTTACAGTTCATTAAAATATGTTGAATTAGGAATCATCATCATAGCATTCAGGACATTCCCTTAAGTGCTCCGTTCCTATCTTCAGCAGGAAGCGAAAAGTTCCAATTCTGATGGCAGCAGCAACTTTCTGTTTGTATGTCGTCTCGCCTTTTCCTTGAGTGTTGAGCATCGGCCACATCTAGTAACTCCTCACAGCGCCATTCTCCTCAGACCACAATGATCTGTCTGTGCTTCTGCACTGTTCACTCGCCCCCAAAGGGTGCTCACCACATCTAGCTCCTCATACATCAGTTCACTACTAGGTGGTACAGAACAGGCCAGTCTATCTGCCTGCTCATTTCCCAACACACCAGCGTAACTACAGTTTACTAAAGAGCAGCAAGTGAGATGATTTGTCCATCTGATGAGTATGCTCTGACAACAGCTGCCACTGAGGGCCATGCTGAAGAAATGTGAACATGGAGCAAGAGAAAAACTGTGCATAATTTGGAACAAAGCCATCAAGAACAGCCTTAAAGAAATGAAGACCAGCTAACACAGTGCATTAGAAGAAGCACACAGAAGATCGTTATATCGTCTTCCACCTTTTCACAAAATTTCGATGAGGTAATTGGACAAAGAGAAGAAGAAGAAGGCAGTATGACACAAGCTAAAACACTTTCCATTTCATTACTTATCCTTCATCCACAGCTTATACCAAGTAGTCTGTCCTTTGTCAATATATGCGGCTCACTTAAGTCCCCTTGCATTTATATATATATATATATATATATATATATATATATATATATATATATATATATATATATATATATATATAAACTATCTTTAACTCTTTCCGTCCATAGCAGGTATTACCTTAACTTATTGATTCTGGAATATCTGTTACATATAGTAATCATATGTAGATCCAAAAGGTTAAAAATACAATATCTTTCAGTGTATAAGACATTCCTTTGTATAAGACACAACCCCCAAATTTGAAAAAAAAATTAAAGGAAAACTCTACTTTTAAATTAAAATATTACATGTTAAAATATTATTTGCTGACCTTCAGAAGCCTTTACATTCACCCCCATTGTTGTCATCTGAAGTTTCTTTGGGCATTTTTTTTAAAAACAAATCTGAGTTTTTCAGCACATAGAAAGTCCACTGCACTTCATAAAGTGGTAATACTACACCACCTCTCTTCTCCCTCCTCTTCCCAATTACTAATGTTACACTGACGGGTTAACTTTTCTGAGTGTGTTTTGTGTATAATTAATTTTAGTTGCACCATTTTATTACATCAGTCTCTAATTGCTCGCTTTCCTGTGTTCATTTTGCACAACACATCCTGCTGAGACCACTAAAACCATATGGT